AGTTATAATATTATAACTCTACTAACGTTTAAAGCTAAGTTAATAGCTATCTCTAGTCTAAGTTCGAAAGAAGCTACTAAGCTACGTAAATATAGAGACTTACTAGCGACTAGACTATAAGAGCTCTAAGTATAGAATATCTAGTATAAGAAAGCTTACTAGAAGATAGTACTTAATAGTTAAGTTAAAAGAGACGAGTTTTAAGAAACTTAAACTATTAACTAGAAAGATATAGTCTATTATAACGAAATTATATATATATTATATAATTCTACTATAAGAGAAGAGATTCTCTAGATAAACTATAATAATCTCTAATAGGGCGGATATTTTAGCGAGAGCCGAATAGTAAAGACTATTATATAATACTATTAGTAGTCGTATATTAGAAAAGATATAATTAATTATATTAAGATCTATAATATCTATTAACGAATAAAAGTACTATAGTATAAGTCTTATAGAAAGCTTAAGTCTCTTCTATAGCCGTAAGAGCCCTAGTAAGATATATCGATAGACTTTATCGTAGATCTACTATTATTAATAAGTAAAGGACGCGTATATAATATAATACTAGTTATTATTAATAGATACTTAAAGATAATAAGTTTAATATCGTATTACTTAAATATCGTAGCTATAGATATAGTCTAACTAGTATTAGAAAAAATTATCGCGAGATTTAGCGCCTCTAAGTCGATTATTAGTAATCGCGAAACTATCTTTACTATAGTATATTAGAGAATATTATACGCTTTTTTTACGACTCGTAGACTTTTCTCTATATTCTTCTATCTCTAGATTAATAGTTAGATAAAATAAATAAACTAAACTCTAGAAGTATATCTAAGATATTATATTAACTATAAGTAGTTAGATTAGACTAGTCTATTTATAAGCGCTAAATATACGATAAACTCGATATTTAATACGATTATAGACGAAATTCCCTTCTTAAGAATACTTCGCTTTACGTCTACTCTAGACGTAAATCTCGAACGTAATTTATAAATAAACCTAAACGAGAATATACTTATAGAATAAAGAGCTAAAGTATTAGCGAGATTACTATACTATACTACTAAGATAAGAACTACTACTAAAAAGTAAATTATAAAAATAGCGAAATATTATAACGAGAAATAGTAATTAATATTCTTTAATATTAAAAATCGTATATTACTAGTAGCTAAGAATATTAGTCTCTCGTATATAAATCGTAAACTATTTAATTAGTTCTTAGATCTCTTTCGTATTATTAAGAGAATTAGCTAAAACGTATATAAGCTAGATCTTCTAGCGAAGTATAGTAAACTATATTATATCTTTTATATATCTTTATTATAAATATATTATAAGCGATCTAAAGATAAAACTTCTAAATTAGTCGATATTAAAAAGAAGAAGAATAGAAAGTTAAAGAAATTCTCGATAAGCGCTAGAGACGCGAGTAAACTAAATTCTATATTTAATAGAAAGAATTTAGCGAGATATATAATAATTAAGAATCTAAAGATTACTTATAATATATAAAAGAAGCGATTATAGAATTCCGAAATAGAAAAGATAATCGATTATTATAATAGCGGTAGAGTCGTACTCGAGACGGAAATATTAAGATCTAATCTTACTTCTTCTTAATCGAAAAGCTAGTATAATTATTAAACTTCTTAAAAATATTATTCGCCTTATTAATATTAGTCTTCTCGTTAAAAGAGATAATAATAAAGTCTCTAGCGGTTAAATACTATAAAGCTTATTAATATATTATATATAAGTTTTTTAAAAGTTAATATATAAAAGAGACTACTTAATCTAGAGTTAAAGTAATAAAAGATAAAAAAAGATAATAGCGAGTTATAAGCGAGCTTAAGAAAGTAGATATAGCTATCTCGGCTATTAATTATCGAATTATTAATACGTTTAGGGTTAATATTAAATAAGACGTAGTAGAGAAATATATAGAAGTTAGGGGCGAGACTAGTAGAGAGTTCTTATTAGCCTTTATATATACTTAGTCTACTATACGTATCTCGAGATAAAAAGTATATATAATAGTATAAACTTCTATATAGCTATTACTAGTTCGTAGAGCCTATTTATTTATAATAAGTAGAGCTCTAGCCTAGTCTAGAAGAGTAACGAAAATCTATATAGTTAGTATATAAGTCGTATACGATATAGTATAGACTTACTAAATAATACTATATAATAGTTCGCCGCTTACGTATATACTTTATATAGCGTATCGTTTCGAGCTTATACTCGTAGATAATCTCTTAAATACTATCCCTAAGAGATCGAATATATCGTTAGTAGAGTATCTCGTTATTAGGAATATCGAGAGTATTATTAGGTAAAGCTACGAGTATTAGTATAAGATCGTATATAAGATAGACTCTACTTACTCTTATTAGGCGAATTAGAAGATTTACTAAGTAGCTTTCTACTAAAGAGTATTATAATAGAAGAGTTCGCTAAATCTAAAATTAATACTATTTCTATTAGTATACTACTTATATATAATTAAGAGTATACGAACTATTATTATAATTATTAATTAAAGATATAGACTTATATAAAAAGACGAATAAAGAATAGAAGACTTAAGTTTATTTATAAGTTATTATAGTTATAAGGTATAGGCGATATACCGCTAAGTATAGAAAAATACTACTTTAGGATATATAATACTATTATAAGACTACGTAAGACTATATTAGAAAGAAGAAGAGTATCTATTATATAACTACGACTACGTACGCGACTCTATCGATACGAAATCTTATATCTTCTCGAGAATAAGAAGCCTAGAAGAGAGAAATAATATTATAAATATTAATACTAACTATCGATAACTTATATTTCTCGACTATTTAAATAGAAGCTAAGAGATATAAACTATATATACTCTATATAAGAGAGCTTTTCTTCTCTTATACTTCGAGTTATATATAACTATAGGGTTAAGGAGTACTTAATACTAATTGAAGACTTTATCGCTGTACTCTGCCTATTCCTATTCTGCCTATTCCCATTAGGCGTTCCTAACATATACTATAAGGTGCCTAGCGTTGTTTTATTTACCACTACATCGCCTATTTCACGTATTTTATACCTCTAGCCATAGAAATAGGCTAGAAAGGGTGCCAGTTTTATTACCGTAATTTCACTGTACTAGTCCTATCTAAGGTAACTAGACCCGTTCGAGAACCTTCGGTGGGTATGTTTTAACGATTTTTAGGCGGCAGGAGTTGTAGGCAACTTGTAATCCGCGCAGTTCGTTGCGGTCACTGATCACTTTGGTGTTCCGAGCCTGCGGGGCAGTAGTAGTAGTACTATGTACCATGTTGTAGTTGAACTCGCGGCCAAAGTTCCCCAATTGGGCAAGTCATAGCGCCCAGAGCATTCTCTCTCTCGCTTTTCGCCAGCAATCTTTCTTTTGCATCCAGGGATCCTGTCTACCTACACCGACAACCAATGCAAGTACCACTGGCTACGAGAGTAGTATTACCAGCGCCCGGTACTGATGCCATACAATGCCACCGCACTCAGCTGCAGCGTACGGTAGAACCCGTGACCCATCCCGACATGCCGAAGGCCGAGGGAAAGTCTGCCCTCTCCCAACTCTCGTTCCGACGGCTGCTCGTCACGAGTACCCGATATAACAGCCACTAACACTACTAACAGCAGCCACATTTGACCCGTGTCCAATCCCCGCTTGTCCAAGTATACTTGTTACACTTCTTAGACTCCTAGTTTCCCACCAATAGTAACAGTACTAAAGAGCAACAGTAGGTAGCAACGAAAAGACGCGGAGCAATCACATGCAATGGAATCGAATCGACCCGACGACTCGACTCAGAAAAATGGACCCGGCTCTGGGCCGCCGGCTACGGTTCAACTGGAGTTTCACATGCAAATTGCTTGCACTCACTACTATAGTATTACCACAAAACAACATCATTGTTCACACTGACTGCACTGAAGCATAGCACAACTACAGTACAGGCCTAGATACTGGAGTGTGAAAAAATCTTCTCGAATTCTCGACTGCAATAACGGTACAGTAGTAGTGGTTGGCACGGTTAAATGATCATGATCAAATTAATCGATAATGCAATCGATCCGGAACCAAGTCCCAAACCACCAAGCACCGCACTGCAATAATGTCTTGAAGTCGGAGAGTGGCCGACCACGACCACCGGCGCACAACCACCGGCAATGGGCGTTAATGGTCGCGGAAACCCCCTCGTGTCAAGTTTCTCGAGCAACTGGCCATTCAATTCCGTCAGGTCGACTCTCCAACTCCGTCACTATTGTACTTACTGCTGTTCTGCAAGCAACCAGTAATAACTTGAACGGCAGATGTCAAACAGAGATCTACAGAGTACGGCAATAGTCAGCCGTTTATTACTGTACTGCCAACGCCAATTAGTAGTGTGGCTTAACCAACCGACTCGACTTGGTTCGTTCGCCTTCCATCTTTCATGAGGTAATTACTCGTGTTCCGAGTCACTGGCATCTTGGACATGGTAATAAATCATCGTAGGAGACCTGCAGTGGCTGGCGGACCAAAGGGCCGTGCAGTTGCAATGCAATGCGATGCGAGATGCACTGCAATCCGATCGCACGGTCAGACGCTGATTGTCACTCCCGGGGTCGCGCGCCAGAAACAAGGTTTGCGCGGAAATCTGAAGCGAAGCGATCCCAGTCCGGTCAGATGGAGAGTCTAAACACGACGCCAACGGCAACGATTGCTTGCAGAATCCGATAGAACACAATAATGAGACAGAATCAGATAGCTTGCAGTGGAACGGAAGAGTATTCAGAATAGTTCAATTGCTTGTAGTTCAACATCGGGTATAGTATTGAAGAAAATTAGCCGGATATCAAAAATCACACTATGGCTCTCGCTCGGAGACCAGTGCTCCGGTTGCTCTGCTCCCCACCAAGTCCTGAGCAAAAAAAAAGTAATGGGAGTTCAGCCCAACTCAACCATTATCACCATTCAAGTTGGTACAAATTCATGATTGCCAATATTAGGCAGGGTATCGGTCGTAGACTGCATAGTTCCCATATTTCCCATAGACCCATATGCAAGAAATGCTCGCTCCGCTAGCAAGATATAGTACAGCAGGATACTGCAGGCCGTAGATTCATATTCGCTCAAATTAATCAGTCAAGTCGTACTTTGCATGATCCCAGGAACCAGCCTCGGACCACGCACCCGAAGGCAACAAGAGACGACAAGTCAGTCTCATTGAGGTCCATTCAAGCGTCGGAGGCCGGTCTGGCGTCGCTTGATCGTGCTAGGTCGACGAGACTTGCTGCCGCTGCTCGCCACATCGTGTTGGCTGGCAAAGCGGACGACTTTGCGGCGGGCATCGGCGTCGTGTGCGCGATGTCCCACTGCATGGTGCTGATGGTGATGATGATGAGCGGCTTCTCTCTCTTGAATCTCCCGTAGATAGGCGATTTGCTCTTCAGTGGTGAGTTCCTTTTGAGGAGCAACCGCGGGAATAGTCTCGACGGGCAGGCTTAGATTCTCGGGCAGACCGAGGAGGTCATCGTCCGAGAGGTACGAGGTGGCTTCGGCGCCATTGGACGACATGCAAGATCGGTAAGGGCTAGGAAGCCACGTTGAGTTGCTGCTGTCGCGGCGCATTGCCAGCGAGGAACTCTGGGATTGACACGTGGTGCTGGAGGCAGTGCTGTCTGAGCGAGTGAGGCCTTGAGACATGGGCCACGACGAGGTAGGCGAGGCACTGATAAGTGCTGCGTAGGCGGACGAAGGCGCGCCTGAATGGTTGTATCTGGACGAGGTGGTCGAAGAAGTCGAGTCGCGGGAGTCTGAGCGCGACATGGCCACCGATGTCATAGCAGGAGTGATGTTGGAGGTAGGCGAGCTGAAGAACATCTTGTCTGTATTGAAGTCTGGTGGAACAACGCGACGGACGAGTGCCGTACTGGAGACTGGTGCACTCGGGCGAGGGAGGTTATTGATATGTTGATCGGGCGTGTTTGCTGCCAGGGTCTTTTAGTTCGGGGTTTTGTTTTCCTGGTGTTGTGGCGGCGCCCTGTTTGCGGGTGGTGATGCAATAATAATGTATAATCTGCAAGGCCGGGAGGCGCGACACGGGTGTTTGTGGGCGACCGGCAAAAACACGGGCTCGGACCTGGGGGCTCTCAGGGAACCGCGCGCGGTGACTTGGAGAAGTGATGTGGGATCTGAGCGGCCAACTTGCCGCGCGTTGATCGGTGGGCGCGTCCGTTCACACTTCTACAGAAGATGGAGTAGAAGCGATTCCAGTGCTGTAGAAGAGAGAGGATATGGATGTGAATATGTATGCCAGTAGTTGTCGGGCCAGACGGGGGTGGATAGAAGCAATTATAATCGTGGGAGCTCTGTGTGGCCCCCCTTCCCCGTGCGGTCTGGTCTCTTTTGATTTGGATCTGTCACGGTGACCTTGACCCGAGAGAAGTGAACTAAATGGCCAAAAGGGAAAACCCGGTGTATCGGATGCAATGCGACCTCGGTCGGTCCAGAGTTGGGCTTTGGGTCTTTGATCGGAACTGCAGCACAGACGGGGGGCCCACTGTCACTGTAAGTGTGGGTTCGACAAGGTTGGCGGCGGTGGAACCCAACTGAAGGCGATGGCACTGGCACCGACACTTGAAAAGCCAGGTTGAGGCCCGTTGTTCGTGGGCTCCGGTCTGTGCGTCGGGTTGTGGGGGAGGATGGCAGAAAGGGCAGGCCTGGCCTGTCGCTTTTGGCACCGTGTCCGTGGTTCCGCGAACAACTGAAGCCGCGACAAGTTAGAGAGGCTGGTATGCCACTGGCACACTGGGATCGCTGGTTTCAGTCCGCCGTGATGAACGCAGGGGGCTACAGAAGGAGTTCTCGTGTGATGCTCTGAGAATAGTCTGTAGAACTTGAGGTCGTATTTGCAGGAGACCAAAGTCCATGGTTTTCGTGGCAACTCGAAGAGCAGGCAGACACAAGTATTATTATGTGTGTTCCAAAACTCGGTCTGCGCAAGCCGTATGCCAGCCAATACTAGGTAGTAATGCCACCACTCAACCTGTTTATTCAGAGTGTGATTATGATTCATGCTCTTGTTCGCCTCGTTCCGCAGCGCTGACTGGCAAAGAACCGGCTTGAAAGGCCTGGTTCGTTTCGTGTCGGTCTACTGACCGCCGGAAGTGGTGCAGACGAGAGGACGTATGATTCTCTAGGAGAACGAATGTGACACCCTGTTCGACAGGCAACTGACCGACTTCCCAGACTTGGGTGTTTAGTGTCGCTAGGCTCGAGGCGCAAGCCACGGGGTATCGACCAGGGTCGCGGAAGTGAGGGAGCGAGCAAGGGGGTCAACGACTACTACTGTCGTATACTACAGTCTTGTGGTAGGTGATACCGAGTCGTCTCGGACAAGGGGGAGTTTAAAATGCAAATGCTGGATTGAAAGCCCAAAGCCAGTATTCCATGTAATCCGCCCATCTGGCGGTGTCTAGGGGTAATGTAGGGAGGACCCAAGGGCAGCATTGAAGCTGAGTAAGAGCAGTCCAAGGCCAGTGAGAGCTGCAGTTGTGCAAGGGATGTTGATGGCGATGGTGATAGATGTCGAGGCCTGGTCAAATGGTTGGTGGCTGATGCCTGACTCGACGTGAGGCCGCCGGCTGCGGACACGCGGATCGAGGGCGGATGGCGCCTGAACCTCGCGTCTGTCAGAGTGATGAGTCGATGACAGGCTGCCCGGGTGCCTGTCTGGGTAGCCCGGAGCGACACATCTACAGGGATTCTAGGGGGCTGTGAGTGTTGTTCCCAGGCGTCAAAATGGCAGACAGGCGCCCCCAAATACAACTCCGGATCAGAGCAACCGCCGCCTGGAGACCCCACGCCAACAGCAACCACGACAATCATTTCAGTCGAGAGACTGGATGAAAGCTCGTTGAATTGTTCCTTTTGATTCTGCCATGCTCGACAGAATGGAATGCTAATGGCCTGGACTATCTGGCTGCACCTCCACTCCGACGCTTGGTAGGTCGCGAGTCGAGCACAGTCGGTGTGATTCAATGTTCAATTACAGTCATGATCGATCGACAGGGCCAGCCCCTTCTGCTATGGCAGTGCCTGTGTTGCTCAGAATTGCAGATCTGGTCTCGGTGTCGCAGGCTGTGAGCAGCGAGATTGAGACTGTGAGACGGACAAGGAGAGTGACGGCCGTAGCAGCAAGACTCCGGAATGATTTGAGTAACCGTTGTCTTAGGCAGATAATAATAACCGTGAATGCCTACCACTCATCCAAGATTGAGCTGCGTGACTGCGCAACCACTGTTACATCCAAGTTCAGGTTCTTGAATTGATTATTCACGCCGGCAGGGTCGGATCTTACGACCTGAATCTCCCCAGACTCTCTACTATGCAGGATTTGATCATCGATTTGGATAATCATCGGTGATGCTCAGGCATCGCAAGTTATCGGGCAGCCTGAGGTAGGCAGCAGCTTCAGCTGAGTGCGGCATGTCTTTTGGCGCATGAGTCAAGTTGTTCTCCTCTCATGAAGTGGCTCTGCTTCCATCCATCCCACGCACCGAGACTGGTATGTCAGGGCTCTTGGCCATTAACTACATATTTACCTAAATTTTGCGTGATTCTGTTGGTTCAGCAGAGGCAGATTTCGGCGATATCTGTCATTTCTTCTTCACCGTCTTTGCCAGAACAACACCAACACCCACGCTTCGTTTCGCTCCCCAGGTATACAATTGTACGCGCCCATCGGTGGATTCCGGGCGCCAGAGAACGCCCATTTGCTTAGCCAACACTCATCTACTACTACTATAGTACTAGTGATGTCCTGGACAACAACAAAAGCGCCAACTCACAACCCGAGAATCGGCATCGGAACCGTACCGCTGGCCAGTCTCCTCTTTATCCGGAGTACCCCATCGTTGTGAGTTACCCTGCACTCGAAGACTATGCGGAGGACCTAGTTTGCGGAGTGCTGTTGGCATCAATCAACATTGAATCCATTTGGGCAGCCGTGGAATAGCCGCTGTGCCGCTTCACCTCGCTTCACTCGCCTCGTCGCCCTCGAACGCTGGCGGGTGTGCGGGAGCACTTCCTACGACCTGGTGGAATTAACCGGGGCAACCCCGAAATCTCCCCGCCCAGAGAGCCGCTGGTGGTATTCCTCATTCGGCCATATCTGGCGCGCGGTTCCACGGGGAGAGTTCTAGCGCAAGCCGCTACGTGCAAGTACTAGCAAGGGACCCGGACCCAGGTACCTTGCCTCCTAATTTTGCCCTGAAGGTACATGTTGTCCCACCACGGTCTGGAACCCGTGAGTACCGTCCTAGTCTCCCTTCGCCTCGAGCTTCCTGGCACCGCAGACCGGGCTAAGGTGGCATCTCATTTGAATTGAACACTCTTCTCCGCCTTCTCTACCCCTGGCCCTCCCTTGGGTGTCTCGTCTCCGTGTTCCATGCGGCTAATTAGCACTACTGACCGCAATAACGGCCCTTGCACAATATCGGGCAGAATCAAGCAAAAGGAAACCCGCAAGGTCGAGGTGGGACTTACTTCTGGACGGTGGATGGAGCGCCATGTGGCAGTTGCCCGACTTCTGGGGGACTGTGGTCCGGCCTGGTCATTTCCAGACTGCTACCGTCGGCCGTCCCTCGCCGGTTCAGCTACAACAGTAGTAATCCACACGGACTCTTTGCCGTGTCGCATAGCGAAAGGATATACACTACTCATTCCGATTATTCTGCGGGCCATGAGCCTCAAGAAAGCTGGAGTGTGTATTCGACTCCTGTCTCCATGACCCCGTGGCCCCACGTCGCTTCCATGTATTCTACATGCTAGGTCTCGATCACAGAAGCTTCCACTGCGGAAGTCACAAGAGGCAGGCAATGTGGTTGATGGCTGTACAGCGTACTGTAAGCTGATATCAGGCTGCGAGCTCTCATAGGAAATGCCGTTCATGTCTTCGGACATTGCAACACCGAGGCGCCCTCCGCCGATGATGCACGGTGCTTCCTTGACCTCGAATTTGAAGAGTACTCCCGGTGAATATCGTCTTGGCGAGGTTCGCTTGCCGATTTTGCCTATAAACGGCACCGAAAGGGTTTCCCTGACTCCATCGCAGGGTGGATGGTGACCTAGCCGCGTTATTCTATTGGTTTCCGCTAGCCGTATTCTCCCCGACTTCTCTCCATGTTTTCCCGTATTTTGCTAGAGAGATGGTCGGGGCTGGGGTTGAGCGCAGTATGAGGCGGTCGTCGGCGAGCCGCAAACAGTCAGTTCAGCTGCTCTGCCCATCCAGAGCGTGCATACGAAGGGCCTAACCTTTCGCACCTCGATGCGCGCAGCTTTGCGACAGCTCAGCAGCAGATCTTCATTTAGCCTTCAGACTAGGTGAAGTTCAATCTGCATGTACAGCATGTACACAAGCGATGCGAGTCAGGCTGCAGGGTCTCCTTGGGCCCAGCTGATCGTCCAACTGTGCTACTGCTACTGTGCACCTACTAAGGTAGGTAGCGAAGGCCTGCAATGTTGTATATTCCGCTAGCACCATGGTGAGACGGAGTCCAGACGGGCTGTACTGCAACCCATGTAGATCGTGTTCCAGCCCTGCAATGGACAGAAGAGTCTTGAAGCTGCATTGCTTACTCCTTGGGCTAAGGACTTGCTTATGGTAGTATGCGCTGTATGGCAAAGCTCCTTCTACAACGCTGACATGGCATTCTGCACGAATTTGGGCGATCTTACGCCAGGTCATACAGTTGTGATTCACACCGTAACCGAGCTCATCTCTTCTTCGCGCCACGTCGGGCATACAACACATGAATATGAAGGCACAGACGGCTTGAATTGCAATAATCCCGCGGCCCTTTTCCGAACTGTGTCAAGGCAGGTCATTCCCTGGTCAGGGTCTCAAATCAGCACAGCCTGAAGATCGAAGCTGGAAATGAAATCCTGCCCCTGCCACTTCCGAGGCTCGACGAGACGGAAAAAGGAACCTTGGAAGGGAAAGGAAAGCCGGGCAGTAGTTACGTAGGTTGCCGGACTCGGCCCGCGGCCGAGCAAGGCCATGAAGCCGAAGAACAGGATGATTATGCCCTTGTTAATCCGTGCTTACAGCCGTGCTTATGGCCTCAACCGTACCTACAGCCGTTTCAACCGGCGGAAAACTGACATACCCAGGTATTCATCGGGTTTGCTATGATCAAGTTGTCGAGCTCGAGTACAAGTATTGCTGACTGCCAGGTGCCTTGATGACTAATGCTTACGGATTGCTGTGCAGCGGCCGGTGCAGACTCCGAGTCACATGATACCTTACCGAAGGAGTGCACGTGATCAACAACCGACCTTGGCCAGAACTTTGGCTCAAGTTCCAGCTGTCAGGAATTTGAACACCGAAGACGCGTGCTCCATCGATTCATGATTCATTGTCAATCATTGTCTCCCTTTGTTTACCTCCAGACACTGCTGGGCACGTACATACGTGGACTGTTTTGACTTCTGTCGCTCCGAGTCTGTACTGGGCGATCTGGCCACGAGTTCAGGTGTCGATCTAGGCCTTGACCCACGAACAAAAGCCCCATCTCTGCCTCGGCCAGCCCAGACCAGATGTTCAAGGACCCTCTCAAAGGTCCAGCCATGGACGTGATCCCAATCCAGATATGTCCGCTTATGTCTTCGAGACGAGAGCTACCTTACCACTCTAGATGGACCTCACGCAGTTCTTCAAATGCCAGACACCTGTCTAGGGCCCCTTGCCCCATACCGGTATCTATTACCGGATGCAGTGCTAGACTTGTTTCTGTCCGATGGAATGTTTGGAATGTTCTTGCTCGATGGGTTCATCTCTCATCCCCACACCCTTTCTGGAAACTGGAGTGTTGATGGTATTCCCCACAATCCACAAGTGGCTTTGCTTCTGTCTTTGTTTGAAACATAACCCAGGTACAGTATCATTTGGCTGGAATTGGATGACCTTCTGACATGTACTGTTTGCGTTTCCTCACTGCAAATATGCAAGCATCCAAACATGCCAACCTATACTGCCTGGTCCCAAACATTCCGTTCTTTCTATCCGCGTCCCAGGTTTTGGATGGTCTGGCCCGCTGTCCTGGATTACCAGAGCTTGCGATCACTCATATGGTGACAATGACAGTGTCCATGGACATTGTGCCCCAGTCTGCAAATTGTTATGATGAACACCCCAGATATCGGCTCTTCTGGTGCCCCTTGGGACCCAACTCTCCTGCGCCTATGAAATCAATGCATTACATGTTTGTCCTTTGTGATGCACGATGCGCAAGGTTGACAATGGTCAAACCTCGGTATACACCTACCATGCTCAGTTTGCACCTCACAAATCAAAAACTGTAGGCTTGTCATGTTTGCGATGTTGTGAACTTGCTTTGCGCAGATTATTGTGCTTTCCCCATCAAGGTAGGTGGTTGTGGTGTATGTACATCCTTGCTGTGGGTTGCCGGCGTCTGATTCTCTAATCCCAAGCGTGATGGCACGCTGCTTGTCGTCATCGAGAGGAAAACAGGTTTCCCTGCCTGCTCATTATAGCGTGAGTTTGCAACAAGTTACTACGTTCAATGCCCGCACGCTTCACAATCATTCATACATGTTTGTTACTGTGTTTGTGCCATATGCAGGCAAACTTGCGTGCAATCTCACACTCATCCAAAATCCATTCTTTGATCAGGTATATAAGAAGGGAGTTCCTCAAGGTAACTGCCATCCGCTCAGAGATCCTTTCATGCCATACTAGCATCACCACGAGGATGCTGAACGGCCCTTATATAAAATATTTTATTATTTTCTCACGACCATTCTGCTTGTTGTTGGCAAGCACTGGAGGAGGATGAGCTACAGACATGTCCTCCTCCGGCTGCTTTGGGGCCCAGAGTCGGAGGCGCGACATTCGCCCAGTCCACAAGCGAATGCCTGCCACATTTCGGGCGGGCAGCCTTGGTCGTGGCAGTGGTGTTCAGCTAGGAGCAGGACTCCTCGTTTGCCACCGATGCTAGCTTTGCTGAGGGTGCTCTGCCCTCGCCGAGCGAGAAGACTCCGAGCGAGAAGACTCCTGGGTCAAACTCAATCTGGCGGCTTTGGGTCAGGAGACTCCGGCTGCTGTTGCTGTTGCTCTCGGAGAAGATGCGCCTTACCCCTGTGCCAGCCTCGCCTGGTCCAGAACACCGGGCTGAATGCACTGGCTCAGTCTCGATTTCTTCATCCCGGGCTCGGGTTCTTATCACCCGATAGCTATGGCGTAAGTTTACTAGATCTCCCACATAAAGCTCAGACTAACATAGGGCAGAATTGGATTGACACATTTTCGGCGGCGAATAGGATGACTCAGTGTGTGCGAGTCCCCGCTGCACCACCATGGGGCCGTGACACTTATGTTGTCCCCAAAAAAGACCATATCTTCTATGAAATTAAGGTCAAGAAGGGGAACTTTGGCCCCAACCAGCTGCTCGGAAGCAAATGGGCCACACCGGGATCGACACCAACAGTCAACTGGTGCCAGCAAAGCTCCTCCCACTAAGTGAGGATTCTGCGTTCAGCAAAAAATCACGGTATTTGTCTCTCCGCGACGGTGCTACAGGTACCTGGGAATACGTGTTGGGATCCACATCCTCGCTACCGAGGATATCATAAGACTTTTGGAAGACAATGATCGACGAAATCGATCAGAAGGTACACCGATACTGGGCCCTTCGACATCTTCCAGCGACCGGGCATGAGATTCGCCCAGACGTACATGTGCGACTTGAATTATTTTCCTTGTTCGTCCCAAAAACCCTTTCGCCATCATGGCTCCAGAATACGGTCGAACTGGTTTTGGATTCTCTGCCATGGCCAATTTCCCACAAGCCACGTCCTCCCAAGACAAAGTTCGATCCGGTCGACCTGGTTTTGGATACTCTGTTCAGTTTACCTACGACAGTGTCTTCTTCCAATCCTTGCTGTCGCGCCATATTATATCGACCTACGTATATAAATGTCACCCAAGGTAAGTCCTGCCGTTGACGTTCGAGAGTGACAAGGTTTACTAACTCAGCGTCAGCACCTGCAGGCAACACTGGCAACGCTGGAAGTAATGGAGATAAAAGTCCGTGCCGCCCGGCCGACCGAAAGGCAACAGGGCGAAGGGTGATAGATGCACCCGCTGCATCCTCGCACGCAAGGGGTGCGACGGGGTGAAGCCCGTCTGCGACGGGTGCCACAGGCACCCGGACCGGTGCATCTGGCCGGACGGACGGCCCTCCAGAACGGAGCTCCTGCAGACCCAACAAGACAAGGGTCAGGATAGGTACACCGCTATCCTAGAACAGGAAGATCCGGCAGAAGCCAATGCCGCCTTGGGCGTGATATCAGCCAGGCGGCCATCAACCAATGCAACTGGGCTTGTGACAGCATAAGCACCTTGGGCCTGTGGCTCTCCAGAGGCCCCTGCCCGTTACTGGCAGAGCACTGCAAAATCTTTCTATACAGTCCTTTGCTGACGGAGCGGACGTCAAGAGCAAAAACCGGTTGAGCGGGGATTTGATGGGTTCTACATTCCGAGAAAGGGTTCTGGCCATGGACCTTCAATGCTGCCAGCGGACAGCTTGTGGACGACATTGACGACTTGCTAGGAGAGCTCTTGGTACCAGGACGAACACGTCCCTGGTGATCAGCTGTCGCAGAGAGTCCTCTCGCAGTCCTCCGAACTCCGGGAGGAAGTTCGGCTGCAAGTGCCGGGAAGCACAAGAGGACATACCAGGGACCTTGGCTGTCTCTTCCACTACTTGAGGGGCTGCACTACCGATCCCACATCCCAAAGCACTTGATGCCAGAAAGTGATATCATACTTATACCCCTGGGAACAGATCTGCATGTGACATGGCAGAGACCACGGATCTATAGCAAACACGGACCCCTGGCTTTGCGACATGTGCAGGAACGATCACAACCTCCAAGTTTCAACCACGTACGGATGCGTTCTCTATCCCGTCAAGTTCACGGCTCGACAACTGATGAAGTCGTTAGACGCATCCCACAAGAGGACGACAGACAGAGACCGCGAAAAGGAGCGAATCGAGAAGAAATCGTCCAAGAAGCTGGTCGGCGGTGGCCCATACAACCATTCAACCTCTTTCATTCTTGATGATCATCATCAAGAACATCATCCTCCTCTTTACCTCAAATATCCAACCGTCAGTATAAATATCATCGAATACTTGGTCCTGCATTATATCACCGAATGGGTCAAGATTGGCTTCGGTATACCCGAAGCAAACCCAAGACCACCATCCAGCCACCGGTGAGCCTTCAGTCAAGGTTGTCGAGATACACAACCCCGACTTCCTACTCGACTCGAGGGGAGGCGGGAGCTGAACTGTTTGCTGAAAAAAGGGGACCGAAAAGGTCGTTGTGATGTTGAACCACAAATTTCTGAAGATGTATTTGGCTTTGAAAATGCCGATGGGAAACCATCTGGTATTAAAGAACGAATCAATCTCGTCTCTAATTGCCGGCTACTTGAAGTCGAGCAAGCGGTTTTCTCTCTGGTCTGTCCTGTCCCACAACCACATCATGATCTCCATGTCATGACAGGCATCGACTTGATCCCACGTCCCAAGGAGACGGTGGCCAGCGATCTGATCGTTTAGCAAAGCATTCAGCAAGGTTCAACCTCCTAGCAACAACCAACCACCTGGGAGAATGAAAACGGCTGGTACAGAGAAGGACCGAATGGTCCTGAATACCACCCTCTCATCCCAGGGTTGGCCATACTGCCCTTTTCTTTGCATGTTTTATAACATGCCTGTGTCGATCCTGTCGAACCTCTTCACAGCAATCGAAGCCGTCTTCAATCCTTTTTGCCCCGTCTTACGCATGGAACAAAAAGCAGCCGGCGCTGAAAGTGGTTCTGGACAAACATGGCTAGGACTCCAGGTCTTGAGCACATTTGAGATGAATCGTGGGACTGCCTACAGTACCCGGGCAAGTTCGACCAAGATCTGAACGTGTTCTTCCAATCATGGAGAAGGACAGAGATGGAGCGTATCCGTCTAACGACTCTACGCCGAAACGAAGATTGAAGCTAGGGAGGCCTTCAGGAGTCATCAGAGCTCGATGAAAAGGCGCGTCACTGCCCCTGCGAGTCCTTGAAAGCACAAGGGCAAGCCCCGCCCGTACTGGCAATAGGTTGTTCTAGTTGGACTCGCATTCGAGAGTACCGCCCAGCCAGAGTCGGTGCTCATGTGAAAGTCCACTTCTCGTCCTTCCTGCTCTCCACGATTTCGGCATACATAAGTTTGATCACAAGGCTATCAAGTACGTGTGAGTGCAGGCGGCGGCGAACGCAACCCCTGTCCGCCCGGGTTGGTGTCAATGTCAGGATTGCGGGAAATGATCAGACCCCAAAGACACGGTATCTTGTCCGGGTCGCGGTCTTTCCAGCGCTCTCCGAAGGGGTCGAGCCTTCAAACGTGAAGCAGGCCTCTGGTCGTCAGAAACATGGGGCCCAAACCGCAAGAGAAGACATTGAGGAGATTGACGCTTGGTCGACATGCTGGCCTGCGTGACCCCTAGAAGCCTGAGAAGTCCAAGTAATCGTGTTTGGCTGGGCCGTTCGAGATCTTGGAGGACAGAAATACACTCCGTCTTTCCCCTTGCATTCGCTCGCAACCTCTATTCGCCACCTCCACATTTTCGAGCGATCGGTTTCCGATACAACTGGCAACCAAAGTCCAGATTCGGGTCACGCGAAAGCAAGCCGACAAAGAACGGCGATGACTACCAACCGACTTACTATCCGGGACGAGGAGTCCGGGAATGCCGAGGAATATCAGTATAGGGGGGCGATTTCGTTGTCTAGTAATTAGTGGGCAAACAGTGTCCGAGCCAAGCTGGCTGGCGCTGATCTACGACCAGAAACAAAGTCATGCTTCGTTTTGAATGCGTTTTGGTCCGACAGATTTTATATATCAGAGCAGAAAAGGGCGCCGATGTAGAAGAGACCGAGCAACAGGTTGAAATACGGTCTCATCTTTGCAAGGAGGGGTCGTTGCGGATGGGTCACGTCCAATTTGCCCGGGCCTGAGATCAATCTTCATCAGAGTCGGAGAAGGCCAGGCCATGAGCCTATGGATATCAGTCAGCGCGGAGTGTTCCAGAACAGGGCCCTCATGCAGCGACATCAAACATGGATTCAAATTGTGGGATGGTCCGCGCTGAAGATTGATTTATCCCCGGACGATCCGACTCAGCCATGAGAATACAGCGTTCAATGAAGATGACGACGATGTAAGAGTCGAGTCGAGTCGATCGAATTCACCTGTTCAAAGACATATTGATGCCAAACACCCGGGACTGGTATATTTTGAGACAGTCACCACATCAGACCTCCAGACAGCCAAGCAAGAAGGCCAAGCGCAAAGCAAGTGTTCGGTTTAGTTGCTTCAAACTGGATACAGTATTTGAATGGGAGATTAGTGCACTCAATGACATGGCTCACATTTGACCATTGATTTCATGCGCCCGAGGTATACTGAGTACTGGTGCTGATTCATCTCGTTACGTTACCTCAGCTTTGCTCGTCGCGTAGAAGCACGTAGTCCTATACAGTGAAAAGGCACAGTAGGTGTCTAGTAGAGGCACCAAACGGGCCGGAATGAGGCCAGTAGTTCCAAGGGGCTGCAAGGCTGACAAGGCTAGCCAATCACCAAACGACCCTTGTCTTCATGGCCGTAGTACTACGTACGTCGCTATACCCTCGATCCGCGACCGCATAGAACCACTTCTCTTCTCCGTCAAGCAACAAGCAAGTAACTGACTCGACAAAGCTCACGAAGACCCAAATCCAGAGCTACACCTCATCCCAACTTCACGATCCAGAACCTACCGTCTAACCTGGGGGTTCCAAGGACTTGCTGTCGTCTAAGCATCCGCAACCACCTCCAGCTCGTCCTCAACCATCAGCTACTTCAACCGGAGTCAACAGAACACACCATACGAAAACCTACACCTCCATCAGCACAACATAACACACACGACTCTGTGATCACAATTGAAGCGCCCTCGTCTTCCTCCTGCGCCCTCATTCCCTGTCTCCGGAGACATTCGCGTACCGAGTACGAACCCTTTACTTCCATCGCATACGCTCTCCCACGCATAGCCCACGGCCTTATCTCTTCTTAAGAAGGGTAGACTAGCCTACACCCCATACGCCCACCCAGACCGAACCCAGACCCAAACACAATCCATACCCAATCCGGCCAGACAAGAAATCCATCATGATCACCGACGACCAACTCTACTCCCTCGCCGTCTTCCTCGGCGCCGCAGCAATGCTCCTGATCGTGCTCTATCACTTCCTCGAAGTCAATGCCCAAGACGACACTGAGCTGTCGAGTGGACTGGCCAGCGACAAGAGCGGCGTCGGGGCAGTCAAGCCTGTTGAATCACAGACTCAAACTCAAACGTTTCACTCGCAAGTCGTGGTGGATGAGAAGAGATGAAACAGAACAAAACCCATTGCATGGGAAATCCAAATAAACCGCAGTGCTGGACTCTTCTGTTCGACAACGCAGTATGAAATGGACGACCCGTGGTCACCTCAATTCAACTGGCAATCTGATAAATGGACAACAATGGAGGTGTGCTAGCGACCGACAGCGGAGCCGTTCTAAAAGTCTCCAGTTTGAATATTAATACCCAATACTTGATACCACTCATACTCGGTCCTTGACACCCGAACCGCGACTGCTGAGAAAGGGAATGATTTATCGGTGTCAGTGAGGTGGTCAGCTGAGAAAAGAAGGAGGGAGGGAGCATACTAGTCAAGGCACGAGCAGTATAAGGATCCTGAATCCCTGCTCATCCCATCGTTTTCGGCATTTCCTCTTATTCAACAGTTGGCTGCTGGTCAATTGAGCGGGAGATTTGGAGGAGCGAGCTCGATCCACCAACCAAAGAACCAACGCATTGCACAGAAAGCTAAATAAGGGCTCGACAGCTTGTTGGAAGGGGTGTGTGCGAACGAGAGGAAATTCGGTCTGCGCATAGTAGTACAGAACATACATAGACTAGACAACGGAGGAGAAGAGAACGTTCCATCATCCAAGGACAGACATGAGCAGGCCCAGAGTAGACTGCAACAAGTTACCACCAACGAGCCGTTTCTGCTTTCGCTTCCCAAGTACTTGCGTAAGCGAGGCCTCGCAAGAAGATAGGTAGAGAAAGATTACCATATCATATACAACAAATCCAGACATCTACTGAAACTGGTCCTAAGATGATAAACAGACTGAGGGTCTCAACTCATTTGAATTCATTCATGCAGTGGAACTGTTCCTAGAGAAGGCGAAGGTCTTACCGATTTTTGACTGATGTCGGAAGACTTAGAGTCCTTCTTCAGCTATCTTCTTCTGCTGCTTCAGCTCCCCTTGTTGTCTTGCTCAGCTGTAGCTGGAGAGCTCAGCGCAAGCTCAGTTTGCGCTCGCTGTGTCCACACTCAAACATAGTCTAGGCATCAATCGTCGGCCCAGCTCCCTTCTCCCTTCTGAACTCGGCACATCGAAGTAGTTCTCTTTCTCAACGACTAGCGGCAGCCCTCGGCCAAATATTAGCAAAGAGCTAGTGCGACACGAGTATTCTGCCAAATCTTGTCCCGAGATCAGTAGTTAGCATCGACAACTCTTCTGATGCCCGGGTTCTGTGTCAATGTCGCTCTTCTGGCCTCGTTGACCAAAACGCAGCCACCTTTATCGATGCCGGGCCCGAGCGCAGCCTTTCTCGCCTCCATGGCGCGCAAAGTCTCTTCCGCAACGGCCTTTGGTGTGTTCTTTTCCTGGCGGTGTGTCTTCATGAAACTTCGGCGGGCCATCGTCTCGGCGTCGTCGTGATTCGCCCGTAGTAGCGTCATGGTATCAGGTTCCATATCTTGTAAAGATTTTTCAGAAACCGCAGGGGTCGTGATTCTTCCGCTTTCGTCCGAGAGGTATCGGGTCCTATCCTGGTGTATAGTCTGGGGATCTGTGTAAGAAAATGTTCTAGCGGCTGGTACTGACGGGGGGATGTAAAGGAATCTCGAGACATCAAAGGATGACGACTCTAGCTTACCAATATGTCTTGTGGACGGCCCGTCCCCAAACTTGAGGGCGATCGGGTGCAAGTGGTCCGTTTCAATGTGATTCAGCCACTTTTTGGCATCACCGAAAGTCTCCACGGGCCTGAAACCGTCGTCCTCGAGTTGCAAGAACCGACAATGTTTCCACCAACAGATGTACCCGTACTCCTCTGCCTCGTCTGCGGATGGCTCATGGACGCCGGAGACGTGCCGCCGTAGGGTCTCCAAGTTATGGAGGTGCGCTTTGCAGCCTTTCCAGCGACATCGATATACAGGAAGGCTTGGAGTCGCGGGTGAAGGAATGTTGACGGAGATCTCACGCCTCACAGCTGGTTTGGCGCTGACTGAATCGTCGCGCGGGATGTTTTTCGCGCCGGGAGGACGGCCGCGTCTTTTCCCGCTAGGAAAGAAAGACCCCGCGCTCATCTTGCCAGGTTCCGCCGACGGTCTTATTTGAGTCGAAGAGGATCGTGTCGAGCGCGTTCGCTGCGGGAGCGGGGTTTGTAGAGGTGAAGTCACGCTTTGCTTTCGTTTCTGAGGCACGACATTTGTGGACTTTGGCCCTTGAAAGGACTTGATTTCGACACTGGGTCGAACAGAAGATTGGGATGAATTCGGCCTCAAGTTGTCCTTGCTTTTGGCTTGTTGCGCGACTTCACGTTGAGGCTTCAAGTTCGGGCTGGGCGCAGGCAAACCGCGCTTGTCCGAATGCGGTAAGGACGGATTCTGAGCCTTGTGGTCACTATTGCCAGGACGGCCATTCAAGTTGGTATCGTCAACCTTGCCAACTTGCTGCTCCTGGGACCGGCGGACTCGCTCTCCCAGTCTGTATTTGGGAGGCTCTGTGGGGACATCGACAAGCTCAACTTGTGGCACAGCCGGTCCTCCAGGGTCCACAGCATCCCAGTCAAATGTACTGAGGTCGGAATCAAGGTCAATGTACTTCCCAAGCAGGCTCGTCATGTGCGCGTTTAATGGTCGCTCATGTGGATGTCGACCCGCCGCAATGAGAATGTCGCGGGCAACCGTCTTGGGGTTGTAATAAGTCTTGCGCAGAGCCTCGCTCTTGTCGATCGGTTTCGCAAGGACCAGGGCAGAACGGGGCCGGTTTGTGATATCAAATGGGCCGACGGGGGCCGTTGTGTAAGGCATCGGGGGTGGCGGAACCGTACTGTACGTGGGAATGTTTCCACCCTGAAAGGGGACCGGCTGCCCGAAATATTGCGGGCCTTGCAAGCCGGGATGAGCGGGAGGAGGAGGAGGAACTTGTGCAGCGGCCGACATCATTTGTTGCTGATACTGTTCGATTACACCGCGCTCTGGAGAGGGACTTTCGATCCGAGCTTGCTTCCTTGACATCACGTAATCCTCATTATCACTTAAGGCCGTGAGATCCACCACTTCTGAAAAGTCTCGCTTCCGGGCCATTGCCTCCTTCGAGCCCGGGGGCGGCTCAGGTCGAGAAGGCCCAGAGGAATTGTTCTTGCCACCACTGCGGTTTTGCGAACGCTGCTGGTTAGTCGAAATCTTCTTCTCTGTTTTGAAGGCTCCTGGTCCAAATGAAACTTGCAAAAAACCACCAGAAGGAGCCTGAGCGGCCATTTGTTGCGCCGGGACAGCCTGATTGGCGTCCGCAGAAGAGAAAGGAGGAGCAGTATTTGATTGGTTTGCTGACAAGGACGCAGGCGGCTCATTCAGCTGCACTGGCGCCTGGCCCGGTGGTGGAGGCGGAGGTCGCGCTTGGCTTGGAGGTTGAGGAGGCTGAAGAGGCTTCGCCTGTGGGCCAGTCAAGTAGGGCACATTGCTTAGCAGTTGCCGGGCAAAGTGACCCCGGTGAAATACGAGCCCTCTTGCTTCCAGTAGCTCGCACAAGTCGATGTAGCTGGGGTTCTTGTCCAGCATTGCGTGGATGTCTGCAGGACCAATCTCCACTGCACTGTTCTCTGGCAGCGATTTCAGTGTCCGGACTGCAGCTTCAGCAAGCGCATTCCGCTTGTCCTCAGGCCATAGGGTTCCGCCACCAGCTCCTTTTGGTGGGAGTCCTTGTGAAAGAGGGGGTGACTTTGCTTCCGAGAATTTGATAGCGCTTGCTGCTTGGGTTGTGGTAGACGCCGGGGGAGCACTCGCCTGGCTGTGACTCCCAGCGGCAGGAGAGCCAGTCGCTTCTGGAACCTGCGGATTTGCTGCAGCAGGAGGCTTCCTACTATATGTCGTACGGATGCGTCGTTCTGCCGGAAATCGACCTAGATCTGGTAAACCTTCAGGGTTGTCTTCTACAACGACCCTGTAGCCGTTACGATGAGCACCTGGAAAATCCTCGGGTGTGTTTCGTGGTTGACGAGCTTCGGCTGCTGAAGGGCGAGGTTTTGGAGTAGATGCTGGCTGTGCAGGGAGCGCTTGAGAGGAGGACAGTGCTCCGTTTGAGACTGCCGGTGCAGGACGGGCTCCAGCGGACGGAACAGCCTGCTGAGACATTTGAGGAGAGGGCGAATGCAAAGGAGCTGCCGGAACGGTTGGGCCTTGGGTCGGCTTTCGCATATCTTCCCAGAGCTTCTGGAAAAGTGTAGGATCTTTGCTCCTGAATTCCTTCATTTTCTCCATCATGGCCTTCAGTTCAGCGGCCATATCTGTCTCACTTGGCTGGTTGTCTGAGTGAGGCTGGACTGGCTGAGACACCGCTGCCGACTCTTGAACCGGAGGGGCCATCTTTTTCGGTCTCGGTTTCGCAGCTTTTTTGGGTGCCGCTTCTCTTCCTGCGGAGGCGAGGTTGACTTCTTGCGCTTTCTTCTTTGCAGCCTCTTCTTCCTCCCTCTTCTTCCTAGCTGATGTTGCTGCCGCCGCCGCTTCCTCTTCTTCTTTCTTCTTTGCCGCCGCTGCCGCTTCCTCGGCAGCCTTCTGTCGTGCTAATGCCTCAGCTTCCCTCCGTCTCCTCTCATGCTCCAGGTGATAAGGGTTGAAGACTTTAGAGGGATCGACGTAGCTTGGAACCGGACTTTGGGCATCCTCTGTCGAAGCATAAGTCGATTGTGGGCTCTCCCCCACAGTGTTGGTGACCAAATTCGAGATACTGTTCACCGGCACGGACGTCTGCTGTGCGCTCTTGTTTGATGACCGTACGTGGTTGCTTGTGTTCCCGTTCTGTGACCATTGCTGCGCCATAGCACGATTCGTATTAGTCGACCCCGTGTAGTTTTGAGGCGTGCCTGACGGCGCGCGCAGTTGAGCCTGTACTTGGGCGGGCTGAGAGTAAGGTGAGGCGGTTCTTTGAATTGACGATGCTTGCGCTGTTCTGGCTGCATCTATGACGGGGGAGGTTGAAGACTGCGGGATCCTCCGATTTACAGCACCTGCCAGTGCGGCCGCGGCAGACACGGGCGGTTGTTGAGTATGTTTAGATGAAACGTCACTCTGATAGCCATAATTGTTTGGCGGATTCGTGTTGTATCCAGTCGCCCCCTGCGTGACTGGAGATTGTACACGATTTGGAATGGCACTACTCGCGGCCGAGCTGTATCTCTGGTTCGATGCTGCCGTCGGTTGATGGTTCTGGCGCTGCGATGTTGAATGCTCCAGACCCGATGCATAAGCTAGATTGTTCAGCCCACGTGTATCTCGTGTGGAAGTTGAAGTCGACAAGCCGGAGTTGTAATAGCCTTGCCCACCGGCTTCGGATGTGGACGCATTCGCGCATGTGTTGGACTGATGCCTCTGTTCACCGTACGACGTAGTCTGAGGAGCTGAAGTTTTCCATGATTCAGTGCCATAACCTTGGTGCCGCGAAGTGTTGGAGTAGCTCTGTTGGCTCTGCCTCGAGTACTCGTAGCCCGAAGTCCCATATTGAGATTGTCTTATGTCGCCAGGGTAGGAAGGTTGCGTGGAGTAATGGTTGTGAGACATCGACTGTCTGCCGTTGTTGTAAGAGTTTTGCATGTTCTGTCCTTGATTTCCAACATCATAGTGGTCGCCAAAACTGGACTGCGACGGATACGACATGGCAGAGGCCCTTGACCACAAAGGCAATTGCTGCCACGTCCCAACAGATCCTCATGCGCTTTTATTAACCTCTTTTCCCTTCATCTCCACCGTGTGTACATGTTTTAAATGAAAATCTCTGGGTAGGTTGGTGGCGCGCGACTTCAGAAAGGACTCATACGTGGTGATTCTTTTGGGTGAGAGGTTGTCAAAACTGCGGTTGTCAATCAGTCGGTCGCTTCGCATGACAATTCACTGTTGTTCGTCGCATTTACACCATGGTCTGCTATCTGGCACAGCATTAAACAATGTACAATTGTCGCGCCCAGTGTTGTTGAGATACACCGCGTAGTAGAGAGGAAAGAAACGCCCGATAGCCTGAGTACGTAGTAGTACATAGTACGACCAAACAGAGACGTGCAGTGGCTAAAGGCAGATGCGCGCCCCAAAGTTCGGAGCCTCGAGGCTGCACCGCCGTGTCAGTGGATCTAGCCAATCACAGGGAGCGCAGCCAAAGCCCGCCAATTCTCCAATTCAGCGGCAGCCGCGGCCAATGCTCGACCGAAATGAAATTCTTGGCGCACTTTCAACGCTGCCGTGCCAGATGCAAATTTGGGCTGCGACATTCAACCACCACCGCTTCGAACTATCTCGGTCGTCGACAATCACCCATTTTCACCCGCCCAAACCGCAACCATGACGAAGCAAAATGCCAGTACGTTACAACTCTCGAAAGGACAATCTGATCGAAATGCTGATCGTGATCCCCAGGTCTGGCCTCGTCGAGGCGCAAGTCTCGCAAGCAACACTTCTCGGCTCCCTCCAGCGTCCGACGGGTGATTATGAGCGCGCCTTTGAGCAAGGAATTGAGAGAAAAGCACAATGTACGATAAATCCATTCCCAGCACCTGCCGCAAGCCGACGTGGCTCGAATCCTACTCGGAGTGAAACAATATTTCTGTTCCATCTGGCAAAGGCTACTCGGATTGCGCGGCGGGACGCTTGAAGAATTTTGCTGTGTATCCGGATATCTAACAGATTCGTGCGAACTACAGGTCCGCAGCATCCCTATCCGGAAAGACGACGAAGTCACCGTGGTCCGAGGCTCGAACAAAGGCCGTGAGGGAAAGGTCACCTCCGTCTACCGATTGAAGTACTTGATCCAGATCGAGCGTGTCTCCCGCGAGAAGTCCAACGGCCAATCCGTCCCCATCGGCATCCACCCCAGCAAAGTCGTCGTCACCAAGCTCAAGCTCGACAAGGACAGGGAAAAGATCCTGGAGAGAATTGCCAAGGGCCGTGAATCCATCAAATCGCAGTAAACGTCCGGCAGGAAGCGGTCATTGGGTTGTGGTGTTTTTGAAGGGAACAATGGAGAAAAGAAAAATCAAATGGACCATGATTGAGGCTTTTTTAAACACCGGTCTTTCCCTCGACTTGAGAGGAAGAAGACATCGGATCCAGACTTGATACAGCCCGCGTCCTACATACTCGACGTGGCATCGGCATCTCAGTCTTGTGCCTGAATGAAACAAAATTTCGAAAACATTGCTGGTTCTTCCGGAGCGCCTATGCCTTTGGTGACCGTCAACTGGGGGGTTTTCACGAGTTGTAGTGGTTCCTTTGGACAGGGCTTGTGCTGTGTTCATGAAGGCCACCTCATCTGGTTCCATGAATGGCTGGTTTCACGTGGTGGTTTTCTTCGCACTCTCCATCTTCTACCGATGTCCCCAATGAAACGCTATTTCTCTTACGATCTCTCATGATATCCTTTTACAGCTCTAGCTTCCTTCTTGTGCTATTTTTTCCCTTCTTGCGCCAGCTTATCTCCTTGCCGACCTGTTTCATCCGTGGTTGAACAAGGTAAACGATTGGCGCAGATTGAAGCAATCATGCACAAAAATCGCATGACTCGCCGGCAGACTGTCTACAAGGATACGTTCTAATGAGTAGCAGGATTTGATGGCGAGATACAGAAATTAACAATGTCATTCTTCTTTGTACATTTGTCCAATTCAGATGACAATGACTCGACCACTGCACGCTAGTGATTTCATCACCGCATCATGCATGCTGACTGAGTGAGACTGTTTTCTCTTTCCATACTAAGTAGTAGCAAGATACACACACGCCCCGTGATCAAGCACCGCCACCGACTCCCCCTTGTTTTATGTCAGAGTAGAAAATCAAACTGCCACTGCTGCATTCAAAGCCACTTCAATCGTGTTCAAGTTTGTAAGGCAATCTTTCAGACATCCAAGTCTTCCACCGCTGCGCTCCATGAGTCAGATGTGAGTGAGATATATGATCCAGCAATGCCCAATGTCGACCATCCACTTCCATCACCCTCAGTCCACACACACACACACACACACACACACACACACACACACACACACACACACACACACACACACACACACACACACACACACACACACCAGCAGAACCTCCATTCCATCTCAGCTCACTGCCACTGCAGCTAGTACTGTTTCTAGTACTGCTTCTCATGAACCCCATTAGCCGCATTGACCCCATTAGCAGAATTCATGACCCCACGGTTGGAATCCCAAGCCTGATTCTGGACATCAACACCCGTGACTTTGGAAATATGTCTCTGCAAACCCTCCTCGCCGTCCTTATGCTCAGCATGACCGGCATGGATCTTCTGGAGACTGTCCCTGATAAGCAATTCATAGTACCCCGTAGCGAAAATAGTAGCAGGGACGTTGACCAGAATCGAAATCCACGAATAACTGCTCGAATACGTGAAGGCCTCCTTGCCAAAGAAAATGGCGGCCACGATTCGAGTACCCAGATCCCTAGCCAAGTTGGTCGAGAGAGTGTTTCCCGCAAAGCCCCAGACCATACAGGCGTAGGCGATACCGATGGTAAAAGGCACAGAGACAGGACTGACGAATGGGTTGGCTCTGTCCAAGCACGCCCAGATGACAATGCCGATGTAGCTGTCCACAAAGAATTCCTGGAAGAACAAGTATCCTTGGTTGGTCTGGTTCGTGTTGGGAAACGCGCAAAGTATACTGGCCACGCCACCGTTGTAGACTGCTGTGCCGTGGTTCTTGATGTCGAGAGCCTTGGCTGCCTGGATTTCGGGCCAGTAGCATGCCATGAGCATTAGGCCGGCCAACTGGGGGAAACATTAGTGAGTGACCCCAGAAAAGAAGAGGCGACCGTTCCAATTCGAACGTCAACCAAAGGGGAAGTTGCAACAACTTACAAAGGCACCAAAGATTTGTGAAAAGATATAATGCGGCACTTTTCTCCAGGGGAATCCTTCCCAGATTGCGAAACAGATGGTAATTGCCGGGTTGAAATGACCGCCAGACACAGGGGCACATGTGATGATTGCAAACGCGATACCAATGGCGAAAGCCCATCCGATCTGGAAGAGATTGCCGAAGATGGTGACTCCGATCTCTGCTGCTACGGGGTTCGTGGTGGCTAATGTGAATGAAGCCACCGAGGCGATTCCGGGGAACACGTAGAAGAAGACGCCGGTGGCTTCGGCCATCATCTCACGCAGGATTCTGGGCCGTTTGTGCTCAAAGTCCAGCCTGCGCTGGGAAACGGGTTTGGCCGGAACGACATGACGAGTGATATGGCGTTGAAGCACGTCCGAGACACCGAGTTCGATGTCGTGAGTATGCTGGCGAACCAGATCGTTGCCGCTTGACGACATGACGGGCAGAGTAAAATCTGGGCTTTAGAGGATCCTAATCCGGGGCAGTGGGAGTGAAGATCTGGGGTACTGAGGATGAAGAGTAATCATGGAGAAGTTCTGGGGAGGATGGGATGTAAAGTAGCTGTGGTGATGAGAGGACCCAAGGGCTTCCGCCGCTCGGATCCCACTGTTTGGTTGCACATTTTCATTCATTATTATTAGTAGTAGCAGTATTAGCCCATCCGGACCTACCAGAAAGGCAGATTGTGCAGACGTTCGTGTGGCCCTAACCCCAGCAACAACCCCGGTAAGCCCATACTGTGGATTAGAGAAGTGGACATTTCAATCCGCGTGAGAGGAGCTCTGGAAGCGGGCAACCATGCGCAGGGATGATTTCCACTTTCACTTTGCAACGCTGTGGAAAAAAAGTTCCAGTTGTTGTCATAAAGAAAATCGGGGCGTCATTGCCAACCGAAAGGGATGTTCGGCACCTGAGAAGTGGCATTGCTTGTCCAGCTTACAAGCTTTGATCTTGTGCCCAGCTAACAACCGGGCCAATGAGGCCCCTGTTCGAGAAACACTCGGTCCATACATCATTCGAAAGCGTGTTGGAGGTGACGGACCCAGAGCGGAGTTGTAGCGAGATCAGGAAACGCGGGAATAAGAGCAGGGGCAACCGAAGGGCCGATGCATAGCGAACTGGAGATCGATGGAAGAGGCAGTAAGCAATCATATCGGACGAGGACACCAAGCCTCGGCACGTTGGATGCGTCATTGGCCGTGTACCTCGCGAAAAGTGTAGCCGATGAACGACGGGAAGGGCAACAGGAGATGGTCGACGGGTTTTTCTATTGATTGATTCGAGGTCGAGGCCGCATTCCCCGTGGGCCGGTCGTTCTCCATGTGGAGAAACTTTGGGCTGACCACCAAAGTTGGGGCGACTTTTCCACCGCCAGTGTCCTTCGTCCGTCCGTGATTCGTGCCTGCGCGTCCATCCGTCAGCTGAGGTTGCATAACAGATTGGTCAGATACTGTCGTAGTCTATGTCAGATACGCTTCAACGGCGTCAATTACTCCGAGCCATGCGCTGATGAGACGCACGCATAGCCGATCGCTTGCCGTCGGTGTCGTTCCGCGCAAGGCCGTGCCATACAAAATGTACTATTGTACATTTCAAGAGCTTCTTTCACCTCGGTTGTCAAGTATGCAACAAGCGATGGACTGTCTCAGACACGTGTTAGGCGGTCTGGGAATGAGACCAGATCCAGTTCCACGGTGAAATGAATGCCCTTGAGCTAACAGTATATGCATCAGAGAAATATATTTGTCAGGTCTGCATCGGAACAACGGACTAGACATTGTGGCTTCGAGACATTGCTCATATTGCGTGATCTAGCTGACCCTCCTGGCGCCTTCTCACCACTTTTCAATATATGGCCGGATATCGAGCTCGTTGGTGAAGCATGTCCTGGGCTGGGTATGGAGATACCAGTACGCATCGGCGATCTGGAGAACAACGAAAGAGGTCAGCCTGTGTCAGGGGAGAATGGCCTCGATGCTGGAAAAGACCTACCGCCTCTGGTTTGATCTTCGCGTCTGGATGATCAAATTTGTAGGCCTTGGTCCTCTCAATGTCAATCACACCATCAATAATGGCGTGCGCGACGTGAATGCCCTTCGGGCCGAATTCTCTCGCCAGTGATTGTGCCAGCGCTCTCAGAGCAAACTTGCCTGTCGCGAAGGAGGCACAGTGTGCGGAACCTTTCATGGCGGCAGTGGCGGATGTGAAGATCAGTGTGGGAGGGTACTCGGGCGATGCATTGACCCTTTCCAGCAGCAGAGGCAGAGCAGCTTGCGAAAAGTGAAATGCTCCTCGTCTAACCACATACCGGTCAGAAGAAAATGGTGTAGGTGAACAGAAAGGGAACCTACCCGTTGGCTGCCCACCCAACCTCGAACTCCTCCTCCGTGAGCTCCAGGAAAGGCTTGCGGATGAATCCACCACCCACATTGTAGATGGCGGCAGCAAGCGTTGCACCTCCCAATTCCTTCTTCAACTGCTCGAACGCGTTCTTGACGCTTTTCCCGTCGGAAACATCGGTGCTGATACCTATAGCTTTACCGCCAGCTGCATTGATTTCTGCCACAACAGGGTCATAGTTGGCAGGGTTCCGTGCCAGTAACGCAACCGAGTATTTTTGGGCGAAGCGGCGAGCGACCGAGGCACCTCTGTGACAGTAAGCGCCTTGTACCTGATAGACCTCTGTCTTCAAGTTGCGAGTGAGACTTACGTGCCTGGCCCAACTCCAGCGACGACAGCCCAAGCCTTCTGCGACGACATTTTGATGTTGAACGAGCGGGTCGGCGTCTATACGAGGTGGTTGTTGAATTGCAACTTGACTTACTGTCCTGTAGACTTACTGGGATGGTGGATAGGCGACGTTGTTTACATAGAAGTCAGAGATCATTGAGCCCCTCAATGATGCGATCGTCTTGCAGGTTCGCTTTATGACAAATCGTGGTTTATGTGAGCAGGTTCTGAGGTCCCCGATGATAAGTAATCCCGGGGATGCGTTGCTCTACTTTAACGGCACTAAGCTTAGGAACACCCCGATGCCTATAAGGAGCCCTATAAGAGCTCTAGAAGCTACCATACAATGTTGTAGGTGCGCCCACCGGAGCCTGAAGAGCCCGAGTCCGAGGGGATCTGGGGTTGGGTCAGCCTAAACAAGCCCCTGATGCATGATTCCTGATCAACATGTACTGGAAGTCCATACCTACACTTGCACTGGCAGCGAGTAACAATTAAGCCTGAAGGCGCTCTGGATGTGTTGTCACCAGAAGATGACACAGACTCGGATCCTTGATGTACTATCGCTAGAATTAGTACCTATGTAGTTGATGGCACGGCAGCCTCGACAATAAATGCACATTTGAAGTGCCCTACCTGGTAAGCTTGGGTGCACTCATAGTGACTACCACCGCAGGCAGGTGTACCTGATCAGTACCTACCTACCAACTACTTTGGAGTATGAGCCAGCGTGCCATCGTTGTGCTGCTATTCGAAGCAGCTACATGACTGGCATTGGTGGTGCCCAGGGTGCAGTGGCTCCTCCTCTGAAAGAGCCTAGGGAGCCGTTCTGGCCTGCGCAATAAATTTCCTCCTCTCCAGAAAACCGATACAATCTCTAGGCACAAGTTACGCCTTTATCTCTACACTCAAAGATCGCATTCTTCGTTTCACGTCCTTCTCGGTACTGTACCGGACAAAAACGACGACGTACTTGACATTGAAACAGCGGTGAAGGACGTCCCTCCGAAAAGGGCACGACGGCACCTTACCTAAATCTGCCCAGAGGCATCGCGGTACCTGCAGCAGATCCGCGGCCGGGCCACCCGCTTGTTTCGACGTCCTTCGCCCCTTTTTCATATGAGCCAGCTTCGTTGCCAACCCCACGAATGATGGGCTGCGAGCGACTTCGACAATCGTTTAACAGACACATGCAAAGGGTCGAAAGTCTAGCCTAGTTGCGTCCGTCGGGTTCGCTGCCAACACCCCTAGCGTGTAACATCATGGGCTTTCCCACAGAGACTGAGAGGACGGCTCAGATCGAGAGGGTTATGCCCGAACGTCGAATCAAGCACCGGTTGCAGAGGGGTTGCAGGCCATCTCAAGCACTGGGCAGGCCGGGTAGGCCTTAGGATGAGGTAACTTCAAAGATACAGCGATCGTGTATTGGAGACCATCAAAAGTACACAATACGGGGGAAAATTTCATATTCTGGGTGACTGCTGCCATAGTGTGTGCTCCAAGTGGCTTCTCTGCCTGCGCCAAAGATCCTCCCCTGTGTAGGTGCCTGGGCTAAACTCTGGATGCACTTCGAGCCAGGCCTCATCGATGTTGGCACTTTCAACTAATGATTGGACAATGAATTCGTCGACATGTGAAGGTGGCCATCAGTCTGAGAGATGCTGGAGACGAGCATGCTCATCTGACATATAAGATGCAGAGGCTGTACCAAGGAGATGGCTGGCCGAGAAGCAATGCAGTGGCAGGCAACACTCCTTGCATACTGACCCAGCTCTTCAGCTCTCCTACAGCGTCGTCCACAGACCTGTCAGATGCCCCAGATCCTAGCGACGACGATACGAAACCGACCAAGAGAGACGTGACTGTCAGTGTCCCGGAGTTTCTTCGACACCGTGTGACCCGTAGCGGTAAGGGCAGTGCCCTTCCAGCGTGTGCGCTGTGTGAGGTGGCGGCAACGACCCCTTCCGATGTTTGTGGGGATGTTTGCGGGCATGTGTGCGACTTGAAGCGCTTGTCAAGATGCTATCACACCCACCATCACAAAAGCCACATCGAGGGAGGGGTTCATGTAAGTTGCCAGGAACGCACAAGCGTCGAGACACAAAGCAAACCTACCTAGGTAGCACATCCTCGTCTGCATCATGATTCGTCCCCACGGCTAAGGGCGCCAACTTACAGAACGGGAGCGGAGCGGTTGGTATGCCAAACGATGTTTTTTCACACTGGCACTCCCAAACCTCAGCTTCGTCTCACCAAAACTTCGGCAGAACACGAGCGCCATTTTCTCTGCTGCCCTGTAAGACCTATCTACCTGAATGCGCGCGTATACATGCAGGTTGTCGTGAGCCGAGTGGCTAGAGCCAATCATCACCATCCGGAGGCGCCGGATCGATTAAGCGGATGGTTGGGTTTGCACTGCACCGTGTTGACAGTGGCCAACTTGAAGTTACATACGAGAAGGACTGGGACAGATGGGCTGTCTCTCTAATCGGGTCGTCGCTGCGTGTATACGAGGCGGACAACCTCTTGTTCCCTTAGACCCTTGTCCACTATCCAATTGCGGCCTAAACCATCTCGACTCGAGGCACTGCAGACGCCAGTGAGTTGCGATGCTTTCAGGTCTTCGCCTCCCTTCCTAGAAACCACTGCCACACTTCTCATGGCATTTATTATATCCGCCACGAGGATAGGGTTGCCTTGCCACCACCACCACCACCACCACCATCATCACAACTTGAACCGCACACTCCAATGCACACGCCCTTACAGTAAGCGCCTAGCGAACACCACTTCAAGCGACTTCGTATTCAACTCTTCGAATGAGGAGGCTCGACTAATACTCTGTACAGAAGTTAAGCCGAGCCATAAACTCTACTACCAGGTATTGTAGGCCGGCGCCGTGTTTTTGTGTCATCTGAGTCGGTTCATCAATTTATTATATGGGGAAATTGAATAGAAATAGAAATTGAATGGAAATAGAACAGTTAGGTCAACGAGTAAAGCAAACGAACAGAGCTTATGCCCCTGAAATGATACTTCACACATACATAAAACCATACAATAAGCCATTTAGTACTGTACTATTAAAAAAGAAAGCCAACCATAGCCTAGATAAGACAAGTCCGCAACTCCTGGGGTATATAGCGCGACAACGGAAATAATGACAAAAAGTCAACGCCGAGAGCAACTCCCAAGGCAGAAGACCATGTGCGTGTATAAACGCATAAAAGTACATGGTCAACATCAGCCATAGAAACCCAGCCCCTGTATGGCTTGCTGTCAGCGTCAGGCAACTTTTTCCCTCCGACCAGAAGAAAAACACCTCTGCTCCGTGCTTTTTGCCCCATATAACATTATTGTTGAAGCTGTAACACTCCCCTGCCTATCCACGCCGATCCGGTTCGCCATGCCGTAAGGAAACCAATAATGTGTTATGACCCCAATAACCAATGAGAATGCCGTAGCCTGCCTGTGCGTTATGAATGACTCAGAGATCCCCCATGATGCGCACCTAGGTATACATAAATGGATGTAATCAAATAACTCGCTTGAGGTTTGATGCCGTGTTGTTACATGTGCCTCACCATAAGCGCCAATGAAATGCAGAATGCACTATGTGCTGTATAGTACAGTGTTGTCGTTTAAGTTGTTGATGAAGTTTTGGGGCCGAGTCATGCTTGTTTTCGCCACATGGAGATCGCCTCTCGCTTCGAAAAAGGCGGCGACCGAGATCTGTTGTTGTTGACGCGTCGGCGCCATCCCTAGGCAACAGAGGGTCGACGCAGCGTGTCCTCGCAGTTGACGTCGAAGCGCATGCTCCAGAGTCTGATTTGGTTCATGATCTTCTCCGTCTGTTCGAGGTGGCGGTCGCGTCCGAAGATGGAGTCGACAAACTCGGTGCCCGCCTTTTTACCCATGGTCTTCGTGCCGTCACGTTTGGCAGCCTTGAGCATGTAGTGTTCGCACTCCTTGAGGAGCGCCTTGAACCTATCCCACAGCCGGTGACCACTCACGATGAAGTCCTCGACAGTCTCTTGCTTGTCGAGGTTCTGGATACGATCAACGCATTCTTCGGCCCGCTTCATCTTTCCTGCGAGCTTGATGAGCAGCAACCACAGTTCGCCAGCCATATCAGCGATAGGTGTCGAGGCGCCGTGATGGAAGACGGTCCAGTCGTAAATCCACTTGCCCAGGGAGTTGGCATCAAAGACACTACCCAACAGAATTATGGGCAACTCCGTAGGATCCCAGTGCTTTATGGAATAGCCGGGCGGGATCCCGGCGCGAATGGCATCTTCCTCAGTGGCCTGTGGCGTGGGCTTGTGCTGGCTGGGCTTGGATCTGTGTAATGGCTTGGTGGTGGACGAGGACCTTCGAGCCCTAGACCGCTTCGGTTGCTCATCTATGACCTGCTCCTGCCCATAGTAGAAATACGTGTCAGTGCTTGGCTTCCGCATATGCTTGGTTTTGGAAGGCTTTGGCTCGCGGTAGATGTAGGTAGGCGGCTCTCTTGCATATTCAGCTTGATCGTCGTAGATGTAGATGGGCTGGTTCTGTTTGCGTGACGTTGAACGGGTATGATATTTGGAGCGTGGCAAGGTGCCATAGCTCTCGTAGTTGCGGGACTTGGCCCTTTCCTCACTCACATAAACATCATCCCGCGGTGCAGCATACTGAACTCGGGGCTCATAGTAGGGTGGCGGAGAGCCAGCGGGTGAAAACCAACCTCCAACCCTGGGTGAAGGGTTGTAGCTGGCCTTACGCGCGTGTTTCTTGGGCGTCGTGTCATATTGAGGAGCATAATGAACGTACTCGCCGCTGCTGTAAGGCGAGGTGGTGTATTTGGCGTAATGCGCCGGGGGAACGCCGTAGTGATAACTCATGTTGGCCCAAATCGATAGCCTCTTCTCCGATACTGGGCGTCACTCCTCACTCCTGCCCCTTTCCGCAGCAATCTTTCCCTCGATCCGGGTCCAACACGTTCGGGTCTGGTTGTGTGTGTTTTTGAGGGGAGAGGTAGGTCCGGAAAATGCTGGAATGACTGAATATCATAGCGTAACTGGGCTCGAAATTTGGTTGAGCCGGGAGGAACAGGATTGAGACTGCGGACTCAATCAAATCAATAGCGATGTTGAAGCTTGCTGTGGCGGCCTTGCGATGACGCGCGTGTTAAGTGGTGAGGAGGGAAAAAGAGAGAAAAGTCGGATGGCTGGGTAGAGTGAATGGAAAAGTAAATATCGTTGTCTGCGGAGTGACAAAGAGTTCGATGGGAACTAGCGGCGCGGAGCATGCGTCCCGGTGTGACTGGATGGGCCGCTGGAGTCGACGGACCGAAGAACGGGCCTGATGGGGAGGAGGCTGCCCTGGAAAGCCGCTCGCCCAGGCTGCCCTTGGTCGCGCTGTTTTTGACGTGGCTGAACCTTTTGACTAATCCGTGCTAGCGATGACTGGAAGTCTATGGAAGCCTCTGGGACCACCTCAAGCTCGCTGGTAGAGAGTGGCCAATGGGCAAGGCTGCAGGACAGATGAGAAGTCCTTTGTTGAAGGAAATTGATGGTAGCGAGGGAAATCAGGGAGTGGATGCAGCCGATGGCTTTGCGAATTCCAAGGCTGGCTCATCCCTGGCAAGCCTTTGTAGAGCTGGACCGGGGGCTGCCAGATGTCCACCATGCCCCTATAGGCCCCTGCAGCGTCAAAGACGGATGTACCAGGAGTCAGAAAACCGGATGTGGTGTTGGGTCGATGACTGGGGGTGTTGATTCGCTGTGGATAGGCCCTGGCAATGGTTTGATGACAGCGAGCAGGGAGAGGCGCGCTTCCGATTGTGGTGGGAGGCCTTCGTCGTATGGTATGATACTGTAAATACGCTGGATAGTTGCAAGAACGGTAAAAGTACGGATGGAGGCGGTGGGAGACGGCGACGGAGTGGGAGGAGGGTGCTTCTGGTCTTACCCAGCGATGCCAACAAGAGCGTAGCCATTGATTGCGTCTAAACCATGCGTGTTGTTTTTTTTGGTCTCTTCCTCTTGTGCTCTGGTCTCAGCAATATGGCAGCAAACGGTAGACTCGAGAAGAAATGGAGGGATGCTTGACAGTAATGCCAGCGGTGTCTGAGAATCTGGGTGTTTGGTGCCTGCAGGTGCCTGCCCGCGGCTGCAAATAATAATACTACTACGCTTTCCATGACTAGTTGTACTGACTCCCACTGACTGTCCTTTGCCTGCGCCCACAGTCCTATGGTACATATACAGTGTAGGTACAATGCTTCAGCTACATATCTGGTCTCGTAGAACCTGTCATCGCTCACCTCGCCGCCGCGTGTTTTTAGACCCCAGTCACGAACATCCTCGGATCACTCCTCCCACGTGTCGAGATACATCCCGGCGGGCAACCGTCGTTGGCACAATATATGGAGTCCGAAACTCAGGGCAACGACATACAGTATACTAGTATCCAAGCCTACTAGAACTGTTTCACCACTGCGCCTCAGCTTATGTCCGTTCGGCTGCCAATAAGCGGTCATCCACTCCTCTGAGATTGTCTGTAACGGGCCCTGGGCGATATTCGGTTCGCCAATGTCTTGCTCCATCTGATCTCCCTGTCAATCAGGATCATATTGTTCTTCAATAATACACTGGTCATGCGAACTTTCGGGCGGACCGTGCCCCGGGCTCTACCTTGCCATAACGCGTGGTTCTCACTCTGGCAGAAAACGAGCACACAAAAGAACAGCGCGGATTTCGGGACAGGTCAACACCAGCATTGAAAAAGAAGGCTCAGTCAGGTTGCGGATGGTCCAGCTTGCTTGACTGGATAGTTTGCCTCGTTCACCTGCGACATCTCAAATGCTCCTCTTGCTGGTCGAAATAGCAAATTATCTCCTCCCAATCACGCTCCGTGCCGAAGTCACCTCTTTTCAATGATGATCGGTCAGATGCACTGTCGGTCGTCGAGATCCAATTAGTCGGGTCGTATGCACGATGGAGCCTTGTTCGACTCCTGTCGATTTGTGCCCGGTTGAGAAGCGCAGCAGGCCTTCCCACCCCCTGGCATTCATTGCATTATGGACTACAAAGCGTGCGGCAAGCCAAAACCATATCGTCCTGTTTGAGACAAATCAGGCTCGACTAACTAACAATTCATCGAGATCCAATATGGCGTTTCGTCTTTGCTGACTATCACTCGCAACGGGTTGAGCTGCAGTTTGCCACAAATCATACAAGCACACCAGAAGGTGATGCGCACCTGAGAGCCACATGCAGCCGCCAAACAATCCTGAACCAGGTTCGAGCCTCTCAAACTGAGCTTCGCACTTTGCTCGTTGTATTGTTGTCCTTTCTGGCGGCCTGCTTGGTGTATAATGGTTGTCCTCAAACGACTATCGACAAAATCCTCCGACCTCTGGCGACCTCCATCGATACAGTACCTACCGTCATGAAACAGTCCTACACTGTACCATACAGTTCTGGCAGTCCTAGTTCTCCAACACTCGATGATAGCATGGCTCCCGTTTGGGCTGAGTGTTGGGCAAGCAACGAGTGAGAGGGCGCCAGCTCATCGCTGCTGGAGCTTAGCCTTGGCAAGGCTTGGGCAGCATCACTTCGTCCTTCACCATTGGCAGTACAACAACTCGCTTTGACCGTTTGTTTTGCATCGAAGAAACTGACTGAGTGGAGGCCTGCAGCATTTCGCTGTAAAAAGCACCCAATCCAATTGATCATTCCCGTTTGAAATGAGGCAGACTTGCATGGCCGCCGCTGCGTCATGTCGCTTCGCCCCGACCCGACGACGTCCCTTCTCGAGCCCAATTCTCGAGCCCAACTTGAAAGAGTCATCTCCACTGTCACTCTAGCCGAAACTGGGCATAATTGTGTGAGGATGGTACGCTGTTGTTTGCGTGACGATGGAGTCACCGCACTCTTACCAGGTGATCGGGCTTTCAGGTCATCTCGCGAAGCGACGCAAGCCGTCGGAGTCATTCGCAAAGCACATGCCAGTTGGCACCACATGGATTGCAGGGGCCTCTCAATTCTTTCTTCAAGAGCGGTGAACGCATCACAGGTTATCGCCCATGTTTTTCAGCGTTAGCGACAATTCTCCTGCTTGCAAGCCCGCTTGTATCATTGCGATACCTGGCTCTGGTACTAATCCAAAGGAACCTCGCTGGGAGAGTGGCCAAATCAGGGCGTGGCGATGCCTCCAATCGACTACAAACCGAGTTGTTTGTATGATGTGAACTCTCCAGGCGGCAGTTGGTAATGACTCAATATATGATCGCTACGGCCGCGTCTCGCCCTCGAGACCAGGCCGACCTGCAAGTTGAGGGAGCGTTGGGATTGTGATGAACGATACGGGAGGGTCCGACCCCCCGGAAGGCAATCTCCACCCTTTCCTCCTTCTAACCTTACTACCAACTGCGATACTAGCGCTTGAGAATCGCATTGTTGATTCTCAGTCCTGAGCATTGGACCGGGATGTTGTCGTGGGAGAAGAATGGGCCGGTATGTCGAAGATGTCCAACACTACAGCCACCTCGTTTGTTGTAATGTGAAAATGAGCGTTGGGTGCAGAATCGAATACCCCTGTTCAATCCACATGTCTGCAACATTAACAGAGCACCTGCGTAAAAGCCATCTCTGTACAGGAGACGCTCGCCTTCAACGCACAGCAGTTTTCAAGGTAGGACATTAGTATGAATGGGCACGATAGTCTCGTGCGCAGGGCGGCGGACAGAGTTTATACCCTCTTTCTGGCTTCTAACCGCGCTTTGCTGGCCCTTTTGATATGAGATACCTACTTCCAGGTAACTAGGTAGGTATGCACCTAGTAGGATAAAATGCTATATCGGCCGCTCAGGTGCCCGCTCACGCCACGTTCGGAGGCTGGAGCAGCATACCACTATACAATGACGGTCCCTTGAGACGCGGAGATCCTATTTACGTTTGATGCTTATCATCTATGGCTCCGGACGTTCAAAGAACGATCAGTAAGAACCTCAGCCAGACTCTACAGGGAAAGTCAGTTGCGCCGCCAGGGTCCTGAGTGCGTGGAGTCCGGGGAGCATGTGGGAAGCTGAGGTATTGAGCGCGCAGGTGTCATTGTACTGTACGACCCAGGCCTGACGCTTGGAGCGATGCTCTACAATTGCCCATCCAAAACGTCTCATCCGCCAATCTCGCGGGTGCTCGAGTGCCTGGGGAAATCATTAGCCACTGCACCCTGCATTGTAGACTCCCTTTAAGTTTCTTGTGCTCCGGGGTGGCTCTTGTCGAGAGCATTTTATTAGCCTATTGATCCGCCTGAAGCTGGGACTTCAAGTTGAGGGTGTCAGTGGCCGGCGGCCTGCAAGCGACATTTCTCTCCCCCCGCCTTGCAATACCGGCAGTTCTCCCCTGTCCTTTTCGTCCTTCCATCTCGACAGATAAGCCGCACACTGCTGTAGGTTACACATGTTTATTGATGTTACTGACCACTGGCAGTGCTACTCGTTCAGATAATAACCAGGATCGGCCTGAAGTCCGCTCTCCCCCGCCCAGGGCAAAGCCTGAACTCCCCGCCGCCACTGTTGCAATGCAGCGCCGTTCGTCTTCCGGCTGTTACTCTAGCTGACCTGACCTATCCTTGCTATGTTTGGATGCTCCAACACCCTGGAACGCCTCTTAACGTCATGTCCCACTTGACCGGCTTGTTGCCTCGAGGTCTGGTTGATCGTTGTCTGGGGAAAGGAGGGTACTAGTACTTCGGTCGCCGACGGGAGGTCCTGAGATATGCTTCTCGATCCTTATCCTCGAATTGCATGCCATCCATATCTTTTGCGGAGAGACGTGAGATCGTGTGCAAGTTGTGGTAACCCACCCTCTGTTCATCCACTCCCCGCTTGTTTTTGTTCACTCCCTAGCAAAGGTACATTCTAGGTTTTAAGATAGCAGAGTCAGCTTGATCTCCTAGGAATTTCTCCTGCGGATGTTTATCTCCTTCAATTGCCCTTCGGCAGCCGATCACCCTGCGTCTTCCTACTGATGTCGCTGCCTTCCGTTACAGCTCAGAGCTCGCCGACCTCAGATGTCAATGCTCCACGGAAGAGGAGGAAACGAGCCTCGGCGCAGGGCGCTGCTGATGATTGCTTTACCTGCGCCACGCGGAACCTCGAGTGTGATCGAGGGAGACCGTACTGTTCCCGATGTCTCGCAGATGGGAGAGACTGTTCGGGCTACAAGACCCAGTTGACGTGGGGCAACGGCGTGGCCAGTCGAGGCAAGCTGCGCGGTCTGTCCCTGCCCATCGCCGGTGCACAGAAGTTGGCCACACCTAACATGACGGCAAAGCCGAAGAGGAAACTTTCACAGCAGCCACGCACCACGCAGTCTCCGCCCGGCAAACAGCATCAGACGCCCTCGGGTCAGCAGAATTCGTGCTCGCCTCCTATCGTCCAACACGGACGTTCAGCAGCATTTGCCAATCCTCCCTTCGGCTCAGCCAACGGTCAGTTTCCCAGCGTTGTACCATTTAGTACCACATCCTGGACACAGCCAATCGCACCAATATCGTCCAACCCAGTCGCGACCGTGGCTGAGCCAACGCACCAGTCGTACACCCAGGGACCCTCAAATCCTCCCCTATCGTCACCCCTTGGTGGATTCAATCGTCGGCCGGGCCGTGACCCAGGTCGGCCTTATCGGGAGACAGAGCGTTTGCCGCTTACGGCTCACCCATATCCTTCTCCGCAGTCGGCCTATCTTGGGTGTGTCCTTGGCCCTGGCCCAGAAGACACGTCGTCTGCTGTTTATCCTTCTTTCCCTTCTCCATATGGTGATGTTCTTTCTGGAGAACCCCAGCATGTGGTTCGTCCAAAAGGTAATGCGCCATTGACCCAGTCGCTGCCCCATCAAACATTGACCGCCGAATTTGAAGAAGATGTGGAAGAAGTTAGACGCGATCACGCCGATGCAGGCTTGGCTGAGACCGAGGATGGCTCTACGTTCGGCCTCGGTATTGCTCCATTCAACTACAGTCTGACGCAGTCTCCGCTGCTACGTATGGGTGCTATAGGAGCTACGCCCCGAATGCAGTACCTCATCAGGTACTACGTCGAGGTAATCTCTCCGGTGATAGTTGCATTCGATGGGCCCTCAAATCCATACAAGACCCAAATTCTACGACTTGCGTCGAGAAGTGAAACACTCCAGCATGCCATATCTGCCTTGTCCGCCAGCAATTTGCGTCAACGCAGAGAGACTGGGGCGTTATCCACAGGTAAAACCGACCCCACGAGGAGATCTTCAATGGCACATTTGACAATGACGAATGGACTGTTGGACGACATGTCGGCAGAGGAACAAGCACGGGAAGAGTCGATCCACAAGGCAATCGCTATTCAGTCATTGAACAAGCAGCTTGCGGATCCTCTTCAGCGCAAGGACGATGCCATCCTAGCCACGCTCTTGATCTTGTGTTTGTTTCATATCTGCGACTCAGGCATCGCCAAATTCCAGACGCAATTTGCCGGCGTTAAGAAGCTTCTCGGCCTTCGGAGAAATGACCCGGGCTTGAACACGAAGGAGACTAAATGGTTCACGAGGATGTTTACATGGTTTGACGCAATGACTGCAACCGTCAACGACCGCGAAGGCCAACTTCGAGGACACCATGTAGATGTCTCCGCCAGTCCGGATGAAGAGTGGGCATTGGAGAACCTTGCAGGATGTGATGGCCAGTTGTTCAAAACCATTGCCAGACTCGGACGGTTGAATGTTTTGAGCCAGGGTAAGCCCGTCAAGGAGACGGTTGCTCTTGTCACTCGGCCATTGCCACCCATGCCTGCGGAGCTGAATATGGATTACAGCAACTTTGACGGAAATGGGTTCATGCAGCTGCTCGAGGATGAGGAGCTGTACAGGATCCGGAGCGCGGATCAGGATGTTAAAGCTCAATTTTGGCGTGAATGGCGAGAGATTCGTCAAGTACTACAACTGTGGGAGTTCGACTCAACAGCTTTGGGCTCCTCTCGCCCGGACGCTCCGAGCCTAACTGGGGACCAAAGAATTGACCTTTACAACATCTCCGAGTCTTTCCGATACGCCGCCCTGCTCTATACAGAACGCCTGGCAAAACCGACGGTCTCCAGCACCGAACCTGCCATTAGGTCTCTGGTGCAGAAGTGCCTAGGATACATCAAGGCCGTCAAATCGGACGTCTATCTGCTGTGGCCCCTCTTCATAACGGGTAGTGAATGCGTGGATGGTGAAGACCGGGGTGTTATCCGTCAGAGGTGTTTGGATATCCAGAAAGACAGCGGGTTCCTCAATAACAAGAGCTGCCTCGAGCTCTTAGAAAAGGTCTGGCAACGCAGCGACAAGAAACAAAGACGGTTCAAGGATCGAGCTGCGTTGAATATTGAGAACAACGTTGCAGAAGATGCTGGGTTGAGATTCAGGACTGTTATGAAGCTGGAGGGAAATCGGGGCGAGTATATCGTTGTGTGAACCTATTTTCTACGGGACTAAGTTGAAGCGGTTTGTGGACATTTGCCCATTCAACAACCGGCTGGCAAAGGGAGATGGTCGTATCAAGGCCTATGCAATCATTAGTTACACTTGGACGTCCCGTTATTTGATCAAAAATGTGAAATCATAGAGGACTTTGGAGCTCAGAATATAATACTCTCGGGTCGCTTCCCAGTTGTCCTGTACCAGCAACCTTGGTCTGGCTGCCCTAGACTGGCCGTCCAGGTAGAAATTAGTCCAGGTTGTTGCCTCTCAATAATGGATTACTACTTCCCATGCTGGGAAATGCACATGGTAGACTACTATAATGACGGTGAAGGACGGCTCATTCTTAGCCGTATCACGGCATGCGGGACGGCAAGGCTGGCTTTGTCGCCACATGATTGGCCAGCATCGAACTCCCAGTGTATCTTCAGCCTGACCACTGTACATTGAACAACTTCTTGAGACCTTTCCGGACTGTCAGCAGACACCGTTCCCCTTGCTCACAGGACCACAGCATCGTTCCGCGACCAGCAGCGATGACTTCCCAACCAGATCCTCAATCTGGGACATCCACACCGAGAAATTTCACGGCCCAAGCCACCTCCGCCGAAGACCTTCTCAAATCGCAGACAGTCGGGCTCGTCCACCTCGCGGATTTCCGCAAACGCCGCGCGGACGTACTCGAACAGAAAGAAAAAGAGGCGCGTAATGAATCGGTTGGAAGGGGCACACCTGATGTGGAGGACAGCGACGGGTGAGCTGCTCTCTCCACAACAAGTCCGCAATACTGCCAATGCGGTGGGGCTAACTTGAAAAGTACAGTGCGGTAACGCGTCGAGCCGAGCGGCCTCTCAAGAAGAAGAAAAAGACAGCCGCCAAAGGTCTGCTCTCGTTTGGGGGCGACGAAGAAGAAGATGATGGCGGCGAAGGAGGAGCATCAAGCGCAATCTCAACGCCGGTATCTAAAAGCCCAAGAAAGTCTGCGAGTGTGGAACGGTCGCCTGAACCGTCTGGAATTGCCAGTGGTCGAAAATTCACGCCGAATCCGAACTCAACGCTCCCTGCTCCAAGAGCCATGACCAAAGCCGCTCTGGCCGCAGAGGCTGCAGAACGAGAGAGATTGAGGAAGGAATTCCTGGAAATGCAAGAGGCAGTCAAGCAGACTGAAATAGCCATCCCGTTCGTGTTCTACGACGGAGCCAATATCCCTGGCGGGACGGTCAAGGTCAAGAAAGGAGATCACATATGGCTGTTCCTGGATAAATGTCGAAAGCTGGGGGCCGAGCTGGGCGTGACTGGTAGCGGACATTCCCTCAAGAGCCGCGAGGAAAGTAGGAAGCAGTGGGCCAGAGTCGGCGTGGATGACTTGATGTGTGTCAGGGGAGAAGTCATTGTGCCTCATGTGAGTTACAATGATTGAGTTTTGCTGCAGTGTTACAGTGCTAGGAGACACAGACTGACGAGAGACTAGCACTACGAGTTCTATTATTTCATTGCGAACAAAATCCCGGACCCGGTGCGAGAAGGGAAGCTCCTGTTTGAGTATTCTGGTACAGCTACGAAGAAGCGGGATGATGATGGGTCTGGGTCTTCTCTTCTGCGGGTGCCGGCCAAGGAACAGCAGCTGGAGGGCCAAAATGATGATCCAACACTGACCAAAGTGGTCGATAGGCGTTGGTACGAGAGGAACAAGCATATCTATCCTGCTAGCTTGTGGAAGGAGTTCAAGGCCGGCAAGGAATTCGAGGAGCTGGCGAAGGGGCGCAGGGATGCGCAGGGCAATGCCTTTTTCTTTGGTTAGAGGAGGTGATTGGGAGTGACTGGGACGTGGTCTTTTACTCGACGGCATTGAGCGCATACCGTTTCTAAAGCCCATCGGCAGATTGCGACTGAAAAGCATAGCTGGCGGGTATGTGTGATTTCGTGATGGGACTGTTGCGGTCCCGGACCTGCTCCTGCTTGCTGCAGGCTCCGTTTTGAAGACGGTCATCAATTTCTGTCCACCATGACGCGCAGGTGATGATTCGAACGCGGCTTCTGCTGCTGGCAGGCACAGAACAATCTGCTCATACAAACAAGTTCAATCAGCCCTTCGACATCTCCGGTGCTCTCCCTGTGGCTATGGACCAACGGCTCCGTTGTAACAACCAAACTGGAGGGCCATGCCGGGCTGTCTTATCGCAAGAGGCGGTAGTCACCACCTGCTCGCATGTTTCCCGCCCGCGTCTTTGTGGCATCCGAAGAAACCTAACTCATGATCAGCCACATTTTCTGCACCGATTGCTCCAGAAAAGCCGGTCTAACCGACGTCCCTCGTGCCCAACGTCGCTGTCCCGTTTGTGGAACGAATCTCCCCAATATCGACGATGCCGTGCAGACACGCCTCAACCCCTCCGAAGAATACAAGGCAAGCGTGCTCAGCGGACTCGACCCAACCACGATCATGGAATGTGCAGGACGAGCAATAGCGTTTTGGACGTACCAGATCACGCAGGAGATGTGAGCAAGCGGCGCCCTCTCTGCACGTACATAATTTGACTGATCGGGTGACAGCTCCTACCAGGAGTACGTCGCCCGGAATCTCAGTGAGAGCAATGATCATCTCAGTACATCGGTGGACAAGATCATCCACGATGCCAACGCCGAGATCCAGGCCCTAGAGAAGAAGCTTGCTGGTACGAGTGGTCTATCTGCCTCTGCTCATCATCTGGCCACGCATTCTGACTCCAGCGAAGCCGTCAGGCTTGACCACAGAACGATGGAACAGAAATATGCCGAGCTGGTCGATATGTACCGGGAGAAAAGCAGGAAGCATTCCCAGACCCAGAAGCTGTATGACACTTTAAAGAAAAAATGCCTTGCGGAGCAGACCCATGGCGCGGCCCCTGTCGTCAACAACCCTGCTGCTGCTGATGCTTCTGCACCGCCCACCATTCGAGCTGTGAACACCATGCCACAACCTGAATTGTCCCGACTTCTAAGGACGGAATCGAATCAAGAACCTGCCCAGCGTCCAAAATTGGCCGAGCGACGTGACCTGCGTGGACAGCCGTCGTTTCGCCACGGTCCAGAACAACTGCACCCTCATCAACGATCAGGAAGCAGTGTACATGGTGCTGGTGGCGGTGGCGCCGGCGGCGGTGGTGACCAAGGAGCAATGCCGGCGCCAGAAAAGGCACGGTCATCAAACATTGGTACATCTTTTCGAGCCCTTTCGTTTCTTTTCCTGATAAGTGGCTTACGAAACGTGGAAAGCGAGCTCCGCCAATCCCACAAACCCAGGCACCCCAGCCCATCGCATAGCCTTGCCTAATCAGACCTGGACCAACCGAACGTACATTCCCGGGACGACCGCTACACGAGTCTCGGCTCACTTCTCGAATCGCCAAGAGGGTCCTGGGCAGTCGTTTCCTGGCTCAGCCCGGCGCCAGCCACTGTTCCCAAGCAGGATACCCGCAGCCAGAAACTTGGGCGGAGTCACGACGGCAAAGGCGTCCATGAGACACGGCAGATCCGGCGGGACCGTAGGATCGGTGGCAGATTCGGCGGATCCCAAGTTCACTGGCTATACAGGTATGACTGCCCTGAATAGTCATGTCTCCTCAGAGAGGCCCATTGGTAGAGCCCCAGCTGACAGTAGAATCTTGCTTATAGAGAGATTCTACCACGTACCTCACGGCGGCGGCGAAGGCCCTAGTGGCGGTGGGGGAGCAACCTCCAGGTTCTCCGAAGGGTTTTATTGATGATGGTCATGGTGCATATGGAAGAAACCTCTACCACGTGCAGTGTCCCTCTGATCTGAAGTTGTGCCATCAGTGTACTTTTGTGGGAGTTCGAAATTGGCTGCTGTTCGCGAGGCGTGTCGATGTAACTACTTCCATGTTACTACGATGTTGCCATTCGTGCTGCTGTGAACGAGCGGAGATGCCCTTGCGGCTAATCAGCGTACAACGATGGACGGACTAGAGAGCAAGAGGACTCGGAGCAAAAACCGACCAAACAAGGCTCTCGGATACAATGGAGGTGTAATAGTTTGTAATACAGGTAGATGCGCCTGATGCGACATCCACATTTTGGTCCATGTTGATCTGAAAACATGGGCTTCTTTTCTTCTGCAGCTTAGGGATTGTATTCTTCATCCCATGAACATGCTCGCATTGTTTTGGCGTCTTATGGAGTCTGCTCCAGTGTCTCGTGTGACATATTCCCCACGTAGTGTAGCTCATGTCTTAGTCCAGTCTGTCTCAACCATTTCTGTCGTAAAGACAATGTGTCGGTCTGCGTAATTTGACGCCTTAACCTTTCTCCCGCAGATGAAGCCTTCATATCCCCTGCTGAAGCGGGGCAACACTGTTCTGACAGAACTCGAAGAAAATGCGGTCCACGGCGGCCAGACAAATCGAGTCCCGATCGAGTCGAGTTGGTATTCTCATGGTCGACGGGTGATTGATGGTTGATGAGGAACCGAAATAGGTTGCGCTGCGACTCCAGACCACTGGAACCGACCGATTGGGGCCCGCGTTTAAGTTGTGTGGATAACATAGCCATTCCGTACCAGACCGAGTGAATCTAGTATTGAACAGTAGGGGTATCCGGATGCCGAAAATGTCTCTACCAGTTTCTCCTTCCACCCTTCCCTCTTGGACGGCCGAAGCCGCCGCCGCCCCCACCTCCTGGGCCTCCACCACCACCTTGGTCGAACCCGCTGCCACCACCACCACCACCGAATCCGCCTGAAGGACCGGTCGGAGGACCGCCCTGTGGACCACCCATCATTCCAGGACCTCCGGCCGCGGCCATGAACTGCATAAACTGTGATGGGTCCATGGACATAGGATCCATGCCTTGCGAAGTCATGGCCGCAAACATCTGCTGCATCTGAGCTTCGCTGGGCATTCCCATCTGCGACATATCGCCGCCTGGAGCGGGAGCGGGAGCTGGACCTGGACCACCACTTGGAGCCGTAGCGCCAGGCAATGGAGGCATACCGGGAATCCCGCCGCCGGGGATCCCTTCGACAAAGGCCTTGAGTTGCTCTGCCTCCTGGCGGATCTGCTGGACCTCCTTGGGCATCTGCTGCTGTTTAAGGCAATATGACGCCCACGTGAACTCATCGAAGCCGTAGTTGAAGTAGTCGGTGATATCGGCACCGGGCTTGCGCCATGGCTTGGATGACTCCGTTGGGAAATCCACGTCTAGATCGGTTGACAGGATCGGCTTGCCCGTTGCGGGGTGTATGGGGTTTCCGTTCGGGTCGATTTTCGATGTATGTCGTGGCGGATAGTCGGTGCCCGGACGTTCGTTTGGGGGCTGGGAAGTATCTCTTCTCGTCTGGGTGTCATCTCCTGCTGTAGTACCGGCAACGGGCGTCCCGGATGGTTTGATCTGTGTCCCCGCGGGTGTCGGCGTCGAGGATGACTTTCTTAGGTTATCTGCTGTTGCGGCTGGCGCAAGGCTCGAAGGACGCTTCGATTGTCTAGTGCAGGGACCGGGGTGTTAGTTAAGGAATGTAGGAAGCTGAATGGCAATAGCTGGCTCGAACAAGACCAGCTGGTCGGCTTGCGTCGCGCCAGGGTGGAATGGAAGAACGTACGATCCTGGCTGTTCTGCCTGAGGCTCATCTTTGGCATCGATGATGAAGTCGACGTCGTCCTGTGCATCATATTCTTGTTATTATTCCAGATCTTTTCTTTGTTCAGGGAAGCACAGTGCGCAACATGGGTAGGAGTTGACGGTTCATACATCGCTTTCTTCTTCGACTTCTTCGCCCTCCTCTTCGCCGTCTTCTACGTCGTTCATTTTCACCTCACCCTGCGGCGCGCCGTGCCCGTTGGTTTCATCTTGATGCGTAGGGTAAATGTCGTCTTCGTCCGAGTCCATCATCTTTGCTATAGTATCTGAAATTGAAGTGCTGGTGGGACGGCCTCAAGTCGACGGTCTCTGTTGACGTCTATGGGGAAATGAGGGCATGCAGTGCAGGATGTTTACTCGGTTTGCCTGCTTTGCTTCAATCACTTGGCGTGTTTGTCGAGAAGGCTGCGAATCACCGCGGCGCGCCAGTTGTGACTAGCGATTCGAGTCGTCGGCCGGCTCTAAAAGCGTGCCAGTGGGCCTGCTAAAGTCGAGGTACAGATGTACCCGCCAATCGGACCTGTCAATGTCACAGAAAAGAGAAGGTATGGCGACTGCGGATGGTTCGAGAAAAAAAGTACCCGTACCTTTTTAGGCGTTGGAGCATGCTCATATACCACTGTACCTATCTGTTTACAGGTCTTCTGCACTTGACCTCTCCCTCTATCACTGCTGACTACTAGCTTCCTACATACGTCGAATACTACACAAGCTTCCGGACTCATCACCTCCACCTTCCTCTCTTCAAAGTCGTTACACTTGCGATCTTCACCACCATGGTTAGTCACCTACCTTGTCCGCCGTCCCGTCTCGCGCCGTGCGGCGCAAAGCGTACCCGCAAGGAACACCTGACTGACAAGCTTTCCAATGTTCCCAGTCTACCGCACTCAAGAGCATTCGATCCCTCGCCCCTCTCCTGGACCGAGTCCTGGTCCAGCGAATCAAGGCCGAGCCGAGAACTGCCGGCGGTATCTTCCTCCCGGAGAGCAGTGTCAAGGACTTGAACGAGGCCAAGGTCCTGGCCGTGGGCCCTGGCGGCTTTGACAAGGAGGGGCGGAGATTAGCCATGAGCGTCAAGGAGGGCGACAAGGTCTTGATTCCTCAGGTATGCTCAGCTCAGCGAACGTGGTCCTCAAAAGAGAAATCGGAGGAGAAGAAGAATAAGAATAAGCGTCTTGCAAGGAACCTAGTAGCTGACGATATTCTCTCGATAGTATGGCGGCAGCCCCGTGAAAGTCGGAGATGAGGAATACCATCTGTTCCGGGACCATGAGTATGTTCTAATCCCTGCCACCTACTCGGTGCGCGTCTTGAGGAGCCACCGGTTGCTGACGAATTTCACAGGCTTCTGGCAAAGATCAACGAATAGATTTCAGCCAGCTACCCCAGTTGACACCCTCATAGCTTCTTTGAATCATTCTATGCAGCACGCTTCGGTGCAGTGGTACGGAACCAAGAAAAGCTTGAGGGCCTGATTATTTGTACATCATGTGTACCCATGTAATATCACCTGAGACGATCCGCCTGGCGTCTCATCAGGGAAAACCCCTTCTAAATGGAACCTTCCGAGAGTCAAGATGAGGAAGATATAAGCAGGAAAAATGTAATTTCAGCCATTAGCGACAAGCGCGGAGTTTGCTCCATCTTGCATATACCAACTGTGGAGCTTGTCCAACAACAAAAGAACCAATACATTCATCTCCGCTCAAAATGCTCGAAAGCAGATCCTCGCTTTGCGTCCTCCGACGTCCCTCCTGCAGGTTTGCGGTTGTCCAATGTCCTTGGGACCGCTGTACAATAGCAACTCCGAAGTAATACCGCGGAGATAGAGCCGGCCCAGGACAGGATGGAAGATGTCTTGCCCGTAAACGCGAGAGCCATGACCTCTCAAGCATTGCCTCTGGTACGGGACCTTGACCTGCTCTGCTCTGCATTGCTTCCAGATAGGTTCCCGGTCCTGATGCCGGGGATCTCTCGTACCTCAAGCCCCCTGCCAATGACCTCGCGAAAGTCCAGGCCCACATTGCCCAGCATCTCCCTCTCGTGAGCCCAGACAACGTCCATACATTCTCGCCAAAGTTTGCTATCCTTGTCTATGGCACTCAGTTGTCGTACAAGCAAAGTGTTGAACGTTTCGAGGTGGTCATTCGCCCATTTGATACACGCACTGATAGTGGCCGGAGGAAACGAGGCTTGGTAGATCAGCACTGTGTTCTTGATAATTGTGAAGTACACGTAGGAAATTGAGTAGACATATCGATGGAGGTCGCCTTCGAAAACACATTGCCGTGCGCGCTTGGTCAGAGTGTCGCTGCGCGCTTTCAGGTAGAGTTCGCGAGCTCTGTCGTCGAAGCCCAACCGAATGAGGTACCCCGCAGTCCTCTTCGTCGCTTCCATAAACGATGGCGTCTCCACGAGTTCCCGGCAGAGAACCGTTGCAACCTTGGCTGCACGTTCATCGACCTTGACGGTGATGAGCTCCTGGGCGACCGAGTTGTTCTTCAGACCTCTGGCGATCTTGCGCAACTTTTCCACCTTTTCCACGGCTTCATCAAACCTCTGTAGAGATATCTCGATATCGAGATCGTCGATTTGCCCTTCGACCCAGCGGAAGTTCTGCTGTTTGCCATCGACCTCAATCAAAATGTCCGGCTTATCTTTAACGGAGTTGATGCTCTCGATGATGTCAGTGTTTTTTGCAGATACCGGGTCTCGCGCCGCAAAATAGTTCAGACTCTCTCCTTGGGGTTTGCCCTGTTCGTCATGACTCCTGCTAGCCTTTCGACATTCCTCTGTGGCCTTCCGCAAAGCCATCAGCAGTCCATTCTTGGCCTTCTCGTCACGTTTTTCATGCCGGTAAACAAGGGACCTGCCCCCTGATTTGATAGTGAGCGCAGACGAGACTGCCTTTACTTCGGCGGGCGACGGGTTCCCGGACGCTAAACTCGCGGCCATATCTATCACCTCGATGTCTTGTAAAGGCCAGCACTCTTCCGCAACGAGTTTGGTGGGCGCCGGGCCCTGTTGAGGAGCATTAGGGTCCACTCGCTTGCGCTTCTTGAACGCGATCAGAAGATGGTCATTTAACAGGACAATATGCACAGGCCGCTTCGGCTTCCAAGTGGCACTATCCAGCTCAATCCAGTTGCCCGTTTCCGCGACAATATGGCGGCCAGGAGTGGCCGGGAGAAATTTCTGAGATTTCTCCACGTTCTTCCACAATGCTTGGAGTTGGATATTCCACATCTGCTCCAAGTTTGCAACCGAGGTTCGATTCATATTGCGTCTTGATTGTGAAGTGCCGTTGAGCTCTGTGGAAACGGCATTGTGCGTTGTCCCCGTATTGCTCTGACCGAGGGTGCCTGTCAACTCGGACATAAGATTTTGAAGTATAGTCATCTCAGTTTTGAGCTTCTCCGCCTCTTTGCTGATTTTAATGAACTGGGTCCTGTTCTGATACACGCTCCGCTGAAGCTCGGCAGAGTTTCGGTTCTTCAGCCGCTGCAGATTGGTCTGGTATTCTTGAATGTCTTCCTCCGATGCATTGGACAGGAGTTCTGTGACATAGCGTTCGTGTTGCAGGTTTGGGTCTTTGAGCACTTCATTGTCAACAAGCAGCGGGCGTGAGGGAGACGTCCCGGGACGCCGTGGTGAACCACCCTGGGAACGTCGTTTGAGTGCCCCAGGCAAGTCAGGCACAGGGGGCGTTGCAACATTGCTGAAGTCTGGTAGTTGGTTGTAACGCGTAGAATATCGTCGCTTGACAAGATCAGACGTTTCAGTAGGGGCATTTCGTTCCCTGGGTACGGCTAGATTGGTCGCAGACTTATTTTGTTGTGCCGCTGGCCTGGTGATGCCAGGCCCAGAGGCATTTTGAGGCGCGCTTATCGTAGGGCGGTCCTTGCGCTTTCTTCGCAGTGTGAGGTTCCTTGGATCCATTGCAACAGGTAAGCAAGCAAAAGCAAAGAAACCGCGCTATTCAGAAAGGAAATGTAGATGGACAGGCACACATGTGCCCAAGTCCACCACCGACGCGATTCAAGCAAGACAACTGTTGGTAGCCGACTTGGAGTAACAAGAAGTCCGCCTGAAGTCCTGACCCCGGATTCACTCCATCCCGTTCAGGCTATCAGTTACGCCGCCTCTTTGAACCGTCTTCCTGTGCTTAAAAACAGCGTGATGGTCCGCTACGGCAGATCACGCACGCTGGAGGACAGGCTTGGCAACAGCCAACCGCAGCCTCGCAATTGTGCAGTTCAAGTTCGCATGTCGTCTCCAAACCTGAAGCTGGGAAATTTACTAGTAGCAGAAGCTGTTCAAGACATCATTTATTTGGACACGATATACTTCTTGTGCATCGCCCTCGTTGCATACATTAGCGCGAATTCTATTCGACAATAGTTGGGCCGATCTTCACCGTCTGATATTCGGTCGTTCGGACTGCATCTGATTATCGAATTGCAAACCTGCACCATTGCCGATCATGAAGACATCGACCATCGTCACGATATCCGTCGGCACGGTTGTGACCGGCCTTCTTGGTATGTCTTCACGACACTTGAGACCTCTGACGCCGGCCAGCCACGGAGAGCTAACAGACCGCAGCTTATGCTGTCTACTTCGATTACAAGCGGAGAAATGACCCTGAATTCAGAAAGTCATTGAAGCGGGAGTCGCGCAGACAAGCCAGATTAGCCAAAGAGGAGGCCGAGATCCAAGGCAAGCAAAGGAGAGAGGAGATCAAGAATGCCGTTCAGGAGGCCATTGAAGAGGGTTTCCCCACGGACATTGAAGAGAAAGAGGCATTCTTCATGCAACAAATAGCGCAGGGAGAAGCGCTGGCCGGAGATGGTACGTATCATTTATTTTTGTCTTCTTCTTCTGGTTGCGGGAACTGATCACTCATACTTTACAGGTTCCGATCCTGTCGGTGCTGCTCTTTGCTTCTACAAGGGCCTCAAGGTCTATCCGGAGCCATCATCACTAATCGGCATCTACGATAACACCGTCCCCAAAGATATCCTCGAAATCCTGGCAATCATGGTAGCCCAAGACAAGAGTCTCAAAGTGGGCAATTTCGGTGCTTCCAGCGAGGGACATTCGGACAGCGGCCCGGGTGTCGAATAATCTTCCCGCTGCATGACGATGTGCACGTGCGATTGTACCATCAAGATCCCTTCAGCGTTTGTTGCACAGGGAGGATATGGACACCCCTTCATGACCATTCCTCCTGAATCTCACCTCTCTGTACGACAAGTGTATACCAGCGCCGCTTAGAGGTGCAGCTTCAAAATGTGTTCCGTTTGGACATAATTCAGCGATTGCGCAGTTAGTCGGTCTTCAATCAAAAGCTTGACAAAGTCTCCATGTCCTCTCACATTCTGATCATTCGTATCTCAACACATGCAACCTGATCCGAGTGGCGATTTGTTGCAGTGCTTTCGAGTACCGGTTTAACCAACGCGACGATGGCTTTTACGCTCTCCACCAGTTACGTCGGAAGCACTCACCTTGGGTTCCAGCCTAATTTGTTATCACTCTATCAGTAAGATGCTCTTCTCCATTCCCCTAATTCCCTTCGAATGTCCAGATTGATGAACGACCAACCTGCGTTGGATTATGTGGGTTTAGAGAACACAAGAACACTATCCATACTAAAGGCAGACTGTGATTCGCCAACCTCAAAGACTTATGTCTGCCATCGGCCCTCAGCTATCACAGGGCCCACGTAGGCCTCTCGCAACAGGTTGCTTCTTTGCTGGCCTCTAACCCTACAGGCGGTGACAATTGGGCAACTCGCCAATGTCCGGCGAGGTTTGAGAGAGCGGGTACCTCCGCAGAACGGATGCCCTCGACCCCAGATTCTTGCAGCTGTTCTGTCTGGGTGACCCATGGGCTCTGTGCCATTGTTTCAAACCAGTCACTCGTCTCTGGGGGTGCCAGTGCGTTGATTCTTGATCGAGACTAGTTGGCTTTGCCAAACGCTGACTGACCCTCGTATGTTCGGCTTTCTCTTCGTCAGTATCCAGTGCCTCATCGCGAGCACGTAAGTGGCCCTACAAATTCGGTACGGTATAGCATTCAGAGGTGCCACAATGGTCGCAGATTTGCCGCATCCTCTAAACCCGTTGACTCCAAAGGAGATATCTCGAGTATGCCGGGCAAAGTTATCCTTAAGGTTGTTCATCATCAACTGACAAATAGACCGCCCACCATGTTCGAGCCGCGTTTCCGGATCAAGAAGCATATTTTCGGGTCATTACCCTGCTAGAGCCTCCGAAGGCGGAGATGGTCCAGTTTCTGGACGTCGAGAGCAGTAACGGCATTCTGGAATCAAGGCCGGCGCGGGTGGCTCTGGTTCAGGTCTTTCTGGGCCCTAGAGACAGCGAACACTTCTTTCAGCTCGACGTTGACGTTGTGTCCGGCAAGGTCATCAAACGAGAACAGCTAAGCGGCTGCCATCCGCATGTCGACGCAAATGACATGCAGAAGATTGAGCAAGCATGCCTGAATGACCCTGACGTGCGGTCTGCCATCGAGGAGATGCAATTGCCCGAAGGAGCTGTCATCAAAATTGAGCCATGGACTTATGCTACCGACGGTACCAACGATATGAGCCAGAAAATCACCATGGTAAGATGAATATCTTTGTGGGCCATCTGAAGAGCTGAACCTGGTCCAGTGCTACTTCTACATGCAACTTTCCCCCCATCCGGACGCCAATCATTATGCTTATCCGCTTGACCTCTGCGTTGAAATGTCTGGTGATGCCCGAGTCCTCAAGATATATTACTTACCGCACGGGACGTCGAATGACATAAGTAACTCCGCAAGGGTCTACGACCGAAGGAACCTTCACGGCTCCAGCACCGAGTACCATCCTGACTTGGTGCCGGAGCATCGTTCAACAACCAAGCCATATCACGTCGTCCAGCCAGAAGGTCCGTCATTTACCACCGAGGAGAACCTCATTCGGTGGGAGAAATGGACTCTGCGGGTTGGCTTCAACTACCGAGAAGGCCTGACTCTCCACGATGTCAGATATGACGGTCGAAGCGTTTTCTATCGGCTGTCCCTTTCGGAAATGTTCGTGCCTTATGGAGACCCGCGGATGCCGTATGTGCGCAAAGCTGCCTTTGACCTGGGTAATGATGGTGCCGGTATCAATGCCAACAACCTACAATTAGGGTGCGATTGTCTCGGTCAAATCAAGTATTTCGACGGTTGGCATACCACCAGTTCCGGAGAACCACTGCAAATACCCAACGCCGTATGTTGCCATGAGATTGATGACGGTATACTCTGGAAGCATACAAACTTCCGCACAGGGAACGCGGTGGTCACCCGCTCCCGTGTGCTAGTCCTGCAAACGATCATTACGGTGAGCAACTATGAATACATCTTCGCCTTCTATTTCGGCCAGGACGCCTCTCTCCAGTACGAGGTGCGAGCGACCGGTATAGTCTCAACTGTTCCGATCAGTATTGGGGACAAGGTTCCTTTCGGCACGGTTGTCGCACCAGGTGTGCTTGCACCGTACCATCAACATCTGTTCTCGCTGCGAATCGACCCGGCGGTCGCAGGCTATAAGAACTCGCTTGTCATTGAAGAATCGCATCCTATGCCAATCAAGGATCCCAAAGTTCATAACCCGTTTGGCGTGGGCTATACGACGGAATCGCAGTTCGTCGAGGAGGAATCGGGCCACGACCTCGACCATATGGTGAATCGGGTTTTCAAGATCGTCAACGAGAATGTCATTAGTCCGGTCACGGGCGGCCCGGTTGGATACAAACTTTCGCCGTTCTACAGCCAGCTCCTCTTGGCTCATCCGTCCTCCTACCACGCAAGGAGGTCCGAATTTGCCGCTCACGCCGTTTGGGTCACACGCTATCACGACGATGAACTGTTTGCTGCCGGTCGGCATACCATGCAATCCCTCGGTGGGCAGGGTATTGCATCTTGGATAAAGAAGCGACAAGAGGACAAGGAAGCGAGCAGCGTGAGAGACCAAGACATCGTCATCTGGCATACGTTCGGCTCTACACATAATCCTCGAGTCGAAGATTGGCCGGTCATGCCGTGTGAGAAAATGCAGGTTGGCCTCAAGCCCGTCAATTTCTTCACGGCCAATCCGGCAACTGATGTAGTTGTGTCGACTCAGGCTAGAAATCAGAGTGTCCTAGTCAACGAAGTCCAGACAGGTTAGAATGGGCATTGTTGGTGGGATGCGGCCAGGGTTAATGGTACTGATTGCTCAAAAATGAATGCTCTTTAGATCACATAGTAAGTAATAGAAAGCGGTAATCGAGGCTGGCCACTGCAGCGGGAGAAACGTCCGTCTCAGCCATTAGAGGCTACCGTAGTAGTAACCGGCTTACTTGCCTACCTGGGTATCTCACATAGGTACCTAGGTAGCCACTCTTTATTGCAGGGCTGATAAAGGACAAGAACCAAAAAAGAACACTTTCATCCAACGGAAAAAAAAGCAAAAAGTTGGTCGCCCGGCAAACCCGAGACTTCGCATATCTTGCCACGGTGTAATCTCACATCGCCAACTCCGGGTGGAGATGTCTCTGCAGAATTGCTTCCCTCAAGGGTCATCTCCATTGCTTAACGTCCCGTAGCAATCGTGGTTTACACACACGAGTACGATGGACGACCCGAAATTCCGAGCGAGGCACGCATGAACAAGTGGAGTGTGAAGCGACGCCCCAAGGCTCAAAGGCAACCTCCTAACTTTTTGACCACGACAGCCAGATGCCAAGACTAGTAATGCAAAATATATCCCTTCTTTTTATTGCATGATCACGTGCATATAATGAACCCCGGTCGTCCTCTTTTTCATTCCGAGCCACTACAACACGGGACTTAGGTGCACAGCACCTGTTATCAGGTTTCCGTATTCTCGTGTTTTAGGTGGTCTACTACTGATACCGGGGTAGTGAAGAGCTTCGCGTCCCTAGGTTCTATCACGCTTCTTCCTTAACACTACAATTGTTCTCTCTTCATGTGGCAATAATGTACGCATCAATACCGTACCTTTCAAAGTAATGTAACAGCGTGGTCCGGCAACCCCGGGAAGCCGAGAGAGGAAACCGTAGCCCAATAATTCCGCATCACAGCGGCTTTGACAGGCGGGGATCCTCTCTGATGGCGCCAGTCAGTTGGTCCAATGCTACTGCCCTAAGCCCCTCCATGCCGCGGCAGCTGATTACTTCCCCCACCACCAACAGCTCAACAATCCATCACCATAGGACACGCTCTGCTGTCTCTGTTGCTGCCCCTCCCGGCCCTCTTCCACTGGTACTACTCTCTACCTCACTCGATCAACTTGGACTTGAAGCTCCAAAGGCAGTACCAGGGTCCCTTCGTACGCTACTCTAGTCGGGGCTAGTAGTATGGCCAGGGTACTCACATTCATACAGTGGCAAGCTTTGTTGCCGCGGTACTATTTCCTCGTTGCAATCCATGTCCTCAGCGATCCATGTCCTCAAACACGCCAGTGTGTCGACCGATTGTGTCCTCCAGTCCTCACAGGTGTTGGTGATGGTTATGCACCCATCATTGTCCTCCTCGCCGATCGCGACGGCGGCCAATGAAGCTCCTACAACATTGTATGCGTAGCTATCGAGCCTTGTTCGAAGTTGTCCAAGTGTCGGTATATCTCGGGGCATAATTAGTAAACAACAGACTCTGATCCCCCAGTTTGCCGACCTGCCAGCCCGGCCACCAAACGCTCTATCTGACCAAGATACCCACCAACTAGCTCCATCTAGAGAAGTGTACCGTTCGACCGCGAATTCAATCTGCAGTCCAGTTTCCGCCCGTCCTCTTTCAGCCATCCGTATCCAGGTAACTGTCGCAGAGTCCTCGACGGCAGCGATCGTCCTCTCAACCCGTGATTAGTCGTTCTAGTCCCCGATCGCGGTTGACCGGCGGCACAAGGATGCATGGCTTGATGGAAATCTAAAAGAAGGAAACAAGACCAACCACGATACCCCTCTTTGGGGATCCCCGGGGTCCAGTGGCACAAGGGACCACGGCATCCCGCGAAACAGACCTCAAGAGAACAAATGGATCGTGGGTCCGGGAGCGCACCAGACGACAAACCATCGAGAACTCTGTCGAGTGTGGTCCCAGTCGCCTCCTTCGAGCCGCCGGTAGCCATACGTTGGTAAGCCATCCTTTAGTCCAGAGTCCGCCGTCTGTTGTCTGACCCTTCACCAACCCCGCAGTCAACACCAGGGGGTTCCGCCATCGGCCAATAGTCGTGCTGCCGCCCCAAGGTCTGGCGGAGATCAAGGCGTCGTTTGTCCTGGACTTCGCCTCCTAAACGTCGCGGGAAGCCCAATGCTCAGTGGTTCGGTCCATAGGAAAGCGACTTGCAAGCTGGTGGATGTCGCCTATCATCTGGGCCCATGGAGAATACTGGACCACCGTGACCTTCCCCGCGCCCTCCCACCATTGCAAATAAAGCCCGCCCATTGCCCTCGGTTGAACATCTATCCCTCTTCCTCCTTCATCAACCCGCCCAAGTCTCTTCTTCTACCCTCTTACCTGTGATACCCTTTGCCGCATCGTTTACTTCTATCATCGCCATGTCTTTGACGCAGCAGATTGAGACGCCTAGCGTCACCTACGAGCAGCCGCTCGGTTTGTACATTGACGGCAAGTGGGTGAAGGGTGTTGAGGGCAAGACCTTCGAGACTATCAACCCTACCACGGAGAAGCCAATTGTCGCAGTCCACGAGGCTGGTCCAGAGGGTGAGTCCGACCGCAAATCCACATTGCCAGGGCCGTCAAACTAACCGCAAAACCAGATGTCGACATCGCCGTCAAGGCTGCCAGAAAAGCCTTCGAGGGCGTCTGGTCCCAGACCCCTCCCTCTGTCCGAGGCGCCATGCTGACCAAGCTGGCCGACCTCTTCGACGAACACTCCGACATCCTCGCCGCCATCGAGTCGCTCGACAACGGCAAGGCCCTCTCCATGGCCAAGGTTGACGTCCAGCTCTCCTCGGGCTGCTTGAGATACTATGGTGGATGGGCGGACAAGATCCACGGCAAGACCATCGACACAGACCCAGAAACCTTCAACTACACCAGACATGAGCCAGTCGGTGTTTGCGGTCAGATCATTCCGTGGAACTTCCCTCTTCTCATGTGGGCCTGGAAGATCGGACCTGCTTTGGCCACCGGTAACACTGTTGTTTTGAAGACTGCCGAGCAGACTCCTCTGTCTGGTTTGTATGCCGCCACCCTCTGCGAGAAGGCCGGCTTCCCAGCCGGTGTGGTCAACATCATCTCCGGCTTTGGCAAGACCGCAGGTGCTGCCATTGCCAACCACATGGACATCGACAAGGTCGCCTTCACCGGCTCGACCGTCGTTGGCCGCACCATCCTCCAGTCTGCTGCCAAGTCCAACCTGAAGAAGGTCACCCTCGAGCTCGGTGGCAAGTCTCCCAACATCGTCTTCAACGACGCCAACCTTGAGGATGCTATCTCCTGGGTCAACTTCGGTATCTTCTTCAACCACGGCCAGTGCTGCTGCGCCGGTTCCCGTATTTACGTCCAATCCGGCATCTACGACAGATTCGTCGAGGCCTTCAAGCAACGCACCGCCAAGAACGTCGTTGGTGACCCATTCAAGCAGGAGACCTTCCAAGGTCCTCAGGTCAGCAAGCTGCAATTCGACCGAATCATGAGCTACATCGAGTCCGGCAAGGAGGCTGGTGCCAAGATCGAGACCGGTGGTGAGCGCCACGGTGACCAGGGCTACTTCATCAAGCCCACCATCTTCTCCAACGTCAGCCCAGACATGAAGATCATGCAAGAAGAAATCTTCGGCCCCGTCTGCGCCATTAGCAAGTTCGAGACCGAGGAGGAGGTCATCAAGGCCGGTAACGAGACCACCTATGGTCTTGCCGCCGCCGTCCACACCACCAACCTGAACACCGCCATCCGTGTTGCCAACGCCCTGAAGGCCGGTACCGTTTGGGTCAACAACTACAACATGCTCAGCTACCAAGTGCCTTTCGGTGGTTTCAAGGAGTCTGGTATTGGCCGTGAGCTTGGCAAGTATGCTCTCAGCAACTACACCCAGGTCAAGTCGGTCCGTATCCGCCTGGGAAGCGCTCTTTTCGGTTAGAGTGGGGATTTGTGTATGAAAAATAGTCAAAGCAAAGTGTAACTGAATCAAAAAAATTCGAAACCGATTCAAAGTGCAAAAGCGTGACGCTGAATTGCAATTGCATGGTGGGAGACAGGGCGTCGGTTGATATCTAGCGCTTTTGTTCTTCAGCATGTACATGTTATGAGATATGAAAGTGACATGGAACTACACATGATGAGCAGACCGTATTCCAGTGTGCCTGTACCTCGCTTTCCGCCTCGTGTTTGTGATGTATTCCCGATACCTTAGACTAATGAAGTCCTGTCCAGTGGGCCATGCGCGGCCGGGGTACGCCAAAACATTCAATTGCTTCGTGAGGCGAAACCTTCATGCTGACATCAAGTATTGCCCACTCCCGGGTTCCCGATTATAAAATGCCCAATTATGCTTTCTACTGTCTCGCCCTATGGACCATTTCCCAATTGTCATTCGTACTCGTCGGCGTAGGCGTCGCCAGACGATTCATCCACTGGTCTCACGTGACAAGGCTGAGCCCCCTTGCTTGATATTAAAGCAGTTTGAAATCTCTCAAACATAACCATTTCGACAAATGCGACGACGCGCATCTCTCCAATCGGTTGGTCAATGGGTGGGTGACTTTTTATTGACTCACGTCCTTATAAACATCAAATCTTCTATGTACATAGACCGGGATATTCGTCCTCGTCTCGCTGATCACCGTGGGACTCAGTGCGGCCATGACAGTGTCCTCCTCCTCTCCAGCCTCAGTCACAATCTGCGCCAGCGGATCCACAATCAAACTGTGACCCCAAGGCCGATGCCCACCCTGTGACTGTCTAGCAGGACTACACAGCGCCACATAAATCTGATTATCAAGGGCCCTCGCCTTGGCCAGAATCGACCAATGCAGAGACCCGGTCGTTATTGAAAAAGCAGCCGGATAGACCATGGCAAAACAACCCTTTCTCGCGGCGACGGCGGCGACCTCGGGAAACCGGATGTCATAGCAGATGGCGACTCCTAGCTCCCCGTACTCCGGTAAGTCGACGATGGTTATGTCGTCTCCGGCTGATAAGACTTCAGATTCGCGAAGATGGGCTTTGCCTGGAATGGTGACGTCGCAGAGATGGATTTTGCGGTGTGTGCCGATGAGGGTGCCTTCGGGAGAGAAGATTAGGCATGTGTTGTAGTATTTGCGTTGGTCTGGGTCGGCGGGGTGGGGCTCGAGTTCAGGAATGCTGCCGCCGACTAGGTAGACTTGGGCCTCCTTGGCCATGGATGCCATGGCATGGAAGGATGGAGATTGGTCTGCTGATGGTGGTGATGGTGAGATGGTCTCTGCGTATTGGCGAAAGTAGGCTGTTCCGTAGGGGCTGTTGAAACATTCGGGAAGGACGACGATTCGCGCACCCGCCCTTGAGGCTTCGAGGACCTTGATTCGGGCGCGGGAGAGGTTCTGGGCCTTATCTGGACCTGTGGGTGAGGTGTTAGTAGGGTGATAGGAGAGGCGGTATGGGTACATGGATCAGGAGGGCACAGTAGGGAAGTCCGTGCTTCAGGCTTCGTGCTGGTTGTCGCCGTTGCTAACCACAAGCACCACCAGTCACTTACCGACCAGCAGTTGCACGCAGGCAAGAGTCACATCTTTCTTTAGCGGACACAGCGACATCTTTTGACAACACGAAAGAGAGACACCACCCATATTGCTTGGAGACGTTCCAGCCTCGGTCACTTGGAGACTCTCGAGATAAGTTAAAGCTTGCAACAGTTTTCTGGCGCAGCGCAATGCAACAGCGACTCAACTTGGCGGGAAGCTTGAAGCTTACTTGAATCAGTGTCGTGTGCCGGTGTGTCCATTATACTCCGGGGGTTCGAACATAGTACCTACCTAGGTACGAAGCGTAAGGTTCTTGATAATGGATGTCGAGCGAGGTTCTAGATCGTGTCATCCGTGTCCCGCTGTCGCGGACCGCAGGAGTTGCTGTGCCGTAAATGTCATCGGATAAGCCGACATCCATCGTCGGCATCGCCTCCGCCCCGACTTCATTGATACCGTCTCTGCGCCGAGTCGATATCACGAGGCTCAAATAATATTCAATTGGTACCGAATATCTATACATCCTATAATGGTCAGGTGAGAATGCTGACTGTTCAGTGAAGTACGACCAATGTCAGGTTACTTTTCGGTTGTCATGTACTTTGTCCAATATTTAATTTTATTGTCTTTGCCGACAATTTCCTTTGCATCAAAAGCGCCCCTCAATTCAGCTGCCGTATAAAAGTGTCCATATATTTCCACACCAAGACGCTATACAGGTCAAAATATATCTCCTTCAGCAGCATGGGACCAATAATGGCTTCCTCATCGCATGTCGTTGTCATAGGGTAAGCTAGCTAGGTTCCCCTGTCCCATCCTCCTTCAAGTCAGGCTGTCCGGCAGACAGTATCAGAGCATGCAGGACAGGACTATCCAGTGACACCCAAAAGAGCAGGTATTCTAGGCCTCACAGCCGCCATCCAGATCCAAGACTTGATCCAATCCCGATCTTTACCATACAAGATCCTCCTTGTGGCCAAAGACTTCCCCGTCATCACACCCGGCGATCCAACGACATCTCCATCTCCCAACTATGCATCGATGCACGCCGGCGCCCACGTGCGGCCCATCCCAGCGTCAAGTCCACAACTGGCCCGCGAAGCTCGATGGCTGAAACGCGCATGTCAAGTATTTGCCGCGCAGGCCACCCATGAGCCCTGGATGGGAGTCATCCAAGTGCCCGGAGTCGAGTATTTCGAGGATCCCGTTCCCGAGCACTACCGCAACCTCGACGCCGAGAGCTTCCACCAGCAGTCCGGTCTGACGGGGTTTCGACGGCTAGATGATGCGACTAAACTGCCTAAGGGCGTCAACTTGGGGTACGAGTATCAGACTTATTGTATTTATTCGTCTGTTTATTGCGCCGCACTGCTGCGCAAGTTCATCCTCAAGGGCGGTCAGGTTTTGAGACAGGAATTGAAATGCGAGGATGAAGCGTTCAGTCTTGCCGATCGTGTTGAGCTTGTTGTTAATGCGAGTGGGATGGGGTTTGGGGATAGGAATTGCTTTCCGATTCGAGGTATGTATACAATGTCCCGGATCCCATAAACACCTGCACTGCTCGAAAAAATCTACCTATTCGTTCATCCTTGATTGGATTCCTCGACCTCAGCCCTTTTTAGGTCCCCATTCTTCATCCATTTACATCCGTTTCGTTGGTCTCCCATGTCTGTCATGGATGGCTTCATACGAGAATTTGCCATTGCCGTCATTTTCGTCCCCCAAACACGAACTTCTGCCCCTGCCCCTGTTTCTGCTCAAACTCAAGCTCACAATCAATCAACCACAGGCCAAGTCGTCCTGACTAACCTCCAAGCCAACAAGACAATCACACGCCAAAACGCCAATGGAACATGGAGCTTCGTCATCCCACGCGCGTTCGGCGAAGGCACCATCGTTGGCGGTACGAAAGAGCCACACGACTGGGATGCACGGGCTCGTCCGGCCTCCACCGAGACTCTCGTCGCCTCGGCTTTAAAGGATCTCGGTGCCCTGGACGAGAACGATCAGAAGACATCTTGTTCTCGTCCTGTTACCGTTGTCAAGGAGGTAGTCGGTCGTCGACCAGCCAGAGAAGGCGGGGTGAGGTTGGAAATTGAGGAGCGTGCATCACCACGACAGGAAACGGACCACGGAACTAAGAACAAGTTTGAGGAGAACTCTACAATGACTATCGTTCATGCGTATGGTGCTGGCGGGAGAGGATATGAGATTAGTTGGGGTATTGCGGACGAGGTGTGTGGGCTTGTTGAGCAGGTGATGCACAGGAGACGAAGAGAACATTTGAGGGAGAAGGAGAATGTGTCAGTACGAGCACGAGCACGGTTGTAGAGAGCCTTGAGGCGAGAAGAGACGAAGCGAAGCGTGTGAGAGTAGGAGGTGCGGTGGGATCTTGTGTTGAATTCTAGTAATGATGGGCCCATGTGGCCGTGACATCAAATCGAGAGAACAGGACAATCTTGTATCGATTCATTCATAGAGACTCGCTGTCTGTCCTAGACGTCTTGACTCTTGCTCTTCGTGGATCGGCTCAGCTCAGCTCGGATTTTTCGTTTCGTGTCGAATCAAGTCAGAGAATACCGTATACCTAGTACATGCACAAGCACGGGCACAAGCACAACCAACATCTATTTCCTCCTTGAGGTGAGATACTAAGGGACCAATGCCTAAACCTAGCATTGAAGCGAGCAGAGCGAGCTCTAAACACCAAGGAGAAGAATATGAGCAATGTCAAACAGTATGCAATGGTTAATTTTGTTCAACGGTTTCTAACTAACTCACTAACTCCCAGTGATGCATTTGCATTGCTATCATGTTCCTCCCCTGCACCTCCTAAGGTGTTTCTTCCCGTCTAATCAAGGTGAAACAGCTATCTATGCGCAGCACGCAAGGCCGAACAGAAATCCTCAGCATACAATGCCGCCTTCTGGATCGGAGTCATGTGCATAAAAGGATGAGGGACGCCAGTATACCGCCTAACAGTGACTTTAACACCGGCCTCGACCAGCCGCTGAGCATACGCCTCGCCCTCGTCACACAGCGGGTCGAACTCGGCGGTAGCCACAAACGTGTGACACAGACCTTTCAGGTTCCCCTTGATCGGACTCGAATAAAACTCCGGCAGGGCGGCTAGGGCCTGCTCGCCCTCTTTTGTTTGAGGGAGACTGAGCTTCCGGAAGTAGTCGAGGCGTGCCCAATTCAGACTTGGGGCCAGCGCGTTTGTGCTGAATGATTTGTAGGGTGATTGGGATGGGTCGGTGAGATGGCGATGGCTTTCGACGGTCGGAACTGCGAGGAAGGCTGTAAAAGAGAAGACAAACGTGTTAGAAAGAATTAACCCTTGATTTCGCCGTATTGAATTCATCAGGAGGTTCCTCCTCGGACGGCAGGCTACTTACCGAGCTTCAAGGTAATTCCGGCATCTCGAGCAAGCTGCTGCACAACAGCACCAATGGCTCCGCCTGCAGAAATGCCTCCGACGGAAATGGAGGTGGGGTCGCCGTTGATTTCGTGGCCGTGCTCGTGGACCTGCAATAAAGGTAAGTAAATCGTCCATCATCCGCTGAGCGGGTTTGAGGTAGGAAGAGCACAAACTTACCCAGCGGACTGCTGCCCAGCCGTCCTCGTGACCTTTACCGTAGAGGTTTTCTGTACGGATGGTTCCCAGTCAACTTCCTGCCTTTCATTTGCAAGGCGTGGGCGCACGTTGCTGGGACATGCACATACCTGGCGTCAAGCGATACTCGACATCAACAACAAGTAGTCCAACGTTGTTTCGGACAAGCATGCACAGTTCGGCGTCCGATTTCAGACCACCGAATGCAAACCCGCCTCCTACCCAGAAGTTAGCGGACGGTGATAATCACCGGATGAGACGGGTATTATCGCCTACCATGGAAGTTCACATAAATCGGATACGGCCCTGGACCGTACTTTGTGGCATCAGGGTAATAGCATCGCACTCGAAAGAGATGGCCATCGGACGACGGGATCTGAAAGTCGCGCACGAACGGCTCACCAGAAAAATCCCTTTCCCAGGGCGACGAGTATTTCGATCCGCTTTTCCTGATATCGGAGATGTCTATGGTGTGCGTGGCGGGTTTCGAAGCAAAGTGTCTGTTGTAGTAATCGACAAAATCCTGGTCGAGAAGAGGGAGGAACTGGGGGTGAATAGGGTTTGGTAGAGGTACGCTCGCCGCCTTGGATTCGACCACTGTAGGGGCTAGGGCCCCTGGTTGAGACTGGACAGAGATAGCCATGGTGAACTCAGCCGATGATAAGGTTGTTGGAGTACAGCACGCAGAGATAACGGCTTTCGTGTAGTAATAATATAGTCGTGAGCCGGGCATCCCGATATGAGGTAGCAAGGGAGAATACAGTCGAGATGGCGTGTTCCCCAGACCCATCGGCATTTCCGACATGGGCGGTGAGTGGGTCTCCGGAGTCAGCGGAGGCAGGGCGACCACAAACCACGACCACGCAGCCTTATCTGGCAACAGCAGATTTTCAGGAGTCCACGGCGATCCGGTCATTGATGTCCAGGAATATGTCGTCGTCCACTCCGGGCTGCCATCCCCGCGTCAGAGCGAGCCAGACTGATAGTTGATGTTCAGCAGGCAGACTCACTTTAGTGACGCTATTCAACTGGAGCAACGTGGTCAGGTCGGAGGGCCAGCTGCATTGGGGTAATCCATCTCCTGGCTGTGGTCTGTACAGGTCCGATTCTTCTTGGTCACCGCCGCTCTCACAGCTGCATTCCTCCGCAGGGTGTTCCGTGCTATTCGCGTCGACCTCTCCCTGATACGCGTATCTGTAAAGGACACGCATCTCCTCCACTTCTCTCAACCACACATGAGCGATCTTCCACACTTTCCGCCAACAACTCAAAAGGTTTTGGAACTCCAAGAAATAATTCCAAGCACGACCTCGATCTTGGCCAAACTCTTGCGGGTCTTCGGTGTACTGCAACCACAAAAGCGGACTTGCGGCGGACAAAATTGCCAGCGCGACAAATATGGATGGTCTGGGAGCTGGTTCACTCGTCTCGGACTGGATATAGGCTGACACTAACTCGCCCACCGCGAGAGCGTTCGACACACAGGTCGACACGATGCTTGGTTCGCGGTGAAGTAATGACCAGCCGGCGGCATCTGTTTGGTCAAGAAGAATCGACGAGCCATCCGTCTGCGGGAGATAGTCCTGGTGAGCAACACATAGGGCGCTCCTCAGCAGACAGTGCATTGCCATAAAAGCCGCTCCCTGATTAAGAGCTAGATGGATGCTATGGTTTTCTCGGGACCATCGTAACCGGCTGGGAAGAAGGTCCATCCAGCTCCTTACCGCAGTCGAGAACATGGAAAATTGGCTGTAGGGATCGGTGGGCGGAAGTGGCTCCGATCTCCTCGCTTGACACACGTGGAAATTAGCAAGCTCACACCAAAGACAAAGACTCTTGATCACGTAAGGAAGTAGACCGAGGTCAGACGCGCTCCCATTGTAGGTGGCCAAGTTCGCCAAGGTCACACCTCGACTTGGCTCCCCGTATGCAAGTGATAGATTGCTACTCGGAAGTGCAATTGCCACGTTTTTCAAAGACAAGGTGTGTGGCTTGGCCAGAAAGAACGCGAGGAGTCTGTCGAACAGCAGACAGGCCCAGAACGTTCGTCGGCGGACCTCTCTCTCCTGCTCCGGGTGCTTGTCGTGATACTCTTTGTTCAGACGCATAACTTGCGCCATTCGAATGGCCGTCCCCGCGTACATCCACTGACCCGAGGGCGCCTCGGACAGCAGCTCTGACAGACTGAGGACCAGATTTGCTTGAATGTTGGTCACTATCTCTCGTCAGCTGATGAATCTTAACAATCCGGACCATCCGCCATACCACTAGGGAGGTCCGAGGTCTCACGGGCCATCTTCTTGGCAAGTCTCGTAAAGTGGCGGTATACCTGTTGTTGAGACGGAGCGTCAAACAAGACGCGGGCCTCATCCGCGGTTAGGTATCGTGCACAAAGCGACACTATCGATGTGACGAGAAATCGGTTGTTGGGGTTGGTCGGATCGAAACTGGGTCGGTGGAAGAAGCAGCAGAGATCCACTTCAAAGTGCCTTTCAAAGAAGATGGCGAGACATCGTTGAAGAGCAGCCTGGCTGGGTAGCACACTCACGTTCTCGACGGACACCCTGGGGGACAAGTCGGCGGAGAGACTCCGCCGGCCGGGGTTCCCGGTGGAAGAAGGGTTGGTGACCCGTTCATCGGTTTCGGGCAGTGTATAGACATTCCTTCCCGTGGGAGAAGTTGTCACGGTCCCCGGGCTCAAAGGCCACTGGCAAGGGATGCCCCTGGACGAGCAATAGTGACATTGCGGCTGGACTCCGTCGCACTTGGTCTTCCGACGACGACTAGTAATAGGATATATTAACGCCCCTCCCAATCCGGTACCGACGATAGGGATCTGGGGATCGCTTACCACGCGACACAAGCCAAAGGCGTCCGCTTGGAGATCGGGACAACCGTCGGCTGCATGATACGGAGCGTGTGGGCTTCGTGGAGGAAGACAGGAAGAGAAGGCAAAGAGCAGTGCACGAGACCAAGAGGGCTTCTAAATCTGGGGTCGCCTTGTGGACCGGGTCTGGGGAAGCTCGGCAAGATGCTTGTTGCGGTTTAGTCTCCGACAGCATGTGATCGGATGAGCCGAAGCTGGAACCATCCTCAACCGCTGTCAAGTCAATTCAACCTCCACCGTTATCAATGAAGCCACTAAGGTTGCGGGGGATCCCTAGGACTGCTTTGCCCATATATACCAGGCGAGGATGTCGTCTGCTGCGGCGAGGATGAACGATCCAGATTCCCTCCCCCCAGCCGCACCAACATGACTCCCTCCATCAAGAAAGAAACCATCACCAAGGACATCGAAGCCGAACCGGTGTGCCAGGAGGTTGAGGAGAGATGGAACGACTCGGCGCTGGTCAAGCGCTTCAAGCGGAAGGCTGACTTCATCCTGCTGCCGATTTTGACCTTTGCATATCTCGTCAAGTATGTTCTTTTACTGGCCAACTTCGACCCTGTTTCATGTTCAAGTTGGCTGACTCGGTCTTCAGTTCCCTCGACCGAAGCAACCTCTCCAATGCGCATACGGCCAATCTTGAAAAAGACCTGGGCCTGGTCGGAAACCAATACAACCAGGTTCTGACCTACTATCAGATCCCCTTCGTTGTGTTTGGACCCTTTGCCACACTATGCACCAAACGCTTCGGAGCCAAGTGGTCCATCACCACTATGCTCCTCGGATTCGGCAGCGCATCGCTGGCGACGGGCTGGGTGAAACACTTCCACACCCTGGTCGTCTGCCGCGTGTTTGTCGGTCTCTTTGAATCTGGGTTCCTGGCATCGTAAGTGCCGCAGCACCCCGCTGTTCACGTTTGCGATCTTGACATGGGAAACTAACGGATATGTTGTTCATGATAGCATTATCTACTATCTCTCCATCTGGTACACCAGGAAGGAACTTGGAACCCGTCTGGGAATCTTCTATGCTGCCTTGACCGCCTCGTCTGCCTTTGGCGGCCTGCTGGCATTTGGCATGTTCCAGATCGATACTGGACATTACTTCCGCTGGAGCTACCTTTTCTTCCTCGAAGGCGGTTTGACCCTCTGCTGGGCCATCGTCATCTTCTTCGCTCTTCCATCGGATACACAGTCCGCGTGGTTCTTGAGCGACGCAGAGAAGCAAGTGGCAGTACGCCGTCTCCAAGTGGACTCGGTGCAAAATCTGGAGCAAAAATTCAACCTCAAGGAAGCACTGTCCGAATTCACCACATTCCATGGCTACCTTCGCTGTGTGTTGGGTTTCGCAATCGGCGTCGTCTTGACCTCGAACGCCAACTTTTTGGCGATGATTGTGGCCAGACTCGGATACAGCACAGTCAAGACCAACTTGGTGAGTGGGCCCTCTCTTCCCCCAATCAACACACTTCTCTCAAGAATGGGGTAGCTGACTATGACAATGAACAGTATACGGTTGCTCCCGCATTGACAGGCGCCGTCTTCCTGGTGGCATGGTGCAAGTCTTCGGATTACTTCCGAGAGCGAGGTCTTCACATTGCTGCGGCCGGTCTGCTCAGCTTGATCGGCTACGTGATTCTGGTTTCTATCGGCACGGACCAAACGGGAGTTTTGTATTTTGCCATGTTTATCTGTACCACGGGGGTGAGTAGTAGACTTTTGCCTGTCTTCCAAAATATCCTATGATACATTTCAGCTGACAATCCTCCTTCCGCACCAGGCATATCCTGCAACTCCACTCAACGCCGCTTGGGCTGTCGCCAACATACCGAATCTGAACGCCCGTGCTCTCACCAGTGGGCTCATCATTGCCTGCGCCAACTGCGGAGGGTTCCTGTCCAGCAACATCTATCTCCGAGAAGAAGCACCCAGATACATCACGGCTCTCAATACAAATATTGGAATGTGCATCACCATCTTGGTTCTCGCCGGAGGCTATTCCTGCTGGATGAGGTGGGAGAACCGCAAGCGGGACAAGGCGCAGAACGTCGTCCGTTCTCAAGCTTATGTCACTGAGGGTGTTTCAAGCATGAGGGATGAAAGCTTCAGATTCCAGGTGTAAATGGGACAGGGACAGTATAGGTTAGGACGTGGTTTGAACAGGATAACACAAGATAGGGATATATGTTCAGGGAACAGGAACATCGGACAGGTATGGATCCATATTAGTCGTACTGTGGTGCTTTTTCCGTACTACAAGTTGTACAAAGTACGTCTCCTTTTACCACTCACTGTACATGGTTTGTAATTCTTACCTAAACAAAGTCAATGATACGCAAAGTGGAGTGAATGGATGGTAGATGTCAAATTACCGCTTCTGATTCGCTGCCTTGGCCACTGTGGAGACAACCTATATCACGTGGACGACGCTGATACGGCCGAGTAAAGATTTTGATTCGCGCAGACGGCCGGTTGGGACAAACCAACCAGCTACAGTTGCTGGAAAATCGCTGACAAGATTGATATACAACTCACTATTCGCGCGCTCCCTAGGTGTAGACATATCCGACAACGAGTCCTCTTACATTCACTTCTCGGCCGAGAGAGCAGCAGCACATGAATAAAGAAGGTCCCAGATCTCCCTTTTCTCAGCGAGATCAACAATTCGGAAAGTCTGGCCACCGGTGGCAAAGTTTATTTTTCCTTGACGTCGAGGCGAGATAAGGCCAGGCAAGGAGACGGCAATTTCGAAGGGTGGCTTTTTAATTCCTTGATTAAGCACATTCGGATCTCTGTTCTCGTCATTATTATATGCGTCTGTTACCTCCGCGCCGCACTATCGTGGTCATACTGTGGTGGTTGGTCCCAAGCCTGATTATTCTCATGGTGGCCGTATCTGCATCTACAGCGGCGCCCAATATCATTCGAAACTTGAATTTGCGAGTCAAGGCGAACAACATCAACGTCAACAATTTGAACTTTCCTCTTGTGTGGAAGAGTTGGAACCGGGCCGCATTCTTCTCAGCTACGGCAGCTTCGACCACGACCACCAGTACCGGGTCGACGACATCTGCACGAACCCTACAACCATCGCCATATCCGACCTCAAGGTACAACGTCCAGTCGAGAAGTATCGCGACCATGGCTTCGCAGGAAGCCCCAGAGGATCTCCCACAAACGACACCACCGGAAGGGCTGCAACAGCAGATGGCGAAAGAGGATGCTGCTGCTGCTGCTGTTCCCGCTCCCAAAGAATCCGTCGTCGCCGAACCTGAGTTGCCGAAGCTTTCCGCCGCGGAGTTTAGGGTGTATAACAGGCTGGCTGTCATGATGGATGCATATGTAAGTTGCTCCACTTCTTTGCCGTCCCCTTTACCTTTTTGCTGTTCGTGTTCTTGCAACGGAAGAAATGTTTCTGTTCTTGGGGCCGAAGAAATCCAAGGTCTTCCTAATACTTCGTGCTCTTTTTTCGTGGTATTGGTCTCTCATTTCAGCATGGGACGTGGTCCGCTTCATTTTTGTGCCACGATATGCTTTTCTATCGTCTCAGAAATCGTACCTTACTGACTTCATCCGTCTTTTTAGCATAACCACTTCCGCTATACCTGGAACCTGCTGTACAAGACATGTACCTCCGGCACTCGGCCGGCAGGAATGTCAATCCGAGCATTCATCTCGCAGGGTTTGCACCTCTGCCACGCTCTGACCGTCCATCACACCATTGAAGAGCGACATATCTTCCCGGAGCTGGCGGAACGAATGCCGGCGTTCGCGCCCCAGGAACACCTGATCTCGCAACACGAACAGATCCACGAAGGGCTGGAAAAGCTCGAGGCGTACCTCGATGCCTGTCGAACCGGGGAGCGGGAGTTGCGATTGCCCGAGTTGAAGGAAATCATGGATTCGTTCGGTGAAGTGCTTTGGACGCATCTGGATGATGAGGTTCGGATGCTGGGCGCCGAAAACATGCGCAAGCATTGGTCCAAGGACGAGATTCTGTCGATGAACTGGTGACGCAGGAACACTCGAAGCTGTACCAAAATCTTTGCATCCCATCCAAGGCCAAGCACCGACTCCTGTCGCACTGTGTCGTCAGCCCTTCCTTTCAGCACAGATGTGCATTGGTAGGACCGTGATATTAGTCCTGGTCACGCTCCAGGAACCCCGGGTCATTCTGAACCTTGTGTTCAAACTTTGTCCACCAATCCTGGAAACTTTTCAGAGGCACGACCTCGATGCCGTTGGCCGTGTTGCCTGCGAAGCTGGACAGGAAATTGAAGGCGTTCTTGATGATCCGTTGCGCAAGGACTCTTGTGTCCGGCGGCCGTTTGGCGACGGCATTGGATTCCGAGGGTGTCTGCTGTGTTTGCTGAAGCTGGGCCATTTGCGCCTGGATGTTCTGGGCCGGCTCGACCGAGATTCCTAGGTTGATCTCCCCGCCGGTCATTGCCTCGGGAATGTTCACTCTGAAGAGAGCCGATGGCTTCTCATTGCCAATTGCCCCAAGAAACTTGAATCCTTGCTCCCCGGGCAATTGCATGTACACTCCGGCCGCGGTGTCCGGAGGGAGCAAATTGTTCGGATGCATGAAGACGCCGACGTTGTGGAATGGCGGTGAGGCCGGGAACGATACTGCGAATTGGTTGGGCGAGACATTGGCCATCTCTGTGATTACAGGCCGCGAAGGGATGAAGACACCGAACATGATGGCTTGGTAGCAGAGTTCTGCAGAGGTTCAACTGTTCGACCTGTCGAGAGTTGCACCAGTATATGTATATGTAGTACCAAATTCAAGCTCGTGCAGGTTATCTGCCTGGTCCGCGTATAACACGTTCCAGACTGTCCGAAATTGATGTTGGAGTTGCGAGCTGATTTGATTGGTTAGATAGATGGTAGCCTCGTCGCGATATTAGGAACTGTGAAGGGTAGTTAAGCTCGTGTAGTTTGGATTGTGCAATAAGATGTGTCCATACAAGAGCAGGAAATCAGAAAGCCGAGTACCTTATGTACATCAACTGATCAGTCCTCTGTGTGGATGATTCTCGGAGCCTCCGCAGAATGCCGGCTCGAAAACAGCTTTCGATGGTCCATTTTCCATCACACGATGATCTCTTGTTGACACGCGTGAAGATGACGCATTTTCGCCAAGGATCCGCCTTAGTCAGCCAGCGACTTCGGCTCCGGCTTCTCTGTTTTTCCGCTCCACAACCACACCGGCACACCCGAACGAACACCTGCCGGTACAAGCGCGGTACAATGGCCTGACAGAATTGTATAGACAGATACATCGGCGGTGGGTGGTTTGTTTGGCAAAGTGAGCAAAGCCGAGGGCCAGGGCACTGCTTCCCATTGAACTCGCGTAAAGCACCATCCAACATAAGCTGTCACCATGGGGCCAAAGACCAACCTTGACCTGGTGAACGAATGCGACAAGTGTGTACCCCTTATTCCACGACGGAATTCTCTTCTTGGAGCCTCAACAACTGACTTTCCAGCTTTCCATACTTCGACTCGAGCAACCCTGAAGCATACCAGGCAATTCTACAGAATTACTACCGCTTTACGTTGGAAGGATACGAGGCATGTTTGGGTTATGTCCCTTCCAGCATCGCTCAGAAATTGCCCATGACGACCCACTGGCGGCGGGATGACAGCGCGAGGCGGCTGATTTTCCAGCCCCGGGACGCCAATGGTGCACCAGTCCAGGACCTGGAGGGGAGAAACAAGGTTCTGGAAGAGTATCTCTTGTATCTCCGGGAGACCAGGCTCTTTCGAGTCCTGGATGGTTGGCGAAGCGAGCTTTACCCCATATACGGACGAAACAAAGAACTTTTGCTGAACATGGAACGCTCTGCGTCGCCGCTTTTCGGTATAGTCACGTATGGTGTTCATTTGACGGGCTATGTGATGACGGACGAGGGCATGAAGTTATGGACGCCCCGCCGTTCCTCAACCAAGCAAACGTACCCTGGCATGATGGACAACACCGTGGCCGGTGGCATAAGCACCGGAGAGAAACCCTTTGAGTGTTTGGTGAGAGAATGCGAGGAGGAAGCCTCGCTGCCCGCGGAGATTGCCCGGTCGTCCAAGCCATGTGGCACCCTAACGTACTTCCATCTCCGGGACGCCAGAGCTGGCGGCGAGACGGGACTCTGTCAACCCGAGGTCCAGTATATCTACGACCTCGAAATGCCACTGGACGTCATTCCCCAGCCCGGAGATGACGAAGCCATCGACTTCCAGCTATTGACCGTGGCCGAAGTCCAGAAGGCAATGGCTGACGGAAGGTTCAAGCCAAACTGTGCACATCTCCTGCTGGATTTTTTCGTGCGCCACGGCATTTTGAGCGCCGATAACGAGCCCGATTATGTCGAAATCGTGTCCAGACTCCACAGAAAGTTGGAATTTCCAACAGCCTGAGAGAGAGTCTCCTGAGAGGAACAACCTCCGCACCATGAACGCCTTCGCTAAACGGACAACTTTTTTCCCTCTCTCTGTTTTCTTGTTTTTGCACATATAATGCATTCCAGCTTTATTTCTTCATCAACAAGTAGACGTAGTCGATCCGGAGTGCGTTCAACAGCGCATACGGGCCATCCATGTAGAGCAGCAGACCTCCAAAGGAAACGTAGACCTTGCTAGATACGATGTAAGTACTGTGCCACGAACATGGTTCAATCGTCTGTATAACTCACATGTTCTCTCCGCTGCCTTCCTCGAATCGGTAGATCTTCCCATGGCACACATAGTCGAATTCATCCGCCAGTGTTTGCTCGCCTCGCCCGACTTCCCTCCAGCCTTTTCCGTCGTCTTTGCTGCCGTCGAGGTTGAGTGACAGCGCCAACGCCACCGTCATGCGATCGTCCACATTAAGAGGGTAAAGTTCGGTGTTGACGTCGAGCGTCAACAAAACTTCTTGACCTCCTTCGCTGTAGGCCTTGATGCGGGATACCCGGTCGTACTTTGCGCTGTTGATGTCGGTGATCTTGAAGCTGTTTTCGAAAAGGATGTTTTCCGACATCTTGACAGCCTAGATTTATCGGTCTGAGGATTGCAAATGGCGACGCAATAGTGGAGGGTTCAGCAATGTTTGGAACTTGAACGTCTTTGCGGCCAGAAAAATAATTCGGCCCGCACCTTCAGGAAGCGCGGGAACAATCTTGCACTCTATGCCCTCCCGGTCTGCCGGATATCGGTACGGTGGATCATAAAAGCATATCTTATACAAATTCCTCAGGACGAAACTTCGCGATTAGACAACAATCAGTGCGGCATGCAGTTCTAGAGCCCTGGTTAGACGCTTCGACGACAATGTCGTTTCGCAAGCGCAATGTAGGCCTCAGCGGCTCTGCGCGGTCGGACGGAACGTCTCAGCCGAACCCCAAGGAGCCAGTGCGCCTCCCGGGAGTACGACCGTCGCCGCTCGACGGGCGACCGACCACATCTACTGGCACAGCGAGCCTTGATGCCTTGCTCGCCGGACACTCTGGCCTCGCGCTTGGCTGCTCGATACTCATCGAGGAGAGCGGAACCACAGACTACGCCGGTGCTCTGCTCCGGTTCTCCGCTGCTGAGGGGCTACTGCAGGGCCATCATGTCCATGTCGTTGGGATGACAGAACACTGGGGACGCGAACTCCCCGGAGCCGGCGGAGAGTCCGAAATGAAAGAAAAGCCGGCCGCGAGCATGGAGAAGATGAAGATTGCTTGGAGATACGAGAGTCTGGGCCAATTCGGCGCCAGCACAAACACAAGAGGTGGGCATCATCGTCCTTGTAGCATAGTTAGAGCCCTAATGTTATTCTGTTTCAATGCTCTTCGACTTTCACGCTCGCCATCATTTCACTAACGTTGTCATTCTCTCACAGAACGCCCACAGGCAATCTCCACCCAGCCAGCGTCAAGCAACGAGCCAGGACAGAACCCGCCAGCGGCGTTTTGCCATACGTTCGATCTTACAAAGAGATTGGTCCACCCAGCATCTTCGAGAATGGACTTCATCCAGCTGGGAATGAACCCAACGCAATCCCCGTTCGCGCCGGTGCTCGAGCACCTGAAGAACTCTCTATCCAAGTCCGCGCCCAATACAGTACACCGGGTGGTCATCCCATCCATGTTGTCTCCAGCTCTCTATCCGCCACACTCCAGCCAGCCACAATGTGTCCTGCAGTTCTTGCACGGATTGCGCGCTATTTTCGCCGCGTATCCGAACCGAGTGACAGCGATCATGTCGCTTCCTCTCTCTCTATACCCTCGGTCGTCTGGACTTGTCCGGTGGATGGAGTTGCTCAACGATGGTGTCTTCGAGCTTGCCCCATTCCCACATTCGGCGGATGGAGACGCACAAGTCTCTCGCGGCCCAGCTGGAACGGCAGAAGAACCGCCCCAGGGACTACTTCAGGTCCATCGGTTGCCCATCTTGCAAGATCGCGGGATTGGGACCGGTACTTCAGAGAACGATTGGACCTTCACTCTAAGCCGGAGGAAGTTCACCATCAAGCCCTTTAATCTTCCACCAATCGAGGGCGACACCGAAGCCCAGCAATCATCAGGCGCTGAGCAGAAGGCGAAGAAATCAGATCTGGAATTCTGAGGCAGACCTCGTCCCCTTAAATACCGTCTCGTCGTCATCGTCAGGATATCTGTCCTGTCGGTTGAGCATAGTCTCCAACTCGATGTGCTCGGACGAGGAGGGCCCAGGATTTGTCATTGTCCGGAAGTACGTCTGATCGTAGGATCCATGGCGAGGATTAATGCTAAATCCAGAGATCCTTGCACGAAATCCCTCCCCTAGACATGACGAAAGGGCCAGAAAGACTGGGCGGCCTGTTAGAAACGCCCAAGATCTGAGAGGTAGATCCATACCTAGAAAGAAGAGAAAGGGCACAAACAGGAGCAACGACAGCAACAAGATGACCCCCATCTGCGCATAGCACTCGGGACAAGCAACAAACTACTGAAAAATGGAGAGTACTGTGATAACCCAAGCCGCAGGGACAAAACAAGCACTCCAATGGTTTGGAATTGCCAGGTAATGTTGGCTGGGACAAGTCGAAAGAGGATGGACGACGTCCCAGAGACGACGGAAAATGACCATCCACTGCGCCGTACAACGACAGCGTTCGGTCTCCGGCGGATCAACACTTCGCTCCGCGCACCACAATTTTGCCAAGCATTGAATAACTGGCATAGAAACTTTTTTGGACTGGATGTTTGCACTCTTCCTCTGAATCCTCTTTCTGCTGCCACGCCTCGAACCATGTAGACTCACATTTCTGCTTGAAGACCGGCTCTTCAAGCTTAGACTCTTTTTCATTCTGCTGTCAGAGCGCCCTCGCGAGGCGCCGGGTGTTTTTCCACCCTGCTGCCCTATTGGCGACGAGTCCCGTGAAGCCTCCATTGGGCTGGGCTCGGCTCTTGTCAGCAATATTCGAATATACACCACCAGTGTAAGGTGAGTTCTACCCAGCCAGTCTTTGTTTGATTGATTCGCATGATTAAACCAATTTTATAATCTGTCAATCCACTGAGCACTCTTCGGAGTTACATGATTGAAGCGAAAAATCGTTGTTGAAATATGATCGAAATCTTGTTTTTCTATATGTTTACGTTCTGGCCTGCTTTGTCCAGCTCATGAACTAATGCGAAAGCCCTGCGCTTGCATAGGCCACACGAGCTTCCACAATGGACGCTTCCGGAGACCTTGGGTTCGACTATGATCCGGATCTTCCTGTGCCCATCTCCCTGGTGGGCGGAAGATATCTGCTTTTCGACGTCAAGATCGCCACTTTTCTTCGACGGCAGCACCGTGTTTGCGGCACAACCATCGGTACTCTTCCCTTGAGTCCGTCGCAGAATCTCTTCCTCGGCGTGCCCGTGGAGGTGATGCCAGAAGAGGCTCAGCTGCTAGTGGAGAAGGGGGTGGCCTTTATTGTCGATGACCCCCGCGCCCATGACGAGGCACTCCGGTCCAACGATCGTGCTCGACGCGCAGCAGATTATTTGGCGAGACTACAGAAGCAGTCGAAGCAGTTCGAGCAAATCCGGGCAGAGGAGAGAGAAGCCTCGCGGAAACGTGCCTTGGAGAAACGCCCACCGCCCAAGAAAATCCCTGTTCAGGCGTCCGCAACAGAGACAGACCAAGTAGCTGATGAAGGGTCTTCCTCGCTGTTTGACTCTGACGAGCGTCGCGAAGCCGTCACATCCACTCGAGTTGAAGGAGGCGACAGCGCTCTTGAGACGACTCAATCTGCCTCAGATGTAAGGGCAAAGGTGACGCCCGAATCCGCCGTGGCCGGCATTTACCACGTCACCCCTGCAACGTCTCGGCTCCTGCTTCCGACACCGCCGTCGACCTCAAAGCTAGGTGTCCAGGACTTACCATCATCCTATCCTCTTTACAGACATCTCCATGAACGAGGGTACTTCATGACCCCTGGCCTACGGTTTGGGTGTCAGTATACCGTGTATCCCGGCGATCCTCTGCGGTTCCATTCCCACTTCCTTGCCGTCGGGACCGAATGGGACGAAGAGATCGATCTTATGGATATCGTTGGTGGCGGGAGACTAGGCACCGGCGTGAAGAAAGGATTCCTGTTGGGCGGAGCAGACCCTAACGGTGGTGTTAGGACATTTAGCGTGGAATGGGCAGCAATGTGACTGATGACAGTGGACTTGTTTTCAAGACCACGACTTTATTCTTCTTTGAGTTGCGCCTTTAGACGGTTTTTAAAAGTGTTGCATCACCAGTTCAATCATTTGAGTCTCTGCTTAGGTTCGTGAATGTCCCAGTATAGCCTCTCGCGGCTACGTTGAGAGCGACCAGGAGTGGCGAGTGCCGTCAACACCACACGTCCTTGGCAGCAAGCGCATTGCGTACATAGAGGTACTGGTGGTGTAGTTTATTATTCTCGTGAGGTTGTGTCATCAAACTGCCGTAATCATTAGGTAGATAAGTAGTCATGATCAAGCCAAAGCACCCGATAGTACCAGCAACTGATCAGCAGTTGTCATCGCAGCCGATCAGTCATCAGTGTGACTGCTCGAAAAGACAGAGCACAAAATCACAAGTAATCCATAGCCTTCCACTTGAATTTCCTATTCGCTCTCTCAGCGGGTCGGAACTCGAACTGATTCCCATGGACCTCAAAGACCAACTTTTGCTGTTGCTGCTGTTGATTCTGTTGCTGCGGTGGTTGCTGCTGCTGCTGTTCCTTTTCTTCTTCACCTTGCTCCAGATCCTCTCCTCTCTGTTCATCCCCAAGTCGAACTTCATATCGAAACACCGTATTCCTCTTCGGCAGCGTCCGGACCTGATTCACCCGCGTAACAACGACAAAGGTATACTTTGTATCTCTGACCACGATCCCACGGGTCCCGACCCTCCCTGGATCCGCACATCTGACGACTTCGACTTCGGCGCCGTGAAAATCCGCACTTGCGAGCAGACTACCGTGGCTATTTGGATTGATTTGTTTGACAGAGGACTGTTGTTGCCTCTTCTGCTGCTGCTGTGGTTGTTGTTGCTGTTGCTGTGGCATCTGTGGCTTCGGCATCAACCCCAACACCTCAAGCATATACGCATTCCACAACCGATTCAAACCCTCATACGTCTCATATGTCACAGCCTCTCGATCCAATTTGTAGACGCCCAGCTCTCGCTTTTCCTTCGCACTGAGCGGTCGAGGCCGTCTCTTGCGCAAGTAGTATTCCTTCTTTCGTAGACGGATATGTCTCCTGAGCGCGCGTTTGTCTTCTGGCGCGGCGGACGCTGATGTTGACGTCGTCGCTAGGAAAAATGGTTTGTTCTTGATTTTGTCTGTGAAGATTCGCGCTGCGGTGTCGGGCGAGTGGGCGCGGTTGAGGAGGGTGTGGGCTGGGTGGGAAGGAGGAGTGCCTGTAGTAGTGGTAGTAGTAGTGTTGGTAGGACCAGCGCCGCCGCCGCCGCGAGGAAAAGGTGATGAAGGGGTGGCCATGACTGTAGAGCTTGGATTTGGACTTGGATTCTGGGGGTGATGCTGCAGTGGTCGGTTGGTAGCTCGGTCGATTGAAAAGGGCTGGGCTGGACTGGCTGTCTCTTGCTCGACTGCAGTGCTTGATAGACTGGCTGGCTGCTCTTCGCCCTCGTCGGTGGTCGGCCGGAGTGCTGGACCGCTGGAATGGACTGAGGAACGCTCTTGACGAGATGGGCCGAAATGGGGGTTCAGTGAACTAGTACACAACGTTGCAAACAGAGCCGAGTATGTAAGAGGCCACAAGAGAGGAGAGGAGATGGGCCGGTCAGTCTACCACAGTAGCACTGCACTACTGGTAACCTGTACTGTACGACTGCCAGGGCCGTTCAAGTCGCGGGCCACGAAATCGGGTCGGCTTAGGTAGAGGCACGTTTACAAGTCATACTCTGCGAAGGAGGCATTACACATGAGACTTCGAAATCGTAATGATGGCAGTAGTATAATTCGTCTGGTGGTGAGGCTGGGTGCGCGAAAGTAGAAATGTGTGACGATGCTGGGGCTTGCTTTTACAGCCTGAATGTCTCGACTGGGTGTTCATCAAAAATAATGTTTAGGCGGGGCGCGGCATCAGGCAAGGCTGAGAAACCCACTTGCAAGCAGCCGACGAGGCTGAACATTTTAGTGCATGTGTCCGGTTATTCAGTCCTACCTCAGCGGCCCTGCCCAAGGTCAGACATGAAACCCGTGAACTGTCACTATGTACCTGCATTGCAGTGTGGTAGGAACTGTATCGTGGCCTTGGACTCTATGGACAACAACGATCGTTGATGACTGTGATGTCGAAAGAAGGGATGAGAAAAGGAATTGTATGGATCGAAAACACCATAGAATATATTTAGTACAAGGAGGAATAGAAATAACTTCAATATATATGTATTACAATCATAGTCGTTAAAGAAATAGCGGTTCTGTACACGACCAAGTCGCCATGTCCTCCCTGATCACGGCCCACATACATATACCTAGGTATGTATCAGTCCTGCTTGTATTCAATTAATGGCTTCAATAAATCGTTCCACAACACTCAGTCAGCTGTACCAGTAGATATGCACAACCATAAAACCACTGCCCACATAGACATACTTTTCATTTCCATCTGCCAGCACCTGACAAGTCAACGCTTGCTACCTTACATTACAAATGTGTACGTCGATGAAAAAAACAACTTCAGCCATATACCATCAACACCTGGAGCGTCGTATATATAAAGTTAGTAGCTCGCAACCATTAATGTCTGCTTCATAATGTCTGCATGCCCGAGTATGCGTACATCTGTGCCGAATTGGACAAACCATGTGCAGCCGCCGGAGGAACATAGTTCCCCTGATAGGGTGGGTTTTGAGCCGAGAAGTCGGCGTTTTTGTACAGAGGGTTGACAATACCACTGGGGTACTTGGTGCGAGGAGGAGTTGAGGTCGGAGGTGCCGATAATCCCGTGGGTGAGTAGTACGTGGATGTCGAGCTGATGCTGTTGTAATCTTGAGGGCCTTCATTCCAACCCCATTTCTCTTTGAGATCGTCATGGATAAACGTAACCCTCCAGCCCGTCTCTTTCTTGATCCTCTCAAAGATCTGTAACACTTCTTCCTGTTCTCGTCGCGACGTCAGATTCTCTCCTGCCACAGCAAGACATCGAATGGATGCCGACGCCACGCCTCGGTCTTTGACATGAGCCACTATCCCACAGACATGCCGGGAATGGTAGATCCTCATCTCCTGCATCTCCTCAGCCGTCTGAGGTTGGACGCTGGCGAGTGGATGAACCATACCCAGCAGTGCCAACGCTGTGTGATAGAACAGTCGTGCGACAATCGTCGTCCTTTTGATGTACCACACCTCGGGAAAAGAGCTTTTCGACGAGGTGGCATAAGCAGGGACATAGGCCATGGGTTGCATCGTGGGCGGAACACAACTGTCCCAGCGCTCGCAAAACTGCTTGAGCCCCAACCACACCTGGTGTCGTTGTTGTAGGCGCATCTGCTCAGCGTGAACACTGCTATCTTGAAAGTGGGCTTGCGCTGTCGACCGGAAGTTGGTGATCTTTGACAATATCCACAGCATTTTATGAGTCCAATGGTCCTCATTGCCGGGGCCGTGCTGCGGGTTCATGGTCATGTCGAGACCCCAGGTGTCCGGATCCCACGCGACGCCCCAATTGAAATGTAGACAGCTGAATAACTCGAGTCCCACATTCAACCAGAAACAGGCAGCTCCTATGCCTGTGGCAGTGGCATCCCAACGACACTCCTTGATGAGCGCGCGTGCACCGGCAATGTGATTCATTCTCTGGAGTGCCTTTTCCGACATGACTTCGTACACGTTGAGAATGGTCGCGGTGGTAGCGCAGAGAACGCTGTCCCTGTTCGGATTCTGTAGGGACTTCAAAAGAAGCTGCGTAGCGCTGTTGTAGTAGTTCAGTGCATGCTCCTCAGGGTAGGCAGAGTTCACCAAAGTCAGATGACGAACTCCACAAGCCAGCAGCGCATACTTCAGCATTGGTTCTCGCAGCGCTTGGAACGGTATGAGGCGGGAGAAATGCTTGTGGGCATCCATCGAATCCATCCACAAACCCACTTCTTCCACGAATACCTGCATGTACAACACTTCATTGCGATCCTCAAGCGGCGAGAGATCCGACCCCTGCACGCTCGGCATCATCGTGGGTTGCCCGTAAGGGATGCTCGTAGAGTGAATGGTATCTGGGAAAGGCGCCATTGCAGCAGTTGCCGACTCGTTGTATTGGTGGCCACTGGCGCTTTGGTACAAGGCCTGGGGTGGTTCCGTATAACTGTTAGTATAAGCTTCAGGGGCAGGAAGCTGTTGATGGGGTATGATCGGAGCAGCGACTGGGCCATAATTGTATTTTAGCGATGGGATGCTCAGCTTCTGCCGCTTAGGTTCCGGCTCAAGTGGGTGGTACTTCTCCAGTCCACCCACGTACTCCGAGGCGATTTCCCGCGAGTCATCTTGGAAAGTGACTTTCCAGTCATGCGTCCGGGGCAGCAAATGGGGCGGTCTTCCACATTGGATGTCGATAAAATTGAGACGAATACCACGCTTGCATTTCCGGTTGGACCGCTTGCAGTTCTGACAGGTCGGCAATCCTTCGTCGCACTTGAGGTGTCTTTCTCGGCAGGTCAGGCAACCAGTCCTGACTCGTTTCGGCTTGGGCGCGGCAACAGTGTCGGGCTTATTCTGAGTGGGAGTGTCCGTCTCTGTCATCGACACCGGACTGCGTTGGGCAGTTTGCGACGTGGGTGTCGACTTTTTGGACTCGTCCCCAGTCATCCAAGACTGGTCAGTGCCCGTGGCATCTGCCGCTGCGTAGGGTGGAGTCAGAGGCTTGGGTGTGTGGTGTGGCCGAGTAGCGGTATTAGATGGGCCTTGAGCTGTCTGAGTGTGCAACCGGAGGGAATCACGGTTCTGAGAATAGCTGGATGCAAAGGCAGGCGTTGGATGGTTGTTAAAATGAGCGAAGGCCAGAGGGGGCAGATATGATGGCGGGAAATTATGCGCCAGTTTGATGTCTCACGAGGGTGTCATGGCGAGACGCCCTTGAATCGACGGGCCACAGTTTTGACGACGGAGTAGTGTGGAGTGATACAGCTGGTAGTAATGCAATGAACTCGATCCGGAGTTCAGGGTTTGAATCCTGCCAGCGGTTGTCTCTCGTCCTGCTGGATTTAGTATATGCACAATGACAGGCATGGAACAAGATAATTCTCGAAGAACGAGGGATTGGTCTGGCAACGGAGCAAGGAAGAAGCCGACAAACAAGAATATGCTGCGAGTCTGTGAATCTCAGCTGTAAGGCTTGGAAAACTTTCTCTTGACAGCACTCGGTGTCCAAGCTCCTGGGGCAGTCCTCGAACGGGAGCAGCTCCAACTCGCCGCGTGGCACATATCGGCCGTGGACAGACAGCCTTGTGGACCGGTGACGAGATATGACGGATATAAAGAAGGTCTCCATGTTTCAAGAAAAAGCAGACTGGGGCAGGTTGTTTGGGTATAGTAGAACATTCTTACATACCTTTTCTGTTTGACCAGGAACTTGGGCAGGATCAATAGAAGCACCGGGCGACAAGGCTGGCAAAGAAAATGTACAAGGAAACAGCCCCGTACTTAGGTTTGTTCATTTGTCGAAGGTTGTGGGAAGGGAAAGTCGAGTCGGGCAGGACACGGGGAATAAATGAATGATCGAAAGAAAAGGCGAGGTCGTGGACAAGGCCCAGGCGTCAAGGGGGGTCGAACTTGAAGATGGCTCCGCCGGTCGATCGCTCGTCCAGATGGAAGAGTGAAGATGGAGCATTTTAAGGTGTGGCTGTCAGAAGGTCCAGATAGTACAGCATGATGGATCAGCTCCCCGAGATCATGTCAAACTTGAAGCCTGCCATGCACAGCTGGAACTGTTTGAAAGGGAAGGGTTCCCGGATGGCGGCTGGCCAAAACAGCGAAAGATGCAAGGCTAGTCCAGAGTCGTTCGAGGTGTTAGGCCTGGCACGACAGTTTTCGGAGTCGACGAGGCGGCGGCGTCGAAGCCATTGGTTTGCGCTGACCAGGGCCTTAGCCGGGAGCCCAGGGAGCCTTCCAGGCGCTGGGCAGACCGAGATTGTAAGGTGCAGGCCGGCATGTTAGGGCTCCGGAGGCACCTCTTCCACTTGGCCGGGGCGCCCTGCAGCAGTCACCACGAACCTAAACCATCGTAGCCCCGGGAAGCCCGTTCACTAGCCGAGAGAACACGGCTAGATTTCCCTCTGGGCGCCAGTAGGCTCCTTAGGCGTTGTGGCGCGGCGCAGCCAGCACGACTTTCGGTATAGCCAAGTTTGCTGCTTAAGCCACAGTTTACGCTGGACGAAGGCCAAGCTGCACCTAGCAGTCACTGCCGCCTTCCCTCAGCTACCAGGTACCACGCCTAAGGTGCATGCTGAGCACTTATTCTTACAACTGCTTCAAGTTCTAACAAACTATCAAGTAACTCTATCATTGCCCGCAATCATAGTTCTTCATACGATAACCAAGTGCAGATTGTATTATTGTCGATGCGCAGGTTAATACGTGAACCTGTGTACCAGGTGCTGATAACATCGTGCCCAGCATCTGTTTATTCGTCTATTCTTGTTCGGCGTCTGCCAACTCGCTTGTTTCGGGTCTAGGTTGCCCATGATTTGTATTTCTCCCCCTGCACGATTGGCGCCAGACCCATCGCTGGCACGTCAGCCACTCGCCAAAAGATCCCTGCTCCGATGACCTTGACGTCGTCGACGCCGATGCACGAAATGGAAATACTGGAGATCCAGCCAGTTCCAGCTCCCCATCGAGTCTGCGCCTGGCTATCGCTGCCCATCGACGTTCAGCAACTTCTCAACGGCTCCTGTTTTCGTCGGCACTTCCGTCATTGCGTCGCTGCTTTGGGGTGCCTGCAGCTCTAAGGTTTGTTCATGTCATTCATGTCGTGCCTTGCATCATCTCATTCGGCTGCTGTTCTGTTCGCTTCCATCACATGTACGGTATGTGCATGTGTGGTTAATATCGCGTACTAGTAGTAGCGAGGAGGATAAAGGCCCTCCATGTCTCGTGTCGCTCCTCGCTTCCGAGAGTGAGGGTCGACCGGCATCTGCAGATCCCTCTTCCGAATCCAAAAATCTCCCGCGTCACTCGACGTATTATCCTTTCAAGCGACCAAAAGGACAGGAAGATCTCTTACGAGCCATTCGGCCTCGGTTCAAACTCTCCTCGAGTGCTGTAAGTGGCTTGTCCCGTCAAACTGTTTTGTCAATGGAGTGTTTGCATCTTCCTTTCTGGGCAACTCTACCGACCAGGACCCCTGTCATCGGTGTCGCCGAACAGACATCCTGGCAGTCGAACGGTCTGGCCCGATCTTTTCTGCTGGCCTCCTGCTCCTATTTGGATCTGAACAGTTCCAACGCTTATATTCCACGTGGTATGATGCCAAATCATAGTAGTACATCCCCATCAACTTGTCATGCAAGTGATGTGGCTGAGGTTCCCAGACTGCTGGCGCCAGATCCGGGGCGATCCTGAAGCGTTGCAGTCGTTGGGGCACAGGGAGTCCCGACTTGGCTTACACTGGGGAGATAAGCTGCGCAACTTGATGCCATTTCTACACTACCGCCTGTGTAAGTGCCATTATTGGTCTGTCAAGCAGACATCACATGCCCCCAATCGGGATGCCATCTTGTGCCTCTACTCGGAAATTCTGCCGACGCAAAGAGAGATCGAGGTGTCGAGATACGTCTTATGGGCCTTCTTCCTGGCTCAATTGACACCCACGAAACCTGGACACCTGGGGTTGGACGACGTAGCCTTAGCTCTGGTATAGGGAATCCAACAACATCACCCAGATGACTTGGCATCACCACATGTACATATTCAAGGGCAAGGAGCATTAGAATGCCTGTATTATTGTAAGGCACCTGTTGGATGTACCAGTACTGTACGATCGATGTGCAGTGCTGATTCCGCGTAAGGCTGGCACACAGGCGGATATGCCAAAGCCATTCACAACTGGAAGCATTAAAAGCACATAAACTATTGAATCTCAGAGACACTGCATGCTCGCCGATGTTTCAAAGAACAAAAAATTATACATAGACTTTACTGCCGTTGTAGATGCCAGAATTAGTTGGCCATTCCGTGAATTTTATAAAAATGCAAAAAAGGCTGCCCGCTGGAGGATTCGAACCTCCGATCTTCTCATTACGAGTGAGACGCCTTACCCCTGGGCCAAGCGGGCGGTTTCGCATGCTTGAGTCGGCATGTCGGGATGGTATATTCCGATAATATTTTTATGAACTCAAATGAAGGCACTTTATTTTCGAACTAACTTTAGGCTATGTCTTAGGCGGCCGACAGCCTCCATACTTCTTCCCCGATCGATTTTGAAGATATCGTAGGTGTTCACTCAAGAGTTCAATAGGAATCATATCTCAGAGTATTCTACCATCTACTCTACTGGATATTGTGAACATGTCAACACCTTAACTAACATACCTGATGCGACGGCATGGAAATATTTATTCATGTTGTGGCAGGGTTTCTTGATTAATACTGTTTTTGCCTGCGCATGATTTGACTGTATCATGCATGCCCATACACGCCACTTGATGCCTCGAGCAAGAAGTCAAGCTGGATGATCCGATCTCAAGGTTGAACATTCAAGGGAGGCGAGCATAGCCACTCACTACTACTGCTGCTGCTGCGGCTACCACGCAATCCGATCCAATCCATGGACCAACGTCCAGCAGTGCCAACTTACATTCTGCGCGGCCACGAGGCCGCCATCCACGCTCTACATTTCTACGGCAACAACGCCTACTTGGTCTCCGGCGACAGTGATGGCTGGTTGGTCATCTGGAGTTTGACGACGAAGAGGCCCCTCGCGGTCTGGAAGGGTCATGATGCTGGAGTCATGGCCATCCATCACTGGACTGACGAGAGATTGATCAGGTAAGAAACAAGAACTCGTCTCATTCCATCAATATAACCCTGCGTCCGGTTGAAATCCGCAAAAGGACTGGATGTCCTGGACGCCGTTGCATTACAGTGGAAAGTGTCTTTAACGGTTCTAATTTGTTCACTGAGGAACCTCCTTACAGCCACGGAAGAGACCACAAGCTACGAGTCTGGCAGGTCCGCTCAGAAGACCTCAATAGACTCAGTCAGAGACTACCCGCCGAGCAAGCATCCGCCGATACCAGTACCCAAGCACAACCATGGCTATTACACTCGCTGTCGGTCAACGCGCTGAACTTCTGCGCCTTTTCCATGTGTGACGAAGAAGAAGATCCCCATCAGCAGAGGCAGCGGCAGAACAGCAGCGCACCAACACCGCAATTAATTGCGTCGCCCAACGGGCTGGATTCAGGCGGAATCGACATTTTCCAACTCCCTTCCGAAAAGCGAATATCTCAAATCTACTCACAAACGGACTGCACCACCGGTATGGTGATGGCAGTGTCGTTGTTCCATGCCAGGCAAAATTCAGAAACACTAGTTTTGGTGTCCGGGTACGAAGATGGACGGGTGATGGTTCATTCGTATCATGGGAGACTATCGGCTGATGGCCAGAATCAGAGTCGGAGTCACTGGCAGCTGCGAGCGGTCAGTAAGCCGCATTCTCAGCCGGTCCTCTCACTGGGCGTGCTGCCGTCGAGAGACTACTTCTTTACTTCTGGGGCAGATGCCATGATCGCCAAGTTCTCCCTCGCGCTCAGCGACAGGAAAGAGGAGGGCGATTTACAGCCGGAGAAGCTTGTAAACACCAAACATGCCGGCCAGCAAGGCTTGAGTGTGCGATCGGACGGTAAGATTTTTGCCACGGCTGGTTGGGATGCCCGGGTCCGGGTGTACTCGTCCCGCACACTGAAAGAACTGGCTGTCTTGAAATGGCACAAGGTGGGATGTTACGCTACGGCTTTTGCGAATATCCTGCCTGACGAGACCACCGGCGTGATAGAGTCGAACTCTGACCATGAAGCCTCGCCTGGTACGTCGCATGCAGTCACGTCGTCTGTTAGTGCCCTTGACATGATCAAGAGGCAGCGAGAAGAAAAAGCCCGCATGACCCACTGGCTGGCAGCTGGCGGCAAAGACGGGAAAATATCTTTATGGGACATATACTAGTCCACGAAATAGACACACATGAGACAGACATTATCTGGGACTTCCTGACAGTCCATCCAATCCGTGCATGTCCGGCCTGGCAGTGATATCCTTCAGCTTCACGCCGGGCGTTTTTTGCGCTTGTGGCAATTGATTCCCATGTTTTCATGTAATCCTGTTTGATCCTCAACATGTATATCCTGCCATCGCTCGGGCCAGTTTGAAAATTAGGCCCTTCTACGAGACCTGCCTGTTTCTCGGGTAGTCACAGTAGGCAGGTTAGTTTATATCATGAACCACTCTGCTGTGGCTCAAGAATGACATTGTCAATCAGCCTCACGGTGCGCTGGTTCGTTTCCTCGTCGTTCTTCGGAGAGTCGACCGGCCATACGAAGATCGCAGCGCTGAGGATTGCTCCACGAGTCGGGTCGACCTTCTGGGAATCCTTGATCATTTTCATGTCATCCGGATCGCTCAGTGCAATGTAGTCGATTTCGATGCGCGCACTTCCACCCAGCTTGCCATCTTGTCTCTTCGCCAATGCTTCTCTGCTGAACACATCGTATGCCGCTTGTCTAATGTTCTTCCCCAGCCGCTCACCCGAGTTATATAGATCTCGAGCAGCAAACAGAGCTCTGGACAGTACCACGGCATCCTTCCTCCGCCTCTCACCGAGGTAGACGTTGCGGCTACTCATGGCCAGACCGTCCGGCTCCCTGATTGTAGGAATGACGCGCACTTCAGTCGGGATGTGGAAATCCTTGACCATGCGCTTGATCACAAGACATTGCTGGATGTCCTTCTGTCCAAAGTATACTCGATCCGGTTGGACAATGTTGAACAGCTTCATGCACACTGTTGCGACTCCACGGAAGAAGATTGGCCGCGAAGCCCCTTCGAGTTGCGACCCCAATGGCGTGATGGTGACAAAAGACCCGTCGCCCGCAATGTCCGACGTGGGTGGTAACGTAGGGTACATGACCTTGACGGTAGGGGCAAAGACGCCGCGGATGATTGAGTCCTTGTTGCGCCCTGACGACGAAGCGGCGTGTTCCTCTTGTACTTGCTTCAGCTTCTGCATGTCCTCCTCCCAGGTCCGAGGATAGGCGTCCAGGTCTTCATGCGCAGCAAACTGGGTTGGATTGACAAATATGGAGACGAACACGTCGTTGTTCTCCTCGAGGGCGTGTCTGATCAACGACAAATGTCCCTCATGTAATGCTCCCATGGTTGCAACGAAGCCCACCTCTTTCCCTTCTCGTAGCAGTTTCCGCCGCACCTCGCGCAGCGGAGGAACATCGCGAAAGACCGGGAAGGGTGTTGAAGGATTACTCGTGTTAGAGGAACATCGTGGTGGCTCCCAAAAGGGTCTGTATATTGCCCGCGGCGAGACAAGGGCAGGTCGGTGGCATACAAGGCCCCCTAAACTCCGAAAGCGGTTTGTTCTCGGGGCGATTCTCTCCATGGTAAGGGTGCTCGTAAGCTGAAGGTTCTTGAGGCGGCTTGAGGATTTTTCGACACAAGGAACAGCTGCTTCATCTTGAGCCCCGTGAGCGCAAACAAACTTTTTCACGGGCACTCATAAGCATTCATGATGGAAACTGCAGCGTGGTGTTGAGAAGAGGCTGGAGCTGGAATCACTTACAGTATGTTGTGCCTTGTTGGGCGGGCGGGAGGCCACCAATCGGAGTCGCAGTGTCTCTGTCTCTCCGCATTCTTCAACGTCGCTCTAAAAAAGTTTCGAGAGCCTCGCATCTTTTTTCCCTCCACCAGCCTCATCACCCGAGTCAAACCTCGGCTTTCTTTATACAGCCGTCCTGCCCACCATGGCAGACGATGGCATGTTTCTGAACTTTGCTGTGGATGCCGACCTCAACACCAGCGCGCAGAAGTTCAAAGGTGGATCATGGAGAGACCGGCTCAAGGCGAAAAGGTCCGCCCACCGAGTCCGATCGGGGAGACCAGGCGACGCAAACAGTGTTCCGATCAGCCAACGGCGTCCGAACGATCATTCTGCGCATTTGACCGAATTTCCAGATGGCCGGCCGGCCAAGAGGAGACGTGAGAACGGGTATGCGCCTAATCATACGGACGGAGAAGGCAATGCGCAGAGACGCAGTGAGCAGAAGCCTACGGGCCCTCGCGAAGTGATTTCCTCTTTGTTTACCTACAATCCCAAGCCCTCAACCGCTGTGGGGGAATCCAAGGACGTACAGGAAGAAGAGAAGCCAACCGCTCCCTCCAATGCTCCTCTGGTCGACGGCATCGACACTTTCACCTCCCTCGGCCTTTCGCCCACGCTTTCCGCCCACCTCTTGACCAAAATGAACCTGAAGAACCCCACGGCGATCCAGAAGGCGGCGGTCTCGCAGATGTTGAAAGAAGACAATGATGCATTTATACAGTCCGAGACGGGATCCGGGAAAACACTCGCATATCTCCTGCCAATAGTCCAAAGAATAATCACAATGTCGGAGCAGCGGAAGATTCAACAGGCCACGGCCCACGACGCATCGCTGCACCGTGACTCCGGGCTATTCGCCATTATACTCGCGCCGACACGAGAATTATGCAAACAAATATCGGTGGTCCTTGAGCGCTTGCTAGGTTGTGCGCGGTACATTGTCGCTGGAACAGTGATTGGCGGGGAGAAGAAAAAGTCCGAAAAGGCACGACTACGTAAGGGCCTGAACATTTTGGTTGCAACTCCTGGCCGGCTTGTCGATCACCTCGAGAACACCAAGGCTCTCGATGTCAGCAATGTTCGGTACCTCGTCCTCGACGAGGGCGATCGGTTAATGGATCTCGGGTTTGAAGAGGACATTACCAAGATCGTCAAGACTCTGGACCAGAAGAAGAGGAAGAGCAGCAGGCCTGGTCTTCCTGAAAACCGAATGACCGTGCTCTGTTCCGCAACGCTGAAGATGAACGTCCAGAAGCTGGGTGAGATCAGTCTCAAGGATGCCGTCCTGATCAAAGGCGACCCAGGCAGCACCGACGACCAAGGGACAAACGGCACCACCCCTGACGGGCCCGACTCGGCCTTCCTCGCTCCAGCACAACTAAAACAGACCTACGTGGTTGTCGCGGCCAAGCTGCGACTGGTGACGCTGACGGCGTTGCTGAAGCGGACATTTGCACGCAAGGGGTCGGTCATGAAAGCCATTGTCTTTGTCTCGTGCGCGGACTCGGTCGAGTTCCACCACAAGGTGTTTACAAGAGCCTCGGAAAATGAAAAAGTGGACGATTCGAAAGCGACATCTACTACAACCGCAACCAAAACTGAGGCTGATGGAGAAGCCTCATCCTCTGATTCTGCCGAAGCAGACACTAAAGACGCTAAAAAACGCTCGACATCGACCACCACCACTACTGCCACGACACCCGATTCATCAGACTCAATATCGCCCTCCCCAATCCTCTCATCTCCCAACAACAACGTCACGCTCTACAAACTGCACGGCTCACTCCCCCAAGCGACCCGGACAAACATAGTCAAGCACTTCGAGCAGACGACGGCGCCATCACTCCTGATCGCCACGGACGTGGCATCGCGCGGACTCGACCTGCCTAATCTCGACCTAGTGATCGAGTACGACCCGGCATTCAGCTCCGACGACCACCTTCACCGAATTGGACGCACGGCACGCTTGGGCCGCGACGGACGCGCCATCATCTTCTTGTTGCCGGGCAAAGAGGAAGGCTACGTCGACGTCCTGAAGAGCTCGTACAAGCGATCCTCGTCCTCGGAAAACGCCACCGACACCTCTCGCAACGTCACGGCATCGACGGCCGACGAGGTTCTCAAGAAGGGCTTCTCGCCTCTGACGGGCGTGGTTGCGACCAAAACCAGCAAAGCTGGTCAAGACTGGGAAGCCCGCGCCACCGAGTTCCAACTCGACGTTGAGCGCTGGGTCCTGTCTAGTCCGGCGCACAAAGAACTGGCCAAGCGTGCCTTTCAGAGCCATGTCCGCGCCTACGCCACCCATGTCGGCGCCGAGCGGAAATGGTTCGATATCAAAGATTTGCATCTCGGCCATTTGGCTAAGGCTTTTGGGCTGCGTGACCCCCCTGGCCGGGTCAATGTTGTTGGTCAGAGAGGTGGTGGCGGTAGTGGTGGTCGTAGAGCTGTTAGTGGTAGTACATCGCAACAAGCCCGAACCAAAGGAGACTCGGGCACTGCTGCTACTGGCGGGAAACGTGATGCTGACTTGGATGACACGGGTGACGCGGACGAGGCGGCCAGGAAAATGCGCGAGAAGATCCGCAAGAACAAGTTGATGGTGTTGGGAGGTGGTGCTGACGAATTCAATATCGCTTGATTTGACAAAGGGAAGGGATACAATGCAAATCACTCATGCTCCACGGCTCCATCAGATACGCCTGCCCACACAAGATATCAAGAATTAAATGGCAGTTTTATGTCCATAATGTAATGCTTTCCGCTTCTCTGCTCCCCGATCTGCTATGGCTAACATGACTTTTTGATTCATCTCATTCGTGCGATGCCCATTGCGCGCCCAACTTGCGGTCAGTCAAGAAGGAGTAACGCCCCCTCGTGGTACACCAAATGCTCCTTTCGTAGTCACTTTCTAGATTTTGAACACACCGCTTTTGCTCCTGATGCCGTCAAACACGCATGTTCCGGCAACGGGAACATACTGCCTGGTCAACAGCTTGATCGACTCCTGCGCCACCATGCCCCCGATCACGCTGGAGATATTGTGCAGCTCGCCACCTGCAACTCGCTCGACCTCTGCAATTGCCTTGGACAAATTCTCCTGTACTTCAGGATCCGAAGATAGCGCCGTCACATCTATTTGGTAAGAGGGAGTCGCCTTTGCGTTGAGTGCCACGAATACAGGAAGGAGAGCTTCCCAGTCGTTCTCGATCAGAGAGGCCAGACGAGAAACTGTTTTGGGGTCACTCATGGCAAGCCTGAGCGACGGGAACGGATCATTGTTGGTATTCGTCAAAACGCGGACGTGAGAGGCATTCTTACAGAAGGCTTCGATTTCGGTTTCAGGGACGGGTGTGGCTCGTCCTAGCGACTTCTCCGTCTGACGAACCAGTTGAATCACTTCGGCTACATCGGCTCGTGCCTTTGCCTTGTAGATGCCCTGTAGCTTGATGTATTCTGCACTGGTGGCCTTCATGTCCGGCAAGGACCCTGGCAGAGGGAGTACGCCGTGCGAGTCGTAAAAGGACGTGACGGCGTTTGCGACGACCCAGAAGTTGGCCGAGCCGGCCGTCAGATTGGTGCAGGACGGCATACTCATCATTTCTCTGCAGCCGCTGCCAATAGGAGGCGGAGCGATCGACTTCAAGACGGCCGCACACGCTTCGTCGAAGTTCTCCTCGCCGCCTTCGGCGTTGTCGGTCCTTGCTCCCGAACGCACCAGGTCGCGGAATTCGGTCTTTTCCTTGAAATTTGAGGGGACGTTGCCGTTGTGGCTGGCCTTCCACTGCCTTAAATAATATAACAAGAGCAGAATGTAAGGGATGTGGCCGTGGTCGTGATCTGACATGGATGTGAGATCGCCCAGCGAGTCCACGGCAGCTTCTAGTTCAGGCCAGGGTGCAAGCAAGCGGAGGTCTTGCGTGCTCTCGGGGTCGGGATGAGTGTCGACTATGGGGAATTCGGTAGGGAGTTGGATGGAGAAAGCCGCATAGAAGCCGGCGGACTGTACGTAAATTGCTGGTATTGAGTTCTGCAGCGCATACTGGCATATCCGCTGAAGAATCTCTGATGATATGGGACCGCAAACAATAATGAGGTTATATGGCTTCAAAGACCCTTCGACCGGCAACCACTCTGCTAGAGGGACGGTGATGGCGTGCCCGGTCACATCCGGATTCAACTCTGATAGAAGCCGCCGTGTCTCCTCTGCTCTTGATTTGTGAAGGCCGTCAGACTCCAGAAAGAAATTGACGCCCAAGTCTTGCGGTGTAACTTGTGCAGAGTCGGCAATCGTAAAGCTCCCAACGCTAGGAAGGATCAAGTTCTTCAAGGCTTCAACGCCCGCAACACTGCTGTTTGAGCCGTGGTTCTCGTCACCGACGACTAAGAGCACATGGGACTCTTCCAGCGCCCGCTGCCCCGATGCTGCCCATAGCCGCAACTGCCTGTCGTATTTCCTCTCTTTGGCCGTTGGGGCTTGTAGAGGTGGCGGAGTGACTTCTCTGGGCGCGATCTCGGCCATGATTGGAGTCTGAAGGGTGTGTGGTCGCGACGAAGGAGCAGGAGGGAGATGGGGAGTCTGGTGTATGAGCAGAGCGGACTTCGAGCATTCCAGAGTCTCTTTTACAGGGATTGCCTACCAATGCATTACTGGAGATGTCGCCGTCGTCTGAGGCAGCATGACCATCGTTGTAGTGTTGACACAGCAGTGAAGTATACGACTACCGTCGCTGTCCTAATACTACTAGAATTTGTCAGGAAAGGAAGGTTGAGCGGTCGACGTCATTCTGGATTTGCGCATTTTGTCCCGCTATCTGCATGCTAAGAATTGCGATCCCAGCGGGATGAAAAAAAGAGGCTCAATTCACTCCTCAACCATTGAAGCCATCACGCTGGGTTTCCTACCTCGAAGAACCCTGCTCTGGAGACGACAACATCTCCATCCTCAGGTGTCTCCAGCTAGGCGATCGCTCTGGGATTTCACGTATGTAGGTTGCTTGTCGTTTTATCTGCGGCTATACATGAATCTAAGGTCCACTCTAGGCTGTGCATGTGAGTCTCCGGACGCCCGCCCATGCTTCTCGTCATGCCACACCCGCAGCTAACAATTCTTCAAAGTTAGATTGAGCCGCGCCCCTTCACATATATCCCAGCCTGTGCGACGTAGTCCTCTATTATTCAGGACCGCGCAAACTTCACCTCTACCTAAAAGGCACTTCCAGTCGAGCGCCGTGCTTGCCGACAAAATGGCCGAAATCGAAGCTGCGAAACAAGCGGCGGCCATCGAAGCTGTGCGAAACCATTTCCCCGAGAACCCTCGCTTCGTGGGTATCGGTTCGGGAACGACCATTGTCTACGTGGTTGAAGCGATCAAGAACTTGGGGACGGACCTTTCTAGAGTGGGATTTGTGCCGACGGGTTACCAGTCAAAGCAACTGATCATAACTGCTGGCTTGGTTCCCATCGAGTTTGATGCACTTCCGGACGATGCGATGATTGATATTGCCTTTGACGGCGCAGACGAAGTGGACGAAGAACTGAACTGCATCAAAGGAGGGGGCGCTTGCCTCTACCAAGAAAAACTTGTGGCTATGCGCGCAAAGCAATTCATTTGTGTTGCCGGTATGTTCTCTTGACTGTACCGGCGAAAAAGGGAAGGGGTTCCTTTGCTAACACTGTGAGACAGACTATCGAAAACTCCAACCGCGTCTGGTCACAAAGTGGCCGACCGTGCCTATAGAAGTCGAGCCCAAGGCTGCCCGGCAAGTGATGAAACGACTGCGGATGCTAGGAAGCCGAAGTCCCACCGGCATAGGCCCCAAGATCCGCGAAGGACACATGCTCAAAGCAGGTCCAGTCAAGACCGACCAGGACTTCTTCATTGTGGATGCGCCATTCCCACACCCGCTTCTGATAGCCGACGATCTGACAGAAACCAAACTCGGCAACGGCGAAGGCGGCTACTGGGAGGTGGAACAGCTCGCCAGGGCCATCAAGGATATCAACGGTGTACTTGCTGTTGGTCTTTTCTGCGGACCAACCGGGCCCGAGGCCTTGAGGGCGGGAGTCGTTGGAGGCCAGCGACCCGTTGCGTGCTACTTCGGCATGGCTGACGGCACTGTGGCCCTGCGACGAGCCCGAGAGAAGCGCCACTCCATTGTCGCCAGATACCCTCCGTTGATCCCGGTGCACTCGGCTGAAGCAGAGGCTGCTCCGGCTGGCAATTGTTAGACATGGTCGTACCCTCGGATTGAATAGACCTTTTTTGATTTTTTTTGGCGAATACGTTGGCTTTTCACTTTGCCTTTCTCTTGACTTCGTTCTCGCCCAGTTCACGAATGTAGATCCCGACCGTACCCTCTGTGATTTCGTCCTTCCCGTCCTCGAATCCCGGGCTGATTGCAGTGGCGAGGTATTTCCCATTCGAGCTGAACGAAACGGCCGCGACACTCGACGGCAACTTAGGGTAGATGCGGATTCTTCGTTTCGCAATGGCGTCCCAGATGGCCACGACTCCGTCTCCACCGCCGGTGGCGAAAGTGCCGTGAATAGGATGAAATGCAAGCGCGTTGACAGGATAAACGACATCGACATCGTCCACGGGCTGGCGATGGCATTTGAAAGCGTATTTGCGCGCCTGCGACTCGTTGGACGGATCGAACCATTCGACCGCGACACGGCCCTCAATGCTGGACGACGCATAGCCCTCGTCGTTGGGCATACAGTCCACCGCCCTCGTCATGAACTTGAGACTACTCTCCCGCCGCTGCCAGGGTTCAATGTCCAGTCTATTCTGCAGCGAGTTGGTCGAGCTCTTGCATTCGCTTGCCAGCGTCTTCAACTCGTAGATGTGTAGGGCACGGTTGGCCATTGCGACAACGAGCTTCGAAGGCGACACCGCGAGCGAAAAGGGCTTGAAAGGTAGATTGATCGTCGCCGTCGACCACTCGGCTCCGTCGCCGCCCGGATGGATGTGAATCGTCGAGTCCCATGCTGCCGAGATGACCAGCGAATGTTCCTTGCTGTAGACGACCGATCGCACGCCGTTGTCGTGCGTGCTTAATACCGTTTGAGTTGCCGTAGCCACATCGATTCTGTCATGTTGGTTAGCCTCAGACAGAACTCTCCTGGAGCCTGGTGTATGTGTACGCACCGTCGAACATCCCAATCTAGGCATGCGGTGTAGATCTCATTGTCGTCTTTCCCAAAGCACACGTCCAGCACTGGCGCTCGATGCTCAAATTTTGCTAGTTGTGTGCACACCTTGCCTTCAGACAGTTCGTACAAATACACATTCCTGTCCCACGACGAGACGGCAAACCGCAACGAATTTGAGTGTGGTGAAAACCTCAGCGCGGATATCGCATCGGCGGGGACGTCGGACACTGCGAACTGGCCTGCCATTGTTTTGTTAGTCAAAGGGAAATCTTGAGTCGCGGGAAGCCTAGTCATACTGGACATTGTATAGAGGAGACCGTTGAATATCTAGCAGCGTTGCTGTCCTGTCCGTGATCCTGCAGATACTAGGTATTGAGAAGTAAGTTGCACGTCGTTCGGATGCGACGACTCGAATGCGATCAACAAACGGGACAAAAATATTGCCCGGCTTCACCGCCCGCAGTGACAGTCCGGTTTTCACAGCCTTGCATGTTCTCCGATTCAAGTTCAGCCTCGTGTCTCTCAGCATCTTATCCACGTGCTCTTATTGAGACAGCTGTTATTTATCCTACGTACATGCTAGATAATGAGATTAAAATCTCAAGTTCTGTTTTGGCTTTTGATTTGAAACATTGTGTAAATGTTTTTGGGTCAATCTACTCATACAAAACATACCGACATTGGCCTCAGTAAGACAATATAATAGTAATACATAGGGTTGAGTGAATGGTCATGATCACCAGAAGATCTTGCTGTACAAATCCATGCCCAAACCCCGTGACAAGCCCAGTAAAACAAAAGTCAATGGGATCTGTACATATATCAATGCAGCCGCTTGCTTAATCGCTTCAACAAAAGTGAAGAAGGCATCTGCCACGAGCGGCACCCAAAGCGCGAAGGACTTTTCAAACAGCGTCTTTCCATTCATCTGGCACTTCTTGCTCAGGTATCATGCGCCTCAGATCTCTCAGAATTGCCTCGCTTCCCTTTTCAATGACCGACTGCCTTGGGACACGGAACTTGTTGCCGCTGACTTCCAAGACTCTGAGTTTTCCCCCCGAATTTGTGGTGCCCGGAAGGTTCCCGAGCAATCCTAGCTTCGGTGGTAGACTATCAATTTCGTTGTTCCGTATGTCCAGAACCTCAAGACCTCGGACTCCCTCGACTTCGACACTGGTGAACCAGTTGTCGGTCGCGAGTAAGGTATGGCAGCTCGGCCACCATGCACGCACCCATGGCACCTTACCTGTCAGTCGGTGGCATGAAATGTTCAGTTCTGTCAGGCAGGGCGCTTTCAAATGGGTTGTTAAGGCGTCGAGTGAGGTGAGCCCTGTGCTCACAATGAACAAAGACTTGAGATTAGGAAGGAAGAGCTCGCAACCCAAATAATTTATGGATTGGAGTGGGTTATGGCTGAGGTCCAGAGACCGCAAGGAGTATTTGAGAGCCGGATGAGAGAGAAGTGTGACTGGAAACTCGGAGAGGTCGTTGTTAGAAAGTTTCAAGGTGTGTATCGGGACGTCTGTGTGGCTTAGATCGACCTCCTGCAGCTGGACGACAGTAAGGGACTGGGAGGATAAATCCAGTATACCACCAGCAGGCTGATATCGGTGGGTACCAGATACCCCATTCTGAGGACGCAGAGCCTCTGAATCCGTCTGATCAGAAGCCAGTTTCCGCTCGAGATCATTCTTGAGCTCCATTGTCGTCATCGTGAGGTACTTCCTCTCTCGGAGAGGATTGGCCGCCAAATTGAGGCTTGAAAGGTTTGCCAACCTCGCTATTCCGGTGTCAACAAGCCGAATGTTGTTGTGGCTAAAGTCGCCGCTCTTTAGAGTTTGCAAATGCACGAGCGAAGGAGGTATGTCCTCCAATTGATTCTCTGCTGCTCTGAGTATCTGCAGCTCCTTGCATTTGGTCAAGTCGGGTAGGCGAGTTATTTTGTTTCCGTCCAGAACAAGCGAGCGAAGCTCAGGCAGATCAAGCTCCACATCAGACACTCCATCAAGTCTGTTATAAGAAACATCCAACCTGCGTAATGCGTGAAGGGAAGTCTGACCTCCAAACAGTGTTCCGGATAATTGATTCTTTGACCCATTCAGTTCTGTCAGCGGTAGCGTCGATAGAATATCCCAAGGAAGCGTTGTGAGCTTGTTGTGGGAAATATCTAGGACCTTAAGATTTTTGAGTCGAGCAAGCCCTTCTTCATCAATGCGCTCGATCCTATTGCTGTGCAAATCGAGTACCTGGAGATGCTCGAAGCGGCCAGCCCGCAAATTCAATGCACCATTTAGGACATTCTCACCGAGCCTGAGTTCTCTCAGCCCGGGAATTTGACTGACAATGTCGATGACGTCGTTGGTGAACCTGTTGCTGTTCAGATTCAGCGTTTGTAATCTCTCCAGCCGTCTGATGCCGATAGGTAGCTGCTGGAGTTTGTTTCTATGCAGGTCGATCGTCTCGAGGCCGCCGAATTGATTGCTTTTTTCGTCATCATCCTCCAGCTCGGCTGCAGTATAGTCAGGGAAGAAATGGTCCTCCAGCTCCTCAATCTCATTGTCCGCGGCAACCAGTCTCACTAAATCTACCATCTCAGACCAGTTAATCGTGCTGTTTTCCGCATTATACATATCCTTCACTTCTGCCGGCAGACGTTTCAAGTTCATCCCCACAATGTCCAATTTGCCGGTGGTCGCAGCTTGCTGAATTCGAGTTCGCAGCAAGGTCTTGTTGTCACCGGCCATGATTAATCCATCCATGCTCCATGGCGACATAAACACCGGAGTCTCTGAAACTGGTACGGGATTAGATAACCCGCCAGTTGCGGCCTTTCTCCTAGCAGCTTTGGCAGAGGCAACTGCTTGCCGTAAAGCGGCGGAAGACTTCGGCGAGCTGGTAGCCTCCGGGCTTGGGACTGCCGACACGCTCTGGGCCGGCTGTCTATCTGTCGTAGGCTTCAAGGTCTTGGAACGTGCTGAAGATGAAGCTGAGGGAGCCACAGTCTTCCCAGTTGACCGTGACTTGAGAAGTCGTCCGCGGTCGTTGTCAATGGGTGCCTTAGCCTTGGTGTGACCTAGTGTATCTGTTGAAGGGTCTCGGAAGATGGAAGACAATGGATTCTGGGAGTTGAGTGTTTTGCTTCCAGGGTGTGGCCTGACTTTCACTGTTTGGGCAGAGACTTTGATAGGGGGGTTTTCGACAGTATCCTGCGACTGAGCTTCGAAAACAGAGCTGATGGACCTTCTTGGCGGTCTCAGAGGCTTCTCGGTCATTGTGTGCTGGCCTCTTACGAAAGCCCTGGGTGGGGTATAAATCTCATCCGGAGAGATGACAGGGGGAAGAGCTGATTTGTCTTTGGTGGGTGAGATTCTCCCCGGAGGTCTGAATGGTTTTCTTGTTGGTGATATTGGGCGAGATGCTGCCGGAGAGGATGGGCGAGATTCCTTGAGAGTCGACGCTGGGCGTAACGGTGGAGGCATCTTGCCGTCGTGTACCGATAGACTCGTCCTTCGCTGGGGAGATGGGCAGGGAGAAACCTGCGCAAGTGTCTCCATCGTCCTCTCCGACAAAGAAGGTCGAGGTCTGCGCTTCTCCTTGTGTAATTGCATGCCCTCATCCTTCCTGCTTGGATTCTCGTCACCGTTGTCATGGATAGGAGGTTCAATGAGTGGCTTGGGAGGTGTCCTCTCAAGAGAGGTGGACTGCGTTTCGCGAAGGGCCTCTCTGACCGGAGATACATGTCTCTGGGTTCCATTATTATCGCTCCAACCATACCTTGAACGGATGGATCGATTGAATGTCTCTCCCAAGGGGTCGCTGACCCCCGAGGGCCGTGGGAGGTGAGAGATATTCCGCAGTTCATGTTGGCGGGCTCCTGGTACCGCTTGCGTTCGAACGGTAAGTCTCAGGTTGTCGCTGGAGGCGATTGCACGTGGCATAGGGAGCCGCGACAGACGAGGTATGCTGCCACGAGCACCATGAGGAATGCGAGATCCCTGTTCGTGGTCCATATTTGCTCTGTTATCAGAGCAAGCAGACGGTACACGTATGGATCAGATTATACGTTTGGTAATTCTCTCTTGCTGCATGAGATCCATAGGAAAACAATTAATCCATTGGGTTACCGAACATTGAGAGCCTGGTTAACTTCCCCCTGCACAGGTATATGTCAATCAGAGAGCGACAGAGGGATGCGGTCCGAGCTCAACCAGCCCAGCTCGATTGTGAACCGAACGGACGTGTTGACAGGTCGTGGATTGTTTACTAGCAAGCTATCAAGTCGAAAGGCGGAGAGTGGACGATGGGAGGATCAAAAGTCCCTCAGGGTCATCAAGAAGCGGGAACAAACAAAACTCGAAGCGAGCTGCAGTGATCGACTGGTTGTCCAAGCGACCGGCAGCCGGTGAGAGTCGACGTGAGTTAAAGTGTCAAACGACTGTAACTAGCAATAAACAAACATCACTATCCAGTGCATAACGAATGATCTCCGTGAGGGTAGATTCGGAGTTTTCGTTGACACCTCCTAGCACTGGACAACAGTGCCTACTAGCAAGCCTAAATCCTCTCCGGATAACGGGCCACTGCCGATGCCATAACGAACCGGGCCCCAGCGTGCTGGGCTTAGGCGTACAATAGGGGTTATTATTGCGCTCCAGGCCCGCCTACCCTACAGGTGCAGTGCCTGAGATAAACGCCCCGGTGGTACACGCCCACTTTGCACCCACATGACTTAACAGACACTATTGCTACTAGTGTGCCTTTTGCCATGTTATGGGTCGCTTGGGTCAGTTTCAAGCACCACTAGTGCTTCTAGTCGTCTCCAGTGTCCTAGTAGAGCCTGAGTCAAGCAGTCTGGCTGCCCCCAGCCTCTCGACTTCTCCTCTCTACACCTCAATGACAACGTCTACTATTGCCATACTGGTATCCACCTCTACCAGCCTGTGAATTATACTCTGCCAGCTTGTTGCATGTATTATTCCATTTATCCTTCAACCGCGAGTTTGGTTCACAGACATCATCCCTCAACACGACAATGTGCCATTTGGCGGCTCGACCGTAACCCGTCATCATCTTGTCACCTTTCCGCCTGCGTCCCTCAACTCCACCCTTTATCGATACCGTCCCGAGTGACAGATCAATCCAGCGCCGATCTTGACTGTCGTAAACCGTCCTTCGCATCAGGCCCTCGCAGCTCTAAATAGTGAAATATTCGCACTCGAACATCTTCTCTTCTTTGCGATCGCAATTTGTTGGTATGGCAGAATCACAGAGAGATATGTCGGCCGAGGACAATGTCATTCCCTCAACACCTCCGCCTCCTGGGCGCACTCGGTCTGCAGATAGTATGAGCAAATCGGCCTACAGTTCTCCTCGAGCAATGTCTTCCAGCATGACTCCGCCGCCTTCGACACAACCGCCTCGATTTCATACAATAAACCGCATGGGTGTTGGTTCCGGTGGTGCCTTGCTTGCTTCACCGCCCACCACCGTGAGAGCAAACGTTCTACATGCTTTGCCTACTCCGGACGCCATATCCAAAGCCGACATTGAGGAATTGAGAAATATGGCGCGGGAGTTAGTGGCAGCCGTCCAAGAAGCAAGAACGTCTGCGGCGCATTTTAAGTTGCAGCACAGCCTGTTAACCATGGAGTCCGAGGAAGCAGCGCAACGTGCTGAGGTGGAACATCAAATGACACGCAGAGAGGTCGAGGTACTTCAAGCCGCCGACCATCGCAACAGAAATACAAATTCCATATACCGCCCGCATCTGCAATCATCCCCGTCGCCACAGGTTGAAGCGTTAACTCGGACGTGCAAGGTGTTGGAGGAGGAGCGGGATGAGGCTGAGGAGGAGCTTGCGCGAGTGAGAAAGTTGTTGGAGGCGGAGAAAGACAAGTGTGACTTGTTGAAAGAAGAGAACGATCGTCTGAAGAGACGTATTCGCGAAAACAGGGAGCACTTCAGCCGCCTCAAAAGCATGTCCCCGTCCTATACGACGCCTCGCGACACCCTTACTACGCCGCAGCGGAAAGTCGTCCCGCGGTTCCCCGAGTCTGCCCCAAACCATGCCAATATTGCTGCACTACTTGCTGCGGATCAGGTCCTGAGCCAAGAAAGTGCCAGTGTCCCTTCTACTCCGACCAAATCCCATACATCCAAATTCAAGCATGGTCACACCCGTGGCGCGCATTCATTATCATCCTTGCACCATACACCAGCTCAGACGCGGCCTACTACGCATGAAGGCTACCCTGAGTCAGCGGTCCCGCTATCTGCTCCTGCCTCTCGTTTCACAAGGGAGTCGGAAGAAAGAGATCGTAATGACCGCGACAGTACCATATCCATTTCCGATGCCGAAGACGGGGACGGCGACAACATTCCAGAATCGCAGGCCAGTTCCTTGGCGAGTGACATGCTACGCAGAAATCCCGGGAACCAGGAGAGCTTGAGACTGTCACAGAACGCTGAGCGTTCAAGTAATCTCCTTCAGACCAAATTGTTCGGTCCGATAAAGAAGTCTACCCAGACGAGGAAACGTGGAGCAAGTTTTGGAGAATCCGATATCAAAGCGAAAAAGGCGAAGATATCTCAAGGTGTTGGCCTTGGTATTGAATCTTGGAGTCAGTGAAACCGCTGGTTCCAGCGAGGAATCTGAACATTTTTCACAATATGGTTGTAACGATACCCCATTCAGTTTTTTGGCGTTGTGCAGAGTTTTGAGGCCAGGATGGCCCTGTGGCAGGATGTATTGATTATGATACTCGCTCAAGCTCAGTCATATGAGTGAACAAAGAAATTTCTCATCTTCAAAAGAAACATATTGTGCAATTTTGTACAACATTGTAATTGTAGGTGGGAGTACTAGTAGGGCACGAACGGCTGGGAAACAGGGGCACAGTAAATGCAATATTGTTCAACCCTACAGCACGTACCTGAAGGTGCACGGAATGGCTGCAAATAGAGACAAGGCTGGCGCCGCGAGGCTGGGATGGGATTGCGACTGGAGACTTGCAGTCACATGACTAGGGCACAATCTTGGCAGAACTTTGAGTGCCAAGCCTCGGAATTGCACAACGGGCCCAGCGAAAGTCTCAAGCGGCTGCGCCAGTGCCTCTGCAACACCGCACGACCTTTGCCGACCAAAACCTCGATTTCTTTCTTTCGACAACACCAGTCTCCAGGGTTGTGAGCAGAGCACATCGTCAGGGAGATCAAGATGGCGATCAAACACAACCAGCAGCTGCCCAACAACCACTTCCGCAAGGACTGGCAACGCCGGGTTCGCGTCCACTTCGACCAGGCCGGCCGCAAGTCTCGAAGACGGGCTGCTCGTCTGTCCAAGGCCGCCGCCGTCGCTCCCCGACCCGTCGACAAACTCAGACCCGTCGTCCGATGCCCTACCGTCAAATACAACCGCCGTGCGAGAGCTGGCCGGGGTTTCACCTTGGTTGAGTTGAAGGTATGATTAAAACGACCTGTTTTTTCTCCTGCATGCCGCACATTGGATTAAAGAGAAGGGGTGGGAGGTTCGCAAGTCACAACAGATGAGAGAGCAAGGGCTTTTGTGTGATCAAGGAAGAAAAAGACGTTGCCCTCTTTCAACTAGGAAACCGACCTCGAATTGAACATGCGGGCTGGAAAGAGTTGCGATCATGGAATATGGCCTACACACGTACAATTGGAAAGAACAAGTTACTAATTCGAGTTTTCTTTTCTGGTTCTACAGGAAGCCGGTATCCCGCGCAAGCTCGCTCCCACGATCGGTATCGCCGTTGACCACCGCCGCCAAAACACCTCCCAAGAATCGCTCGCCACCAACGTTGCCCGCCTCCAGGCCTACAAGGCTCGCTTGATCCTGTTCCCGCGCAAATCTGGTCAACACAAGAAACTCGACAGCTCCGCCGAAGAGGTTAAGCTGGCCGAAGATGAGAGCAAGACCATCAAGAAGGTCTCCACCGCCATCCCGATCGACAGCGGTGTTGGCTTGAAGCACGGCTTCTCCGAGATCAGCAAGGGTGACCTCCCCAAGGGCGAGGAGAACGCTTACCGCAAGTTGAGAATCGCCAGATCTGATGCCAGATTGCTCGGTGTCCGGGCGAAGAGAGCCAAGGCCAAGGCCGATGCTGAGGAGGCCAAGAAGAAATAGACGCTTGACATTTCGAAAAGAACGGGAGTTGTGTAGGGATGATTGCAACCGAAAAACAATGGTGATGAGCAACTGAAAGGGCTTGTGCTCCCCCCTGGCAGCCACAGTGCCTCGAGGGCATTTGTCTTTTCTCACGCCTTCTGGAGCCTGTGAATCCATGCCTGTGGACGAGGTGCATGGCATGGGAAATCAAAGCACTTACAAGCGGTGACGGTTGTGCTATGGTTCGGCCCGATGATAAGCTCAACGGGTTTCGAGGATAATCGTCATGTCGTCTCATCCAGGCCATTGACGGAATTCTCAACAAGGCGATACCAATGAAAATGAAAATTCATATGCAAGAAGTGGGCTTTCAGAAACTTGGTGTTATGACAGATCCCCTGGGGTACATCAAGCTTGTATGCGATTCTCTTGTCTGCAAGCTGAGGTTCCATGTAAGCAGTAGCGTACAACATCTGCCCGGGCTCGTCAATGCATTATCTGTGTGCTATCATTTCGCTCTCGTTCGCTCGCTCGATACGCCTCAAGTTATACATTCATATTCTCATCAGCATTCGTAGGAACAAGCGACCAGTCAGGCCGCCGGTGTCTTGCCTGCAGTTTTTTTCAGAAGCTCCTGGTTCTCATAATCACCGTGTGCGAGTTTCCAAACACCATCGACGGCGCTAGTAACGCCTTTCAAGGGAAGCAAACTGGAAAAGACATCCTTCAACCTTGCCTCAGCCTTTGTGGAGACTCCGCCCACAGATATGGAAGGGAAGGATGTTATGGACCCAGTCCAGTCAAGCTCAATGTCCCATACTAACATGATACTCGGTTTGCACGGTGGCCTGCCTGTCCCGACGCTCCGGGCGGCTACAGGAAGTTGTAGCTGGCTCTTGTGCATCCACCGACTCAAGTCAACGGTGTCGTCCTGACTAAGCTCTTCGGCTTCGTCCTGCTGAATGTTGTCCGGATTTTCCGTGTCGAGCGACTTGTAGAAGGTGTCCAGGCGCCGAAAGACCTTGGCCCGCTCGACCATGACGCCAAAATATTTCCCTATGGCCCAAATCAACCCACCAACGTCGCGACGATGGAGAGGATTCTCCAGCCGAGCAGACAGCCATTGGGAAATGCTGGTCATCGTAGAACTTGGTCCTCGCTTCTCGCTCCTTCCCAACAGCTGCAAGTGCTCGACCGCGACGTTTTCGGTGTCGACAACGACTTCAAAGCTGAAAGAAAAGACATCAGGGAGCCATGGAGGGGGTGCTGTGACAGTCAGATAGTGGACAGCTTTGGGGCGACCATCCTCTTGACGGAGTTCTGTGCGACTGTGCAGTTGCAGGTTACCTGGGGCAAACAATGTAAGATGTGTTATGGTCATGTCCTTAGGAAAGCGCAGATCGTCTTCCTGTGGTATTCCGTCAAGATAGGACTCCTCCAGAATCGAGACATCCCCGGTGCTTAAATCTCCGCCATGCTCAATCAAGGTCTCCAATAAGTCATTCCCGGTTCTGAGCTGCTGTAATTTCTCCCTCAACGAGCGAAGACTAGATTGTCTTTCTTTGACCTCAATTGATATGTCCCCCTCATGTCGTAGGTCAATTTCACTCTCTTGCGCCTCGGCGACCTCGTCGTGTTCATCGGATGAACCTTCATTTCGGGCGACTGCCGGCGGTCGTGCTTTTGGCTTCAGGGGACTGCTTGTAACGAGCGAGCCTCTAGTCCTCCGCCTGCTCTTCCCACTGCCTGTCAAGGATCTTCTAGGACTGCTACTTGACGTCAACCCCCGGGGCTTGTCTGGGGCAGGACTCAGACCCAGTTGCACCGGTGTCGGCGGCAGTTCGGGCTCATGGCTCGGGGCGTGAGCGGGTACCCGTCGAGATTCTCCTCTTCGTACAAGAGCGGGCGTTGTCAGCGGGGGTAGGGTTTCGTCGTTGAGCTTTCCTCTGTTGGGCCGGTCTGGATGTGTCGAATTCCGGTTTTTGAAAGGCGATGAGGCTTGAACTGGAGATTGTTTGGTATTTACGGTCCCTGTAGTTTTGTTGCGGGTGATGTCACCGTGATTGACCTCGTTTTCGGCTGTTATCGTCGTGTCTAACCCATCCTTCGAATGATCGACCTGTGGCCGGACGTTTGCATTGGTCTCATGCTGTGCAGCAGCTGAGGGATCTTTGTGCAATATTTCCTCCCTCAAGCTCTTTCCCCTTGATGTTGAAGTCCCCTGGGGTTTAGCTTGATTAAGAAGGTGCGGGTGAGAGCGTGCCAGCGAACTTTTGGTCGGCGACAAATACGAGGCTCTAGTGGGCGTAGTGGGTTTTGGTTTCGCAGCATGCCCGGTGGCATCAATGTCTGGTTCAGGGCTCCCTATCTTTCGTCTTTTTGGTGGAGAGGCCAGCATGCCGTCTTGTTCGGTGCGCAGAGACTGACCGATTTCCGTTGTGCTGTGCTGAGGTACTTGCCGGCGTAGGTACTAAGCGCGTCCTGAGACACGTGGGACGCGCACCTGCAACTGCTCAAAAGTCCCATTAGACGGAGCGTTCTAACATAATTCCTGTTTAGGATACCAGATGTTGCCGCTCTGTAAAGGACGGAACTTGCAGCTGGGGTCCACTAGTATAAATTACCGGCGAATCTGCTAGAGAATCTGGAGCAAAAATAAGCACAGCTAAGCTTTCGCAACTTCAGTGTAGCACACCCAGCTTTCTATGTCCGACTCACAACTCCTCTAGCTTCATCCTTACAATCCATCCTATATATCAATGCGAGATGGTCTTGTGATTAACATGCAGGCCAATTTACTTTTTCTCCTACCCCGGTCAGAATGCGGTGGACAGCCTCTCGCTCTTGGCGCAAGGCGGTGGATCCGTCACCATAACGGCGGTAACGGCAAAACAGCCTCCGTTACGGACGGATTTAACTGTATGACGGACCAGTTCTGATCCCGTCAAAGTCCCTTTATGCGCAGCCTTCTGTGAAGTGACTCCATTCTTTTCCATTCCAGGCCATGATGATTGTGAGCACCTTGCTTGATTGGTCTGTATCTTTTACTTTCACTGCATAAGTATTCGTTGTCACCCTCACTCCCTTCCCCTGCAAACAAACACTAGGCACCCTTCTTTTCAGTTGTTCTCAAACCCGTCTTGTTCTTTTCTTTTCGTCTACAACAAACATGTTATTTTCAAAGAAAAAACAGTCAACACAGCAATCAGACGAAATGGACAGGGACCTTTCCTCAGACCGCGCTGGGGAGGACACCGTGAATGTCGACATGTCCCCCCTTGAGGCAGTCGCAAGTCGACCTGACAAGTATCCTAAGGGGATCAAACTTGTTCTTGTCCTGCTCAGCATCTATCTTGCCATTTTCCTGGTGGCTTTAGATAGGACTATCATTGCGACAGCCCTTCCGAAGATCACTGACCACTTCCAGAGTTTTGGCGATACAGGCTGGGTATGTGGAAATTCTTATGGCCACCAATTAACCTGTATTGACAATCGACGGTGGAATAGTATAATGCGGCTTTCCTACTGCCATCGACTGCACTGCAGCTCTTCTTCGGACGAATGTATACATTCTATTCTCCCAAATGGATATTTCTCACACTTGTTTTCGTGTTCGAGATCGGATCGGCGGTTTGCGGCGCCGCACCAAGCTCGCTCGCTTTTATTTTGGGGAGAGCAATCTCAGGTATCGGGGCGGGAGGTATCTTCAATGGCTCCATGATCATCATGATGTATGCGGCACCTCTCGAAAAACGGCCGTTTTACATGGGATTACTTGGAGCAGTATTTGGGGTGGCATCGGTTGCTGGACCTTTACTCGGCGGTGCCTTTACCACCGGTGTGACCTGGAGGTATGTTCCGTGATCGTCATGATGGGTAGGAATGTACTAACACGCGCGTAGATGGTGCTTCTACATCAACCTGCCTATCGGAGCCTGCGTCTTAGTATTCCTGTTCTTGGTGGTTGAAGAAACAGAACCTGCGCGCGGCGGCCTGACACTCAAAGAAAAGCTAAATAACCTCGACATCCCGGGCACATTGGTCTTTGTCCCATGCATGGTCTGCTTGCTCCTGGCCTTGCAATGGGGAGGCCAAGATTATGCGTGGTCCAGTGGCCGAGTGGTCGCCCTTTTGGTGGTCTTCGGTGTGCTCCTTATCGCCTTCATCGCCATTCAATTCTGGAGACAGGACAATGGTACAGTGCCGCCGCGAATCGCCAAACAACGAACCGTTGCATCTGCAGCTTGGATTGCCTTCTGCCTCGGATCGACATTCTTGCTCGTCGTGTATTACCTTTCAATATGGTTCCAGGCAATCAAAGGAGACTCGGCAATCACGTCCGGATACTCGACCCTTCCCTCCCTTCTCAGCCTGGTCATTGCTTCCATTCTCTCGGGGGCTTTTATCAGTCGCGTCGGATATTATAACCCGTCCATCATCGCCTGCACGATTCTCATGCCGATTGGCACAGGTTTGCTTTGCCTGTTCACTCCCCATACACGTCATCCGATGTGGATAGGTTCACAATTTTTGTTTGGGTTTGGAACTGGTCTGGGACTGCAACAAACCAACATTGCCGCCCAGACAGCGTTGAGCAAGGCGGACGCGCCAACCGGCATGCCGTTCGTCTTCTTCGCACAAGGGCTCGGTGGAGCCATTTCTGTCTCTGTCGGACAGAATATTCTGGATAGTCAACTCATCAAGAAACTGTCAACCCTCGGAGGCATCAGTCCGCATCAAGTCGTCAGCACGGGGGCTACACAACTGCGAAACATCTTCCCGAAACAGCAGCTTCCAGGGGTGATCGAGGTCTACAACGACTCTCTTGTGATAGTCTTTTATGCTGCTTTGGCCTACGCCTGCGCGGCTCTTCCGGGCATTTTCACGCTGGAATGGAAGACGGTCAAGAAGCCGACGAACAAAGACGAGGAGAAGCAGGGCCCAAAGGAAGAAGAAAACACAAGTGAACTACAAGAGAAGAGCAGCACGAGTACCCCAGAAGAGAATCGTCTTGCGACTCCGGATGTTCAGCAAGTGAAGCATTCCGAGGCTTGAGGCTGCAAGCCCTGAGTAAGGGAAGCAAGGGGCCTTTTGTCAATTGTACAATAATTCAGTGGCGTTTCTAGATGTATGTTGCAGGCTTGGACTAATACCTTTCTCCTCAAACCATTGACTGCAACGCGGGGATTGACAGTGGCTGATTTTGAAGAATGGGCCGGGCATGCACAAAGTGTTTTGAGTTATTTTACTCTTCTCTTTCATAGATCGAGGCAATTGAGCGATCAGTTACGTCTATTCACATTCCTTTAATGGAGCCACATACTTTCTTCTCGAAATTGAAACACCAACAACTTGAAATTCAAATGGATTCACACCGCAGTGGCATGCTTTGGCCAGAGGGTCCCATAGCAGTGATATCATGGCATTGCTAGAGCCTTGCTGCTTTTGCGCGTCAATTTAACAGATCTCATGTTAGGTAATCAATCACGTGAAATCATCTGCGTTTCTGTGGTCCAGTCCCCTTCCGCCAATTACAGGCCACATAATCCAATATTACCTACTGTTATTTTTTGGAGACTGGAGACGTCCAAGCACGGGAATGATAGCCGCTGGGTCCAGAAGCTTTCAATGACGCCAGGTCACGTTAACATGACGACGTCATGAGGCCAGGAGGCGCACCGCATCACTGGCCAACGAACGCAGCAGCACCCAACAACAACGGTGACGAGGGAAGTAGCGGCCCTCGGCAAGGGTTCCAGGGTGCAGGACGACTTTTCCCCGGAACCACTTCTTAAGAACCCCTACAGCTTCTTTCTCACTCGACGTCGACAAAGCAAGTGAATATAAAACCAAAACAATCTTGCTCTTCCTCCCGTACGTCGAATAGCCAGGAGAAGCAGCTCCCTTTCAAGCATACCTCACCACACCAGATCGCTTCCTTCGCCATGTCCTATCTTGCTCGTACTGTTACCCCGCTGCGAACGGTTGGGAGAGCTTTCCCTTCGCGTTCCGTGGCCGCCTTCCACACTTCGTCAGCTCGTGCAGCATTGAGCGAGGACCATGTCCGTATGTCTCCCCTTATTGAGATTCTATTGAGCCGCAACTAGCCAGCTGTCGTCATCGTCGTGACAGACGCAGTTCTTGCATGCATCCCCATATTCTTCTGCAAGCACATAATCGTGGGGCTGGGCTGCAATCCATTACGATGAGTCGTGTTCAGGGCTGCCGGGCTAACAAATACGGAAATATATAGACCGAGAAGACCGCGACAAAGATATCGACCACCACAAGCGTGACAGTGTCGAGAAAGCCAAGACTGGCAAAGGAGAATGGAAACCCGAGCTAGCCTCCCAGACCGAACAAATCATCCAGGGTGACCGATCCAATCTGACAATTGAGGAGATGCAAAAATTGGGCGCTCGGAAGTCGGAAGATGATAAAAGCCCGGCAGGAAGCAGTAGCTCGACGGGCAGCCACAAGCAGTAGGCCAAACACGCAATGAGGAATGGAGAAATGGAATTATGGTGGTTGAATTTCGGCGAACCGTTACCATTCGAAACAATCGGGGGGCCTCCTACGTCGTGACTGAAGTTGGATCATGGGCGAGCACGTCCCCCAGCAGGGACCCTGCGCTTGTTAGGATCTCACAGGTGTACATATCAAAGTCCAGAGCTTGAAACGCCTACTTCAAAACACCCATGGGTTTGGACGGATTAAGAATTCTCGAACAAACCCATAATGTTCACTGCCGTTGTATGCATTGCATGATCTCTCATATCTGTCACTTTGATCAAATTATATGTTTTGGTTCGTCATCATTGTATGTGGCATGAAAATAGCCGATGTCACAGCATGTAGCGGAATCCACCACTTTCCCAGCCTGCCTTTTTGGCTCCGCCCATCAGCGTCTCCCGCAGATCCCCTATGTCAGGGGTATCCTGTTCTTCCGACTTTCTTCCTGTGCCGACCGAGGTCACTAATTCATACTCGCCGCCGCGTGGTGATGCAGAAAATCCATTTTTGCGGTTCTCGCGTTGAAGCACGAGCCTCAAAATGCCCGCCAACCCAGCAACACCCAGAGCCATGAAGGCGGCACAGATTGTCATTCCCTGAATGTAAAAGGGACCCTGACTCTTGGGAAAGACATGGACGCCGATAAGTGGACCGCACTGGCCGACAATGTTTAGGATGGTGAGGCCGGTGCCCTTTCCGGTAGCGGTGGCCTGATTGTTCAAAGTCCAAGTGATGATCAAGGTGACGGAGGCAAACAAACCGATGGCGGCACCAAAGACAGCGACATAACGGATTGTGATGCTGCCGGACTCCCCGAGCGACTCGTGCAGGTAACCGGCAAGAGCGATTCCGGCGTACGAGAAAGCGCTGAGCAAGGCCACGCCCATCAAAAACAAGGAGCGTGAATCGGGAATCTTGTCGCTGTAGCGGCCGATGAGCAGCACGAACAAAAAGGCGAGTAGGTAGGGAGGGGCGGCGAGGGCTTGAGAAGCCAGGGGCGAGAAGGACATGCTGTTGATGATGGTGGGCAAGAAGACAGGCAGAGAGCTGAAGGAGACATTGACGCTGAGGAACATGAGGGCGGTCAGGTAAGATTTGGGATCGCGGATTGTGTCGAGGACTTGATGAAAGTTGACTCGATTTGGCTGGTTTGAAGGGCCGTCGGACCGACTCGAGCTCGGCTGCTCTTCTCGAAGCCTCAAGACAGCAACCTTGCGCTCGCGCGGTGTCAAGTAGCGAGCCTTGGCCGGCGAATCTGGGATATAATACCATGCTGCGACGGCCGCAAGGACCGACGGAAACCCTTCGACCAAGAACAAGGTGCGCCAGGGCGCAATGGGTCCATTCTGACTTAATTTCACAATGACCCAGGCCAGCGAACTGGCGAAGCTGGTGGCCAGCGGCGCCGCGGCAATCTGTAGCCCGACTCGGTATGCCAGCTCGGACCGCTTGTAGAAAAACGTCATGTAAAAGGGCACGCCGGGACCAAATGCTGCTTCGGTGACGCCCAAAATCGCTCGGAGGGCAAGCAGTTCCCGGAACGACGTCGTCAGACTCTGCATGCTTGCGACCAGACCCCATGACAGCACGCACATGGATATGTAGACGTGTGGAGGCACGAGTCGGTACAGTAGGATCATCCACTCGAACGCGATGTAGGTCATGTAAAAGGCCGTCAGTAGCCAGTCGTACTGCGACGATGTCAGAGACAGGTCCTGCTCCAGCCCTGCGATGCGCGCGTTGCCGATGTTGGACCGGTCCAGGAATGAGAGCATGTATAGAAATCCCAGGAAGAGTACCAGTTTGCGATCCAGCTTGTGCACAACCGCCTCTTCTTCTTCCGATGTGTATTCTTTCGACTCTGTCCCAATGCGCCGCATCGGCTTGAATGCGATTCCGTGTTCTTCATCTGTCTTGCTCCCGTTCTCAACCTCGCTGTCGTCGCTTGTCGTGGCCAGGTCGCATTCTGCATCTTCGGCGGTGTCGGCCTCATTATCGCCTCGCCGGCCGTGCTGCTTGTGATGGTGATGATGATGGTGATGGTGCAATCTACGCAACTCGACCGCGTCTTCGTCCGCATCGCGGGAGTGGGAATGTCTCGTCTTGACCACGACGAGGCCGTCGCTGTTCAGGTCCGCTGCACGAGGTGCCGGCGTCCTCGAGCTGGACGGCTTCGCATGAGATTCGGACGGGCTCATGGTGAGCTACGGCCACCTTTTGCCCGGTACTGCACTGCTATTTTGGAGCTGAGCTGCCGGTCGTTTGTCTCCATCAGATCAGTAATTAGCTTGACTGGCTTGTCTGAGTAGAAAGCATCATATTAGGCCTATACAAAAGGCCATTGCAAGAAAAAGTCCAATGCAGTCGGACTAGACAACTTGTAAGCACCTACATAGGTAAGTCGTCGCTGTTGTCCGACTGCGGCATCGTGCCACGCCGCAGGGTTCTTGGGGTTGGTTGGTTGTACCGATCGAAGCGTATAGGTAGCGTTCTATACCCAGGCACTGTCCCACCGCAGCAGTGAGAGTAAGCCGGGAAATCCAATCATGCTGCAGGCTCTGGCACGGGGTTCCGAGGATTCCAATTCTCAAGTCCTGGTGAACAGCTCTACAACATTGTGTTGCATTTTCTTTCTTTTCAGCCTGTTCAGCCTGTTCAGCTAGAGTACTACTAGTAGTATGTCCTCGCCAGTCAGCCGAGTGTTCTCACAGAAACAGCTTGACCACAATGTCTCGCTTTCTCCCTGTTTCACCAGCTGGGAAAGGGATCTCATCTGACGCCGCCTGCCGCCCGTAAGCAAGGGAGAAACTACTAGCAGTATTCTCCCATACTACTGGCATCTACTGCACTTGTATACTCTACTGTACTGATAACAGCCTCAGCTAAACTAACCGCCACCAACACACAAATACTACATCACAGCACTGTACTACTACTGTACCTCGTGGATGGCAGTCTGGTGAAGGGTCTGTCTGAATGGAGCCAGACAACGGCTGAGATGTGTCGTTCGCCCCTCGAGACGGCGCTTTGCCCTTTTCTCCAGGAGGCTCGACCTCGAACGTCGCGCAACCAATTTCCCAAGTGGATGAAACACGGGGGCAACGGAGGCGGAGCAGCCAAACCACCACCCAACCAGGTCGACCAGCTGAACCAAAGTACCAGTTCGACCAGAAGCTCCGTTTCTCAATAGGCTCCTTCACGCGGTACTACCCTGAGAGTGGTACTCGGGCGCTGTATAAGGCCACGGATATTCCCTCTTTTGACTTTGTCAATTTGCCTTGTCTTTTGCGCATTGATTTTCAGCTGGTCTGTGTTCGTATCTTGTTGAAAGGTCTCTGTTCAAGTCACTCTTTTGACCCGGTCGCTCGCTCGCTCCAAAGTCATTCTCTTATTCATCTATACAAGAAGATATTTTTACACGGTTCTTTTCCAAGACCTTGGCTATCCAGCCGCAATCTTGTGTTAATTTGAACAAATTCGAATATCACTCCGTCGATCAAGCAATATGCATTCATTCCTCGTCGCTCTCAGTGCCGCTGGCCTCGCCACCTTTGCTCAGGCATACACCAAGCCCACTACGAACAGTTGGGGTCCTCTGCTCACACCAGATTTGTCTCAGGTACGTTGTTATCTTGTTGGGTAATTCAAGACCCCTTATTGACGGACGTACGACTAGTCTGTTACCCAAGGCAAAGAATTCAAAGTTACCTGGGATCCTGAGAGCCACCCGACCGAGGGCGTGACGGTCAGCCTGGTCCTCTGCCACGGCCCCTCTAGCAACTGCGTTCCGCAAGATACGGCGATTGCTTCAGGCATCCCGGCAGCCCAGAAGTCCTTCGACTGGAGTGTTCCATGCAGCCTGGCTCCTGGCACCCAGAACACCGACACCGGATATGGCATGTTGATCATTGTCGACGGCACTGGTGAATTCCAATGTATGTCTTGTCCCGCTCTGGGAGATGACTGTTCAAAGCATATGACTGACTTTCAAACTTCAAAGACTCGACTCAATTCTCCTGCCTCGAGAACAAGGCTTGCGCTAGCTCCAGCTCCACTTCCAGCTCAAACTCGACCACATCCAACGCCACTACCACCGCTACCACCACCGGCTCTGCCTCGTCCAAGCAGACCAGCACGACATCAGTGGGATCTGTGAACGGCACCACAACCTATCATGCAAGCGTGACACCCACAGGCACCACTTCCGCTTCATCAGCCACATACACCTTTGGCGCTGGCTCCGGTTCCGGAAGCACCTTGACCAGCTGGGTGACCGCAGCCACCTCGGCCGGGTCGACCGGGACTGCGTCTGGCGCCGTGACCACTCCCTCGACCTTCCCCGGCAGCGCTCCACAGTTGAGGTGGGACGCTGCTGGTGTTCTCGTCGCCGGTGCAGCGGCTTGGTTCATGCTGTAAGGTCTCGAGACGAACCTTGACTTGGCTTGAAGAAGGGGACCACATCCTCTTGACCACGTGCACGTCTTGAGAATGCTGTGAGCCACGTATGGTATGCACCCAGATGGCCAGCGTTGACGGAAGGAGAGGGAATGTCAAAAGATGGTATATCGGATGGATTAAGTGGTCGATAAAATGTTGGAAGTGTTTCATACGCTGTATTTCTATGCATGAAGCGGGGGCGCAGAGGCAGATTGTCCCATTAGGTAGTAATAGATCAGATCTTACCAAGTGGAAGTAAATTGGTCACGATTCGATTCATGGTTTTTCTGAGCCTTTGAACACAGCCTGCAGTGTTTCGCGGGACGGAGTTGGCTGTCACCTGGATGGTGGATATCTGAGTAGGGAGCAATCACTGGCAACGTCTTTGAAAGGCTAAGCTTTTCATCTCCAGCGGCAGGGAACGGAAAGGCCCTATTCGCCCTGCAGTGAACGGGTCAAATATAGCAACACTCGGAACATGTATAATCTGGGGAAATCTCCACTAATTACCGGTAGTACTCCACAATTATCATCGCTGATTCGCGGACCGGGAACAAATGACATAGCGTCATGGCAGCGTCTCTGTCCCGTGCCAGCGGTTCAGGCAAAACGCTCCGATCGCCTCAGCCGCAGCTGAGACGAGAAGGCGTTCTGGCCCATCTACATCTGCACATTGCTAGGAGGCGCCGGCAGCTTTCTCTAATACTAGCAGTAGCAGTGCACTTGAGAAGCTGCGAGAAAGACGAGCTACATTTTGCGAGGGGCAAGTTCGCTTGTACTTACTGGTCATACAGTCAGACCGTCAACAGCAGTGCTGCCCCGGGTCCTTTGAGCCGCCGCGTCTCCTTTCGACTCTCTCCTACTCTCTCCGGACCCTTTCCATCGATAAGAACCATCACGCACCATTCACCACCAAGGCTATCCTCCTATCCCCGAGAGTGTGGGACTATACGACTCAAAACGCGACAATGGTGCTCCTCGGCGGCCTGGAACTCGTGGCTGCAGGATACCTGCTGAAAGAAATCGGGAAAGACAATCAAGCCGAAGAAGAACAACAACGACAACACAGACGACGGCGTCGACGACGCCATTCTCGAGACGACCATCATCGCCACGACAACAACCACGCACGTCCACCAAGCCGCTACGATGGCTCGCCGCCTCTGTCTTCTGTTCGTCCCGGCCGTCCTCAACAGCCACAGCCACAGCAACAGCAAGGTCCGTCATACAATCACCAGCTCATGCCACCCGTAGGACCTCCGCCCCGACCGTACAGCGCACCGCCGCCGCAGAACCGTCCTCAGCCGCCTAGTAATAGTACCTGGCAGCATCCTCAATCTCCACCTCTGCCTCCATATGCACAAGCTCATCATCCATATCCTGTTCCTGTTCCTGTTCCCCTCCAGAACCAAAGCTATGGAACATGGCCGCAACAACAACATCCGCAAGCGTGGCAGCAACAACGTCCACCACAACAACAATCGCCGAGGCCACCACCACCAGCTGGACAAGTAGCTGGTAGTCAACCGCCCGCCCCAAACATTCCCAACAATGCCTCACAACCGCCACAATCACACCTACAGCGACCCGCGACGACGAACTCGACGACATGGTACCCACCGCCAGGAATGCATCTGGACATGAAAACAGGCAAATTCCACGCCAACATGTATCCGCCCGAGATGTTTGAAAGTCGCGACTCCAAGGAGAAGCAGAGCCGTAACGGCACGGGAAGCCCATCGGAATCCGAACCAGAATCAGAACCAGAACCAGACCATCACCGCCGCGAAGACCACAACAACTCAAGATTCCCCAGTACGTCTAACAATAACCATAATAATCGGCCACAGCAGCAGTATCACAGCTACTCTCAGCCTCAGATCGGCGCCCCGGTGTCCCCTCCGCATGGATTCGCCGAACTCGATGCCGAGACCCCGGGCCGGTATAGACCGTATTATCACGATAGGAAGACCACTGACAGCCGTCAAATCACGTACATGACGCCCGATGGGATGCGATCTCCACCCCCGGCATATCGAGAGTGAAACGAAATGAATGAACGATCCAACGAAGGAATATGTGTTTTCCAAGCATGGGAGGACGGCGGCCACGCATATGGATTGAACGATAACAGATATTGATCACGATCATCATGATGATCGACCTGACGAGGAAATGCACGACCTTTACGCTCTATTCAAAACGATTTTCGACTAGGGTTGCGGAAATGCTAGCTGGTCTAGCAATTGATGATTCGCTTGATCTTGTCCTGCGATTAGACGCGACCCATGTATGCAATGTACTGCTTGGGGAAATTGGAGGCCAATTGGATTTACGGTGCTCATGACATTTTTCGCAATTCTGGCTGATTTTGTTTTTCAATCTAGCCAGCTGTAGCATGCATAGATAGTTTGATGATGAGTAAACCACTTTTATCATGCTCTTTGTCCGAGACACGTCCAGCTCCCTGTATCTGTCACCACTGCATTGTGTGGTTTGTCTTATTATTCTCCCCTTGCCTCAATAAACGTTCGGGCGACATGGCTGGCGGAACTCCTCTGTTCAGTATCGTCTGACTTCTTCTCTTCCCTGCCGAAAAGATAAATCTAACTCTGAACAATAATCTCCGCATTCCAGCCGGCATTTCCGGCACCGGTTTGCTCCAGGCTTTGCTCCGTGTCCTCTGTGATGCGGGTCAGCTGGTGTTTCTTCGTCGTGGGTGTATCCGGCAAAGGAGTATTGCTGGCCAACATGAGCATGACTGAATCTTGTAACGGACTAGTGTCAACCACTCGACCGTGCATCTCAGCAAATGACGGGACCACACGGGATTTTCTCCTTCGGAAGAGGAAGGAGCGAGAGGGCTTGGAGGTGTCACTGCGGGAATTTTGGTCGGAACCGGAGAGCACAATGTTCGGGGCCGGCGGAGAATCATCATGGCGAGCTCTGGCTAAAGCTTTTCTGACCGTTTCGCGGAAACCGCTGCGCTTGCGTACGGAATGTGTTTCGCTGTCATTCTGACTTGAACCGGATCCATTGATGTATGGGATAGCCATTTCAAGTACGCCGTTGTCAGACTCAAACGACTGGATACTGGTCCCAGGATAGAAGCGAGGAACCGTTGGCTGTCGGATCTGGGCGACGATCCGGGCGTCGGACACCCTGCGGTTCTCCAGCTCCCATATGGGTGGTGACTGTACTGGACTTTGTAAGATGTGATTGAGTGACTGATAAGCACGCTCACGATAGGTCGGGCGGCACGTATGACAGATTTTGAGGTCACAGATCTGATCGACCGGCAGCATGGCTCCATGAGAAAGCGTGCCAAAGTCTGCAGGCAATGCTCTCAACTGGGAGTCTGCAGGCGGCATAGACGGCTCTGACATCCACGCTTCCTGCAACTCTTTCCAATTGTATGCAGCCTTTATCTCGTCATCAAGACCCGTGGTGGAAGTGGTGGAGAAGGTCGTACTCTGAGGCAGGATCGAGAAGGTACCCTCGGAGGATGAGGACATTGTCGTCACAGTAGAAGCAGTGGGAGGACGCGCTCCGGCAACGAGAATGGTCTCGCTGACTTTTTCTTTTTGTTTGACCAAGATCCTGATCTGCTCATCTGTGTACTGTCCTTCACCAATGGCTTGGACAACGGCAGGGCTGAGAAAGTGCGAACCGAATTCGAGTGGAACCTCCATGATCTTGCCAGGATTGCTTGGGCTGCTGAAGTCGCGCTCTGGCAGAAATCCGTCGTGATCTTGCGTGCAACGGTACAACCAGCCAATGCTAGGGTGCTTGCGACATGAGGAGCAAGTGAAGGAACCCATGGGATCGTAGAGTCGGGTCATCGTGGTGTGGGTACACTGATGGCGCCTCTCATGGGGCATTCTGCGTGAACGCATGGCCGGATGGGACATCTGGACCTCGTCTCACGCGGGCGAGAGGATGAAGCATGGCATAAAGAGATCAAACTCGAAGATGGAGATTCAGAAAGATGATGCAAGCTTGCATTGTACAGTGCAGGCTGAACGCAACGGAAGGTGAAGGACATGCGAGAGGAAGGCGCAGTTAAAATCGAGGGCACGACCAATTCACAGAGTGTGGCATGAACCATTTCATCTTCGCTGCTTGTTGCTGATGCCCTCCAGGCTCACAACCTCTTTTCTGGGCCATCGCGCAGCATGCTCACCTTGTGCTGTAGCTCGGGCGGTCTACATTGGTTCCCCCTAACGCTTGAATGTTCGTATGCTTTTGCTAACCTCCGTAAGTCCACCACTTAGCGGCTCGTCAGGAGTTATAGAAGACAACCCCATCTTCCATGTTACATGGTCTATAGAACTGCCGGTTTCACGACCTTTCTGCTCCGTATAGACTAGGCAGTAGCAGATGTGGTGAAGGAGACCACCTTGGCGAGAAGGGTAGAAATTGGCGTGACGTTCAACCCGACTCACTATTAATGATTTACGTGAGTTTAAGCTCTACTACTAGTATCCAGCCACTGGCAGCCGCAGTGTAGCTTAGTGTGGCCGTCCGCACCAAAATACGTAGTATGAGCGTGGCGTCGTTGGCACCTGCCGCCTGTACGCCACTGGCAGTGGACCTACAGTATATCTTCCTACGACATTTATTGCATCCTCTCTGCAACTACAGTACAACTCTGACACATCATTCCAGCACCTACGACAGCGCACCTAGTTCTGATACCCACGAATTAAGCAAGTGCAGCCCCTGATGTTGCTTAGCAAGTACTAGTATCTACTACGTACGTACTTTCTCGCTTATCCTCTACGCGTGTACGGCTACCTAGGTACTCGAGCGTCCTACTGAGAGTGCTGCTAAGCGTCCTGCCGAGCGTCTCGTTGAGCGTCCTCTCGAGCGTACTCCAGAGCGAACTACTATACTAGCCTTCTATAGGGGCTCAATCAGGATCGATCTAGGGTTAGATCTAGTTTCGACCTGGTTCAGACCTAGTTACTGAACTAGGTCTGATCCTAGGTCGATCCTAGGTCGATTCGTAGATCGGAGGCTTAATCTCTTGATTTTCTTAGATCCGGATCGGATCCGGATCAAGTATTAGCTACTATAATATATATATATATACCCACCTAATAGGGATTTATCCTATATCGATTCTATATCGAGGCTATATTAATCCTACTCTAATTCTACTCTTATCTTACTCGAGAATTACTATAGAATTACTTATCTGCTAAATAATATATTAGAGATTACGATAGGATTATAATAGGATTAGTATAAAGATCGCTATAGAGATTACTATAGACTAAATAGTTAACTTTTTTTAAAATTTTTATATTCCGTAATATTTATAGATTATAGATATAAGTCTCGATAACTACTATAAATACTATACTAGCCTTCTATAGAGGCTTAATCTAGGATCGATATAGAATTAGCTCTAGGATTAGCTCTAGTTCGAACCTAGTTCAGTAACTAGGTCTGAACTAGGTCTGAACCGGATCGGATCCTAGATCGGAGGCTTAATCTATTAATTTTCTTAGATCCGGATCGGATCCGGATTACGTATTGGTACTTTTTCTCTCTTTTTTGTTTTTTAAGACTACCGTTAAAAATTTTCTTTTTTAGATTCTAGGCGATAGCGATATTATTATTACTCGGCTACGACGCCGTATACCGTATTTAGAGTAGTGATTTCGATATATTTACAGTACTGGCCTCCTGCAAAGGCTTAATCCGGGATCGATCTAGGATCAGACCTAGTTTAGACCTAGGATCTAAAGTAGATCCGAACTAGGTCCGAACTAGGTCGGAACTAGGTCTGAACCGGATCGGATCCTAGATCGGAGGCTTAATCTGTTGATTTTCTCAGATCCGGATCGGATCCGGATCACGTATCGGCTACTATAATAGTAAAAAAAAAAGAGAGTTCGAATCCCACTAGGAGCACTCTTTTTTGGTTTAAGACTACCGTTAGAATTTTTCTTTTTTAAATTATAGGCGGTAGCGACGTCGTTACTACTTAGCTACGACGCCGTATATCGTATTTCTAGTAGTATTTTCGATATATTAATCTATAATCTATAAATATTACGTAATATATTATTTTAAAATTTTAAAAATTTTAAAAATTTTAAATAAGTTAAGAAGTGATCCCCGATACGCTAGTTAGCCTATAGCGATCTCTATAGCGATCTCTATAGTAATTCTCTCGTAATCCTCTCGTAATCTACGATACATTATTTAGCCTATAAGTAATTCTCGAGTAGGATCGGATTAGGATCGGAGTAGGGTCGATATAGTATCGATATAGGATTCATATAGGATTAATCCTTTATAGGAGGGTATATATATAGTTTACCTATATCTACTAGTTCGCGTATATCTCTGCTAGTTCGATTATATCTACTACGTAAGTACAGTACTGGCCTCCTGCAAAGGCTCAATCCGGGATCGATCTAGGATCAGACCTAGTTCGGACCTAGGATCTAAAGTAGATCCGAACTAGGTCCGAACTAGGTCTGATCCGGATCGGATCCTAGATCGGAGGCTTAATCTGTTGATTTTCTCAGTAGATCAGATCCGGATCGGATCCGGATCGGATCCGGATCACGTAGACTACTAAAATACTATAGTAAAAAAAAAGAGTGTTCGAATCCCGCTCGAGACACTCTTTTTTGGTTTAAGACTACCGTTAGAATTTTTCTTTTTTAATTTATAGGCGATAGCGACGTCGTTACTACTCGACCACGACGCTATTTAGAATAGTTTTTTCGATATATTAATCTATAAATTATAAATATTACGTAATATATTAATTTAAAAAAA